AAGCTCGCGATGGACTGGGGACGGTGGCAGTTTAAGGGGGCCAGATTACGTGGCCTTGCGAAGTACCAGTTGGTGCCCCAAAAGGCATATGTTCTCTAATTGCCTTTATGGTGTTGAAGTCTTCATGCCTGTCCGCGTTTTGCTACGGGGCATTCCACGGTTGCCTGACGCACCTGCCGCTCGGGAGGGTTTGCGAGACAAGGTCAAAGCAGGAGTCTGTTTGTGTTACCTTGATGGCAAGGCTGTTTTTCCGGTTGCACGCATACCTGCTGACGCCCTGCCTTTTACCACTGCGGCCTGGCAGTGTAACCTGCTGCCGCAGAGGGCGATCTTTTCTGGAATTGTGCCTGACCTCACGGAAGTGGCTCAGTTCAAAGTCCAGCTACCTGTGTGCGCTAGTAACGCTGGGACCAGCAATGAATCCCAGCGTGAGAATTTTGCACGCGCCCTGCGACAGCAGAGGCCTGACTGGCCAGTATCCCTGCACCAAGTCACGCAGACGTTACAGTACATTGAAGAGGCTGCAGACCCTGTCATCGAGGAGTTTGCGGACCTGGTTGTTACTGCCCAGCCTGGGTCAAGGCTATAAGGAGGCGAGTATGGCCGCTGCAGGCAGGTGCCGCCTGGCTTTATGACTTCCCAACATGATGGACAGCGAATCGGCCAACAGAAAGGTGCCTGGAACACGTGGGATGCTAATGAAGACGTGCCATGGCGAAAGTACTATGACTGGGTGAAATGGCGGGTCGATCATGCTCATGTCCGTGCACGGGCGCTTGAAGAACGAGATTACCGGCTCTGTGACCGTGAGGAGTGGATTGCGATGTGTCGTGTCCACCTGCAGTCCGGGCGGTGCCACATTTGGGAACAGGAGCTGAGAACCTGAACGTGGCGCACTGCTTTGGGTGAGGCGTCCACCTCTGCGATTTGCTGCATACCCACCGGGTAGTGGGGGGGGGTCGAAGACGTGGAGGATGATGACGCATCATCATCCGAGCTGCTGTGCAGCAGGACAGCCATATCAGCCTGATGATGGCTGCCCAGGTCTCTGACGCCCGAACCCGCACTGGATGAGGCAGGCCGGCTAGCCAGCGAGCCAAATGTAAGGTCCGGGGCAGGCGCAGTATGACTTGCAACGATGCCACCATGCTTACCTCGCTGATTGAGACCGACGAGAGTCAGACCGGTGATGTTTTAGGCACCTGCTCCACTCCCCCGGCTGAACGCAAGCGCAAGTTTCAATAGCAATGACAGGCTATTTGGGCTGAGATACTGTCTGCGAATGGATGGAGCCGCCAAGCTACTCCATGTACAGGGACGATGGAGGACGTTTGCCTGTGCTGAGTATGGTCCAAGCTTGGTCCTGCCAGCCTTTGAGTGTGCTGGCCAAGGACTCTCTTGGCTTTGGTTGACTTGGTGGAGCGCAACAATATACCAGTCGGGATGCAATGGATGGTCTCCGGGACGCGGTCATGTGTGTAGTTGGTGTTGAACTCATTGGACTTTTCGATGGTGCTCCTGCCCTTTGCGCAGATTTTCGAGCTTGGTTGCTTTTCTCTGGTTTGCTCAACTGGGCCTTCATTGTCACACTTTCCAATTGCAGCGATGGAGGTGATGGTCGTTTGGTGAGTGCTGCCTTTTGGCTGACCCAGGGGTGTGACAATCTTCTTTCTTTCAGTTTATTATTTGATTACGCTCGAAGTTCTGCATTTCTTGGATGCTTCAGATGATGTACTCATTGGGATTGCCCGTGCATGCCTTCTCCTGGCTAGTCTGTCAGTATTCCGCATGCTTTGGAGCGCGCTCTGCCCTGCGTATGTCTATTATCTGTCCATGACTTGCCGCGTGCATGTCTTGGTCGCATCTACGAACAAATTTTCTTTTTCCATGGTCGGCCATACTGTTCATGGAGCTGCCGTGGGATACGGCAACGTGTACTGCTCTTTCGGGATGCACTGTCCTTTCGAATTTCGGCTACGCGATGACTCTACGTTTTCATAATTCGCGGCTTGCGGTACTCCCCCTCGTTGCATAATCTGTACAGGTTTCACTTTTCGGCTCGTCTTGTCTGTGTTTCCGTTTGTCTTGTTGCTTGCTTGTCTGGTTTGGGTGGTTCTCTCTCTTTGTGATGTTCGAGCCCGGGCATTTTTTGAGGCACACGCACCTCTCGCTATGCCCCTACCTGATCTGTTTTTCTGTTGTTTCATCCTTTTCACACGGAGTTGCTTAATGCAGACGTGCGCTCGACGCGGATCGCTGCTAAGGGGCAAAAAAGACCCCTGCACCTCTGAGCCTCAACTTCCAAGCAACGCCTTATAAAGAAAAAGAGCGTGGGCACATGTTTGTCGGTCGCACCCTTTTATCTTGGACTGCAGGTTCCCTTTCGGATTGAAACAGTGATCAAGATTCTAACCTTACCGTTTCCAGCTCCTTCAGCAGCTGCAAAATCAGCCAGGCTTCACGTGTGATACTCAGGACTATGTGGGGCCGATGGCATTCCTCTCCCCGTGGGCACGTCCCCGACCGTGGTGAAGTTCCCAGCGTTAGCCGTGTTGTTGATCGTCAAAGTGCTGCCAGTTATCCCGGTGGCCGAGCTCAGCAGGCCCACGCTGGCCGCCCCCGTGATGCTTAGCAAGCTGCCCGAGACGGCGCCGGTGGACGTCAGCCTGCTGGAGGTTGACGAGGAGCAGCGCAAGGTCTACGACCCCAGCTGCGACGTGCGCCGGGACTTTGACACGGCCGCCAGCGTGGCGCTTGGGAGCAGCCGACCGAAACTGACGGATCACAACCGTAAACGACGGCATCTCTTGGAAGGAGTGCTGCCGGACCTGGCTTCATGGAGGGCTGCTGCAACACAAGGCAGGTCTGCCGGGGCGTCTCGACCGGGGGCAGCTTTGGCTTGCGCTTCCGGCTTGGTGGGCATGTCCTGCTTTGGTTGAGGGAGGTGACTCCCTCCAATGTGGCCTGGCAGGCAAAGTTGGGTTTTGAGGTCACGACTCAAGCAGGCTTGAAATGCTGACCACGTCTGAGGTGGTATGGAGTGCTGAAGGGCAACGTTGAGAAAGGGATTTGCGGGGTTCTTTGATGTGAGGGTTGTTTGGTTTTAAGCGAAGAGCAGTGCAACAGGCCTTTCTTTTCCCTTGTGTTCAGGGCCTGTGAATCTCGTACGCGGTGGCCATTTTGATCCTAGCCTTGAACTCAAACCGTTTGTTTCGATTGAAACCCACCCTCCCACCCTACTTGGCCTTTCACAAGGCTGGCTCGAGGCTGCAGATGCTTTGCGCCTCAAACAAACCCAGGTTTGGGCACGCCTGCCCTTGCCTTGCCCAGGGCTGTACGCGGAACTCCCTCGCCGCACACGCCAGCGTGGGCACGCTTGCCACGCTGTGCGCTTGCGCTGCAAAAGCCAGGACACGCCTGTCTGGCGCCTTTTAAGTTTCACAGGGGGACAATGCTTCCTCCTGCTCCAGGTGCACCGCGTGTCGTGGAGGCAGTGCTACTTTCAAGCAACCCGTGAGAAAGAAGTGCGCGCTTTTTGGGGTTCTTTGATGTGCGCTCATGTTTGGAGGCTGGTTTCGAGTGTTCTTGGCACGCGGCTATTTTTGGATTGGGCACGCAAGTTGTTGCGGATTTTTGACATGGATGGCGTTTTTTCCGGGATTTACGGCATGGGCGAATGTGCTTTCGTCTTCCATGTAAGAATTGCCGCGGAGGCAGGGGCGGAGGCTGACGGGGCGGTTTGGAGTCACTAAAGCGCAGGCGCTGGCGCAAGACATCTGAGACATTTTTCCGGGGTCTGATATGATTTTTTGACAGGCGCCGTTACAGGCGCGGAAAATGGAGCGGTCGCAAGCTCGCATTCTCTGCTTTCGGGCGAGGGGGGTTGGGAGGTTTCCAGGAAGAGGGGGAGGAGGAGGCGCAAGACCACAAAGTGCCACCCACGCCGTTTTTGGCAATGTTGAGGCGCAGTGTTTTTTCTCCGGGATTTGAAGAGCTGGCGGTGCGCTGGCTGGAATTTGGTGGACGTTGTGACCTGTTATTTCCAGAATGCCATGTGGCTTGAACATACTATTCCACAGCACACGCTGCGACAGTGGGCATGTGTTCGAAACACGGGACGAACGTTTTTGCTGGGAAATGCCAGTGGTGCTTCCCGGAGATGCTGGTGCTGTGGAATTTTGCAAGTGTGCGAGGGGTCTTCAAGAAACCCGGGTTCTTCAAGATCCTTCTTGGCTCCTTCGTGCTGTCATTCCACATGCCAAAGCCCGCGCCCTGTCGTTGAGTCCGTGCCCGGTCACCCCATCCCCAGGCCCTCCAGGTTTCCCAAGTGTCCTGAATCGTGCCCCCCTGTAGCGGATGGAGAAGTGTATCGGTGAGAGAGTCGTTATTGCTGGTTACACATCACGCGATTTCACATTTTTTGGAGACCTGCAAGCTGCCGCTCTGCTTTCGGGGACTGATGATGCTGGAGCGGCAGCTGGCAGGGGGGTGAGGGGTGATCATTTTTTTCGAAAACGCTCCCCGCCAGCCGCCAACACACGCTTTTGGGGAGACATGGAGGGTGGCTGGCGGGAAAGAGACGTGCGCCGAGCAAGCGCAGAGTGGCGCCGACCAAAACGCGAGCAAGCACAAATAGGATGATGGTGGAAGAGCTCCGCTTCAATGTGCGCTGGTGGAAACACCCTTTGAAGGTTCTCCTTAGGCCCCAAAGCACCAGCAGAAGCGCCCCCTTGGACCCCCCTTTACAGTTGGAGGTGTCTGAGGTTGTGTGCTTTGCTTGTGTTCCTGTGATGTTTCGTCTCTGTTTGGCCCAAACCTATTTGGGACGAAGTGTTGGGGCAAAACTCATGGACCTCAGCTCATAAATGTGCAGTATTGTTGAAGACCTCAATTTTGCGCAGCCTTCCAGAGATCCGAGGTTGTGCAAACCCGCTGTTGATTGACATGGACATTTAGAGATCAAATTCCTAGTTTTATGAGGTTTCAAGAAAAGGCGTTGCAATCTATTGTAGATGTGCGGTGTCGGCTGCGCCATGGTATTGCGCCGCGTGTTACGATTGCAAGTCCCAATTCTATTCCTTGCCTTGGCTCGTGGGCTTGCACTTTGCAGACCGGGCTCATGTCAGGCCTTGGATGCATTTGTTCATTGCGAATATGATGGTACAGGAGCTGCAGGAGGCGGAAACACAATAGCTACGGCCATCTGTCCGGAACAGCATATTGTTGTGCGGGTAGCCTTGGAAACACCAAGTTTTGCCAGCAACGCGAGCGGTTCATTTATCTTCTCGGTGGACGACATGCTGGATGAGCTGCGCGACGTGCCACACGACACAGCAGAGGCTGAATTCGTTCGTCGTGCAATTCGCGTGGGGTTGACAAACAGCGAACAAAGGCCTCTGCGGCGGTGGATATCCAAGCAGGAGCTCATGGCCGAAAACTACTGGCGACAGGAAGTGGTTTGGATTGCGGGGCTTGTGTTTGAAGTTGCTTCACCTGATGTTGCTTGCGAGTTTTGTTTGCCATCATCAAGACATCGAGTGTGGCGCATCGACTCTCATGGCCGATGGTCCAAGACTGTCGGACGTGAGTCCGTCACTGCGCACGTGTCCATAATGAAGAAAGTCACGCCACTGAGCCTTACAACTTTGTCAGTGCGGGAGTTGCTCACAATGCTTGCCGGTTATGTGGAAGACTTGTCGTCACTTGCGCAATTGAACATGTGGCATGACTGTCACCTCGGCAATCTGCTGATGCATCAACGGCTGGGCAAGGAAGAACGTTATTTCCTGTGGCACGATTTTGGAGCTGCTTCAAGGATACGGTCTCCAAGTGCAACAGACCTTCAGGATTTCTGGAAAAAGATGAGAGACGCAATGAATCAAATGAAGACGGTCATTGGTACCATGGATTCAAGTTTGGCACATGTGCCCACTCCTCCATTGGTTCAGAGCAGTGAGCCTGAAATCCTCAAGAAACATCTTCGGGAATACGCAGGGGAGGTGCACCGCTACGTCATGACATGGACAGGGGATATTCATGTTCGGCGAGCAGTGCTTCGCTCCTTGAGCAGGGCACTCCCTTCCCATCGTCTTGATGAGTTGTCATTTCTGCTGGTCGAAGGCACCTTGGCACGCACGGTTAAAAAATTGGTGCAATGGGGTTTGAAGCTTTCAAGCCATGCTTGTCGACAATGGTTCATCGTATCAAGTTGCGCCTATCCATTAGGTTGGGTGTTGTCATTGTCGGAATCTTCAGATGTCTTGGCTTCTGACCTTTCGCTTCTTTTTCTATGCTGTTTCTTTCTGTCCTAATCAATTCAAGATGCTGATTTTTTTGTGATTTGGGTGTTTTTGGCCGTTGCTGGGATTGCGTGTCAAGCTTGTTGATGGCGCACGGCCTTTGACTGACATACTATACGTCACAAATACCACAGCCGCAAAAACATGCACAATGCTGATGTGGAGTTCCGCTTTGTTTCTATCCATGTGCCAAGAAAGTTTGAGTCCGTAAAATCCAGATTCCAATGATGGGGTCATGGATGAGCGTGAACCTGTATTAACAAGCTGAGGCCAGACACTCGGTAAAGTCTCTTTTTTTCTTCTTCTGTTTTTCTGTTCTTGTTTTGTCCCGCAAGGCAAAGGCGACTCGCAACCATCCGCTGCGGTGTGGGTCTGTCAGCTGAGAAGCCCTGCCTGGGCCTTACCAGCAGCTGTGTGCAGTTTTGCCTGCCCTGCGTTCATGTTCGAGAAAAGCTGTCAAAGGGCCGACTGATGGATTGCAGTGCTTGTGCGTTGCAAGGACGGCAAGGAGCCTGAGACCATTGGCAGCGCGTTCAAAGTCACTGCTAGTGTTTCAGATGCCCACGCCTCAGCTGCGCCGGACATTGGTTAAACGGATGAAATTGGTCTAAAGTGGTTTTGCAGGCGTTTCAGGTCAAAGGGTTCTTGACAAACGCAGCGACCTCAGCTGCGCCACTTCATGAAGGATTTCCCTCACCTTTGTTTTGCCTTCGGAAATGCTGCTTGACGCTTCTCGGGGATGTCAGGTGGATGACTTGAAGAAGGCCCCGCCCTTGAAAGGGCTCAAGTCAAATTTTGCGCATGCTGTCTTGCGAGCTGTTTGTAGAAGGGTGATGACAAAGAGGGAGGCTTTGCTTGATTTCAACTCTGAGCGTTGCTTGAGGCTATCAAGCAGGAGAACCCAAATACTGTATCCTTCGATGCCTATCAAATTGACCTTTACCGCCGAGAGGAGAGCTTTGCATGTCCAATCGCACCCCCATTTGTTCCATGCCCCACACCTCACCCCTTGCGGTCTCTCAGCTGGACTTTGCAGGATGGCCGCTGGGTGAAAGAAGAGAAGATGTCAGCAAGTTTGCGGGACACAGATGAGCCTCGCGCTTGGTTCCGATGCCTTTCAACTTTGGGTTGCGCCGTTGCCCAGCTGTCAGGGCAGACTGCTACGGATTCACGTTACCAGCTGGAGCTGCTGGAGCCGCATAGTTTGAGGCACCTCAGCAGCGCAGCAGTCTTCTAGACTTGTGCACTTGCATCGTTGCCAGGCTTACTGCTGGCTGTTGCTGTTCTCGGCTGAGGCAATGCTGGGGCACAACGTTTCACCTCGTGCAGTGACAAAAGGGTGCAGTCGCAGGCACAGTTGTTTCGTTGCAGCGCGACTTTGCTTGACTGTTGAAGCGTAAGGGAGGTCAATGTTCACACTTTTGAACATCAGGCTGCGGTGTTCAAGACGAGCAGAAAATGTGCGTGCAACGGGTACAGGACCAGCGACGCGCTGGTCAACAGCTGTTTCACCGAGGCATTCCTCCTTGTGCCTAAGTGCGCAGATGCAGTACCGAACCATTTGAAGAAGTGCGGAGGAAATGATTGGCAACTTGCGCACATTGTTTCATGCTATTTGTTGAGCGTGGCGCTCAGAGAAGCTTGTTGAAGAGCAGACCCACACTGCTGCGAGGCGGCTTGCAGGTGGCATTCTTGGCAAGCAACGTGATAAGTGCGCCTGTCCACTGGCCCTGAAACTGGTAAGCTTTATAGATCGTCCATCCGACTGGAAAGCAACAAGCGCATCCCAAGGCCAAAGAACAAGAGCTTTTGCTCAAGGGCGCGTCAGCTTTCATCAAAAGCGTTGCTCCAAGCTGGGCTCAAACGCTTCCACGTGAAGCTTGATACACTTAAAGCAACATCTGCAGCGACTACGAAACTGACGAAAACGGACAGAAATTGACAGCACGACCGCAAACTGACAAAAACGGACGGAAGCTGACGGATCGCGACAGAAACTGACGGATCACGGCCGTAAACTGACGGATCACGACCGTAAACTGACGGATCACGACCGAAACTGACGGATCACGACCGTAACCTAACGGATCACGACCACGGATCACGACCGAAAACTGACGGATCACGACCGCAAACTGACGGATCACGACCGCAAACTGACGGATCACGACCGCAAACTGACGGATCACGACCGAAACTGACGGATCACGACCGGAACAAGAGCGTTAAACGCGAAAAATCGACCTAATGTGCCGCGACTTGCTGAGTTGTGCAACGCGCAACCCGTTTCGAGACGGTCCTGCAGAAAACGCGCAGAAATTCAGCGAGCTTAACAACGCGAAGCGGGAAAACGACAACCCGCACACAAACGGACGACCGGGAGGGGCTTCAGACCCGCCAACCCACTCTCTGTGCTGTTCCTGCTGCGCCTCGTGTTGCGGCTCGGTCGGCTCCATCCTTTTTAATTGTACGTGGTCGAGATATAGGACGAACGACAAGGACGACCCCCGAAGCCGGATGACGTTCCCGTCCAGGTCGGTCAGCCGGAAGCGCGTGTGCCTCAGGGTGACGGGGCCCCCATGCAACAGGTCTCCGTGCTTTTTGACCTTGAGCCACTCAGTACGGATCTGGATTTGACCCTGCCACGCCTTTTGTCCATGGTCCCCACTAAAGCGGTCGACGCTCGTCCTTTGGCAGTTCAGGGGGGGTGGTTTGTGCTCAACCCGACTGGAGTATCCCGCGGATATCTGCGGTTGATCCTCTTGGCGGTTTGCACAAGTCCATTTTGTCTTTTCTGGCGGACCGGCGTTTTCCCACACGTTTGCTTGCACATGTCTCCAGTGGACATGATTGCCCGATTCTTGCAGACTGGTTTCACAAGCAGGGGTGGCAAGCTGATTTGGACTGGTCCGTTGATGCCCACCAGCCTTATTGCTTGCGTGCGCTACATGCTTTGAGCCAGGTCATCGGGCGTTGATGGGGACATTCCCCCGTCCATGGTTTTCTCGCCTACCTCATCTGGCATTGATGCATTGATGAAGCAGATGTGGCCCTTTTGATTTGCCTGGACAATTGGGCCAGTGCAGGCCGCCCAACATGTGGGGCTCACGGGTTGCCGCGGGCAAGCGGTGCCTGTCACTGTGAAAGCGGTCTGGATACGAGTTGCGGATCAATCGGCGGCTTTCGCCCACTAGCCGTTCTTTCCTTGAGTTTTGGCACGCTTGGGCAGCTCTCCCACCTCAGATGTACCCGCTTCAGCAGCCAGTTTGCTTTACCATTCAGGCAGCAGCCGATGCCATGGCCTCCTTTGGGATTGGCGGTTTTGTGCGCCTGCCCAACGGCAAGGAAGTCTGGTGTAGCGAGATTTTCACCGTCTTTTACAAGGGCCCCTTTTTCGCCTTCAGCTCAGCGGGATATTACATGCTACAAGGCATTGCGGCAAATGGCCGTACTGCTTTGTCTTGCGAGTCTGCTAGCAACAAGCTCCACTCTTCTCGGGCCCCTCTTTGCTTTGTGGTCCAGCGCCTTGCTTCGCTATCCATTCGGGAGTCTGCAATGATGATGCGGATTTCCTGAGCCGATGGTCGGGTGATACGGACACAAGTTGGCCCCCTGCTTTTCGAGAGCGCATTTTTCTGCCGGCTTTGGTACCACCGATTTCAGTAGTCCCGGCGGATTATCGCCTTAAGTGGGACCCTCTGGAGCGTTTTCTTTCAGAGCCGTCAAAGGCCGCGTCATGAGTGGGGCTTGCAGTAGCGCTCCTGTGACACTGGCAGTTTAAAGCGAGGGAAACGGTTGTGGTCTGCTTCGCTTTGCTTTTGGAAGACCACATACCCACCGCCAGTGTCAAAAAGATTGCTCGCCTAGCTTGCCTTAGGAACATGTTGTTGCTGGGTCTAGGAGAACTGGTAGTGTGTTTACTCACTTCTGTTTTCCATCGCACACATGTGTGTGCCATTTTGGACCAAGCAACGGCATAGCTACTTGCACCTTGTTTTTCTCCCACCATCTCCTCCTTTTTGGTCCCCCTGTTCTATCAGTGGGGAGGCGCTTGAGGGATGCTTTCGCTTCGGCCCTTTTCAGGGTCTGACCTCCGAGTCGGGGCGCTTTCCCTTCTCAAAGCTCGCTTTGGCACGCTTTGCCTGTCGGACCTTGATGGTCTCGAATTTGCACTTCTTTCAGCCATGTGAAACATGGCGCAGCCGAGATGATGCCAACTTGGGCATCACTTTTCTGTTTCTCTTCCGGTTTTCTTTAATGAAGAATTCTCGGGGGGGAAACGGTTGTGGTCTGCTTCGCTTTGCTTTTGGAAGACCACATACCCACCGCCAGTGTCAAAAAGATTGCTCGCCTAGCTTGCCTTAGGAACATGTTGTTGCTGGGTCTAGGAGAACGTTCCTCGTTCATAGGAATTTCAAAGCCGCTCACAAGCAGAACACGGCCTCCTATTGTTTCGCTTTGCGCATACTCTGTTCCATTACAGAGTTTGCCACTTTGGGGCGCGTTTTTCTGCCTACTGGTGGCAACTGGCAACGCGCCGGAGCTTTTTTGCACGAGCAGTTGGCACTCATTGTCGTGTTTTTTGCCGCAATATCAGCGCCGATTTCCTGGAAAAATGTGCATTTCCAGGAAGCTCTCACCTGGTGTGGGTGGAACATGTATTTTAGTCTCGAAACAATCGAGCTCACACCTGTGAAGACCATGAAACTAATAGAACAGCTTCGCGTGCTGTTAAAATCAGGTAAAGTGAAACGCAAACTCCTGGAGCAAGTCCTGGGTTTGCTCATTTGGGGCATGAAGATGCCTTGAACAGACGAGGCAAGGACGGCCTTGGAACTGAGTGCCGAGCGAAACGCGGGCCATAGTCGCGCATGCATGGAAATCACGCAGCCCGGAGGTGCATGCAGGTCCGAGTAAAGCGGCGCGAGCCAAGCCCTGCTCTAGGCTTAGGCCCATAGGTTCTCGAATTCTGGAATTTGAAGGGACCCGCGTCAGAACCCCATCCGACCTGCTTGCCGTTGGTGCGTGTGTCGGGCCCCTCAGCAGAGCATGCTCGCCTGTCTAAGGCAAGCAAAGCCAGCTTGGAATGGCTCACACAGTGCTTCGATATGGACATGGCATGCCCGCTCCGACACCAGCCCACGCTTGCGTGCAAAGCGGCAGCAGACGCCTGTGCCGAAGCATAGTAGGCGTAGGTGTGGTTCATCTCTAAGCGTTGTGTTTCTTGGTACGTGGGACTTCACAGAAGTCCAGACACAGTGGCCTTGCTTAACCAAAGAAGCACAGCGGTACATCGCATGCTTTGAGACCCTCGCCCAACTCGCGCTCATGCGCGTCGCCTGGGCTGCCGAGGGGCAGACATGCCACTGCGTTTGCATCCCGACCGGCGCCGACAACACAGCCTCCGAGGCGGGAGTGAACAAACTGTTCACCGCCGCATGGCCCCTGCAACTCTTTGTGCAGTTAGTTGGCCTGGGCTCACAAGCATAAATGGTCGGTGATCGCCTCCCACATCCCAGCAGAGCATAACATCTGGGCAGACCAGCTCAGCAGGGGCAATCTGGCTGCCTTTCAAAATAATAAGCCGTAGTCCAGAGTGCCGCACGATTTCTTGGCACGCAAGTCTGCCTTGACTTTGCATCCGCCTGATGCTCCTTGGCGCCCAGAGCACAGGGCAGCCTCGCAACCGCACTAAAGAGCGGGCGAGTGTTGGACCGGTTGCTCAGAACGCTAAAGGGGGGGTATTTTGTGCAGGCCCCGCGCAAGGATGCAGGTCAGGGATGGACACGCTTTGTCGTCCCTCCCGCATCCTCGAGCCTGGACTTCTGAGCAACGCCTAATAAAAAAGGAGCAGGGCGATTCGGCCGATTGAGTTGTGAGTTCCTCCCCCTTTGTATTACTGGCCCCCTCTTGGCTTGAAGCAGTGAACAGGATTCTAAAGCTTGGGGTTTTCTGTTCCTACGTGTTTTAATCCTGTTCGAATCTTCAGCCGCGTGGCCGCTTTGCTTCAAGCCTCCCTCTTCCGCTTTTTTCAAAGCCCGCCCACCCACTCTGGCTGGCATTGTAGTTGCATATCGTGCCAGCATGCTTTCTCCAGCTCCTCCAGTATGTCCTTTCGGACTCCGCGAGACAGAGAGGACACGTTGCTCAGCAGTTGGCACGAGAGCACGCGTTGCTTCGTGACCGTTCTAACTTGATAGGAGTTGCATTGCATCCGCACATTGTGCCAGCATGCACGTTTTTGGCTAAGTGTAGTCTTTTTGCCACTGCATGCATGTGTTCCAGTCCAAGAAGTGAGGCTCATTAGGTTTCCATTCCACCAGCGCACCGTGCCAGCTTGCACTTTCTGCTGCATGTGGTTTTTTGCGCCAAAGCACAAGCGAGGACGCATTCCTCCGGCATGTTTCCGGACTCAGTCCGACGCATGAGGACGCATTCCTCGGCATCTCTCACGGAGCACACGTTGCTTCGTGGGACACACAACATTACAGGACCAGCCGTGGGTCTTATCCTTTGAGGACGCAATCCTCATTTTTACGCACACAGCTGCACGCATTGCTGCTTGAAGTGCCACAATACCTCCAGTTTTTGTTTCACACCCCTGGGTAACACACCCTGTGAACAGGTTGAACACGCGCTGTTAAGCTTGGGTATTTGTGCAGGCTCCGCAGAGGGATGCAGGTCAGGGGATGGACACGCTTTGTCGTCCCTCCCGCATCCTCGAGCCTGGACTTCTGAGCAACGCCTAATAAAAAAGGAGCAGGGCGATTCGGCCGATCGAGTTGTGAGTTCCTCCCCCTTTGTATTACTGGCCCCCTCTTGGCTTGAAGCAGTGAACAGGATTCTAAAGCTTGGGGTTTTCTGTTCCTACGTGTTTTAATCCTGTTCGAATCTTCAGCCGCGTGGCCGCTTTGCTTCAAGCCTCCCTCTTCCGCTTTTTTCAAAGCCCGCCCACCCACTCTGGCTGGCATTGTAGTTGCATATCGTGCCAGCATGCTTTCTCCAGCTCCTCCAGTATGTCCTTTCGGACTCCGCGAGACAGAGAGGACACGTTGCTCAGCAGTTGGCACGAGAGCACGCGTTGCTTCGTGACCATTCTAACTTGATAGGAGTTGCATTGCATCCGCACATTGTGCCAGCATGCACGTTTTTGGCTAAGTGTAGTCTTTTTGCCACTGCATGCATGTGTTCCAGTCCAAGAAGTGAGGCTCATTAGGTTTCCATTCCACCAGCACACCGTGCCAGCTTGCACTTTCTGCTGCATGTGGTTTTTTGCGCCAAAACACAAGCGAGGACGCATTCCTCCGGCATGTTTCCGGACTCAGTCCGACGCATGAGGACGCATTCCTCGGCATCTCTCACGGAGCACACGTTGCTTCGTGGGACACACAACATTACAGGACCAGCCGTGGGTCTTATCCTTTGAGGACGCAATCCTCATTTTTACGCACACAGCTGCACGCATTGCTGCTTGAAGTGCCACAATACCTCCAGTTTTTGTTTCACACCCCTGGGTAACACACCCTGTGAACAGGTTGAACACGCGCTGTTAAGCTTGGGTATTTGTGCAGGCTCCGCAGAGGGATGCAGGTCAGGGGATGGACACGCTTTGTCGTCCCTCCCGCATCCTCGAGCCTGGACTTCTGAGCAACGCCTAATAAAAAAGGAGCAGGGCGATTCGGCCGATCGAGTTGTGAGTTCCTCCCCCTTTGTATTACTGGCCCCCTCTTGGCTTGAAGCAGTGAACAGGATTCTAAAGCTTGGGGTTTTCTGTTCCTACGTGTTTTAATCCTGTTCGAATCTTCAGCCGCGTGGCCGCTTTGCTTCAAGCCTCCCTCTTCCGCTTTTTTCAAAGCCCGCCCACCCACTCTGGCTGGCATTGTAGTTGCATATCGTGCCAGCATGCTTTCTCCAGCTCCTCCAGTATGTCCTTTCGGACTCCGCGAGACAGAGAGGACACGTTGCTCAGCAGTTGGCACGGCCTTGCTCGGCCTTAACGTGCAGGAACACTGCGAGCTCTTTGTTTTTCAGGGCTTATTGGCTGGATCCTGAAAAGTGGCTCGAAACCGCGTTGGCGAATCTCGAGTCAAAGCCCTCTGCTGCATTGCAACGCTACCACATCTGAAGTAAGGCGGAAACCTCCGCTCTGTCACTATGTGTCCTGCTTCGTCTGGACTTGTTCTCGCGACTCCTCCTCGCCCAAGTTCTTACCTAGACCCACGAGGCCATAAAAGCCCTGCCTCATTTCCTCGATCCCATTGGCGCCGCCTTTATGAATGTCTGCCATGGTCACCAAGAGCCCTCAGTCCATCTGCCCTGCCATCTGCCAAGGATTCATCTGCCCTCTCACCAAGAATCCATATGCCCAGTAGAATAAATTAGCATACCAGAAGTTTCGAAGAAGAAACAAGCCATTGGCCTGTTTCACAAATTTTCTGGCTTTGGAATGACAAATAATCTCAGAGACCAGGCATATCTTTGTAGAAGTTCCTGAAAATGAGAAATATCTTTGACAACTTGAAAATCGGGTGTAAGACACTTTATACCATTGTATAGGCCACGTGCAGCGAACTGTTGAAAGCATGATACGTGAGATCTGTAGTCGACACGATGCATCGCATGGTCGTGCGAATTGGATCGAATCGCTCACGTGCTTTTCTTGAAGTTTTGACAACAACGCATGTGGGAGATTGGTACTGCGCCGCCAAAATTTTGGGAGCGGTGGCTTCTTCTAGTCATACCGCAAAAAAACCATTGCAATCACAACCAAAAATTGGCTCGTGTTGGGATCCAATGCGGGCTAGAAGAAGCTGCTTGTAGTGGCGTCGTTCAATTTGGATCTTGATTTTGACCGTTGTTTACTTTCAAGGGAGAACTTTTATAGAGTAATAACTTGAACAATTGCTCCAACCCTCCAGGCAGGCGTGTTGTAATTTGCAAATTGACATGCAAACGCAACATGATGGAATACGAACGTGGAATGCTCATGTAATCGAGCACTGCCACGGTTGGACCACGCTTGCGTTTGCAGTGCGATATTTGGCAGCGGCAGCAGCAGCAGCAACACCAGCGGAGGCAGCAACACCAGCAGAGGCCGCAGCAGCAGCAACAGCAGCAGTGGAAACGGCAGCACCAGCAACTGCAACAGCAGCAGCAACAGCAGCAGCAACAGCAGCAGCAACAGCAGCAGCAACAGCAGCAGCAACAGCAGCAGCAACAGCAGCAACAGCAGCAGCAACAGCAGCAGCAACAGCAGCAGCAACAGCAGCAGCAACAGCAGCAGCAACAGCAGCAGCACCCTGTTTTGCAAATTATTCATCAATTCATGGCTTTGAACTTGCCATTGTTGAGATTCGGCACCGACGGTTTTTGGTTCGGATGAGATGTATCAAATTTGGTGGATGCGCAGCTTTCAGGGAGTACTTAGCGCCTGCCAAGAACGTGCTTTTCGAGCCAGGCTGGTGGTCGGGCGTAAAACACTTTTTTGTGCATGCATGAAGTTGATTTATTTTTGCTGGAAGAGAAGGACTTGTGCGGAAAACCATTTTGGTGTCTTCTGTGAAGGCACTCCTTATAGTGTTGCTTGGAATCTAGAAAGGAACCGCCTTTTCCAGGGGTCCCACCTTGAGACCGCCGTGCGAAGAGCGCATAGCTTTGGGTGCTGCGAGTGCCTTTGAAGGCCATGGCAGCCGACGCAGAAGACAATGCCAGGAACTTGTGTCGTATGGACCACAGTCAAGGGTCGTTTTGTTTTCCTTGTATTCAACCCAGCCACTTAGTGTCCGGGACCCCACCTGCATAGGCCGTTACACTCCCAATCAAATGGCTCGTTGTGGCATTTCCCTGCGCTGGTTTGCCTATATAAAGTGGTTGGCAGATCATTTCGTATGGTGGACATTCCGTTTCCATTTTTGTTATTTGTGTTTTCGATTGCTTTGTTCATCCCTCCTCTTTGCATCGGCTGTTGCAAAATAATGTAGGCCGGTTTCTTTGGTTTGCACAATTCAAACAAAATGGATCATTCCGATTCTCATTCCCTGCATCTCTCGCACCAGCAAGTCATTTTTAGATGCCCCCAGCTGAGGCGTGGTTGGTGGACATGATTATCCAGCCCAAGCCTTGATCGAATGACAAGAAATCCACGATTTTCCGCCATGAGCAACGGAGAAACCAGTGAAGGACTTGGGGGGACAAACCAACTGCAACACAAAAAAAACCAAGGGACCGCCCCAATTTCGACTTGTCTTTGGCAGCAATCGCATAAATGAGCATGGCAGTTCAGGTTCATGCATTCGCCATCATGGAATGACCCGATCAATGCCTTTATTGCGGTGACTTGGCTGCAGGTGATGGTGGAGGAAACAGATCTCATCGAGACAAGCCGCATCCGCCGAAAATCTAATCTGTTCTTGGTGGTTCCCAGTCATCCGATTCCTGTAATTTTTGGTTTTTAGTTGGTTTAGTAGTTGGGTGTCCGAATTTAACCGCAATCTACGTCCATCGACTGAAATCCACTTCCATCAGGCTGTGAATCCGCCGAATGAGCGTCTCAGGAGAGATGCACATCCTTCGACAACTTCGAAGAAGAGATGAAACACGAGTGCGCTGGCCAACTTGGGATGAGGTGAGGCCCTTGCACTGGCTGGACACCAGTGAATCAAACTACCCAACCAGGCAGTTTCCTGCGGGAACACCGGGAAAAAAAGCAAAAATATCGTCAGCCACTGGTCGAGAGCGAGTGTCGGTTCCAATGCGCTGGCACATCATGGCCTAATCGCCCGCGAGGGATGTGATGTGCCAGGTACATGGAGCTGCACAATGAGTTCAGAGGTCTGGTGGACAATTTGCCGGGAACTCAGTTGCTGACAGCTATATTTTTTCTGCTGCGAGAGATGCAGGGAACGAGGAATGGTTCAGTGACCCCGAGATAAACCATCCGGCTGGTGGTTTCCTTTATTCGGGAATCCCTGGGTTCATTCCCACATTCCCTACTGAGCACCAGCACGTTCTCTTACACGTTTTCAATTCTGCCTGAACGCCAGAAAGATATGACTATGGGTCAAAAATCGGTATCCAAAATGGGTTGCCCTGCTAATGGAAGCAAGGACGATTCAACCGGCGGTCCCCTAGCGGTTCAATTTTGAGCCATGCCTGTATGATATCAATGAGGGAGGCCGTCCGCCCAGGTTGACAGCTCATCTGCTAGAAGTGGACATCTCTCCCGAAGACTTCGAGAAGCAGGCTTCTTCCCAGTGCGTGTGGCTCCATGCTTCCTTCCGGCAAGGTTTCGACGGCACACAAATTCAGTGGAAAAGTGGAGGCAGATGAGACTTCTATGTAAGCGCAAGGAGCCGGATGAGAACAGGTTTGGAACGACAGACGCTCACTTTTCCACACTCTTTGAACATGCATTGCATGGTAGGTCCCGAATGATGCCTTTCTACTCCCGTTTTTTTTTTGCCGGCCAACTCCCCCCCCGGGGTTTGCGGCCCCCGGCCAGGTCATGGAGAGTGGCCTCGCGCAAGACGAGCGCATGCGCCTGGGATCTGCAGTCTGGCAGCTGCCTGGAAGGAGCTGGCAACTGATGGTTTCATAATATACATGTATATGGCCATGAATTTCAATAGGGAAACACCTCAAAAGTGATTGGTGGACATGAATCCCCACCTAAATGATGTCCACCAAAGGGTCCTATATTAAAATTCATAGCCATATATCCCAAACAGATGAAACCAAATGAATTAAGCAAAGTAGAGGTCGATAAAAAATTGCACGTGCTCGGCGGGGGCTTTCAGCGAGCTCTTCCCGTGCCTCGCCGCCTCCGCTGGCTCAGGCAGCGGCTGGTCTCGCAGCTCGTGGCGGCGGAAGACTTCCTCGCCTTCAAAGACTTGCGCGCGAGCTCGGCTTTGTTGGTCTCAAAGCGGGTTGTGTTTTTTTTTTTTTTTGTTTTTTCTCTCTTTTTTTTTTCTCCGGGTCTTCCAAGGGGTTAAGCACCTGCCTCAAGAAAGTGCATCCCCAAAAAAGACGTGCTTGTAGAGACCAAAGTCCTTTGGACGATTTTGCTGGCTTGGCTGTGGAATGTAGGGATTTGCGACAAATAGCGGCTGCAGCCATCATTTGTGAATGAAGCTGATGGGAAAGGACTCAAGGTGTTTGCTAATGCCTTTTGTGCCATCGGCTTCTGACATTGCTTCTGGCTTGTGACATAAATTGATATGGACTGTTTGAGTCATTCGCCGTCCCGAGGATGCTGCAACATCATATGAAGATGCAGCAAGAAGCAGAAGGCAGCGTCCTCTGGTTGGATGCGCATGCGGATAAGAATGGCTGCGTAGATTGTCTGTCCCCAGAAACATGTAAAATGGCAGCTGCACCCATTTCTGGTTGGGACTATCCCTGACTAACCTTCACTTATCCCGGGCTTGCTGGCTCATTTGATATCTCACCTGCGCTGGCATGATTTCAGACTTTCCAACCGCGATTCAAAGCCAAGGTGCCTACAATGCCAAGCCCCATTTCTGAAGCCGTAGACCATCTGAATACCAGGATTTGATTGTGACTCACATGTGAACCTTGTCATTTTCGAGCCAGCATCCGGTGCAAACGATATGGCCATGGGTCAGAATCCCGGTTATCCCCCAGTGAACATCCCAACCCCCACTAAGATAGGATCTAAAATGGGTGGTGAAGTCACCTACCCCAACATGGGATCCCATTGGTTTGACCCACAGCCATATCCCATTGGTACATTGCACCGACCGAACGCGCCGCAAGAAACGGCGGCGCCGGAGCCCAGGCAACTTCCGCGGCATGAGCCCCGAGGAGGCGGGGTGTCGTAGAGCTGTGCGGGTCAAGACGGGTGCGGGTTTTGTTGAGGGAGGGATAGAACCGGCGATTTTTACGGTCCAAATTGGCAGACAAGCCGATTTTTAGAGAAACTCTTCGGATTTGCAAGCAGCTTCGAATTTGCCAGGTGTCTAGCCAAAATTGTGTGAGAGTTTTTACCAGCAGCAACTTGTTCAGAACAAGCAGGGCAGTGGGGCACAGAATTGCAACTTATATCGCCCAATTCAGTTGTTTGCACATTGTCAGCAAGATAGCAGCAGGTTGCAGCTTGGCAAAACACGGTGGTTTTTCGTGACTTGGGCTGACAGAAGAAACTCAGGACGAGTTGGCCGGGCCTGGTCCAATGGAGCATTGCTTGAGGGGAACACAATGAACACAATCACTTGGAGGCAAGCCCTCTTTCAATGGCAGGAGCGTGCGGCCAACGACGCAGCCATTGCCGCAGCCATCGCTGCGGATGCTTCCACCATGGAGGCCATGTGCCGGGCGAGTGACAGCTTGGTGGATTCTTTGTCTTCCTTCACTTTCCCTTGCCTTTGGATGGGCAGTTTTTTATTGTTTCACATGTTTGACCGAGTCAATCATTGTACAAACTGGCTTGCAAGCACCTGACATTTTTTTTAATGTTCGACAATGTGAGCCTTTGAGACTGCCAGGAGCAAGCAGCAGCCGCCGCTGGTGGGGTTGGGGAACTCAGGGGGCCCTTGGAATGGCCGATTTCGGACGGAAAGAAGGGGCATTTCTTCTTAAGATCGGGGAGTCACCGTAAAAAGGGTGCTTCTCTTAAGAAGCAGACAAAAAAGGGGTGTAGACGAAGAAAAAGGAACACCTGCTTGGTGCCGCAGAAGTACAGTCAGAGGGGGGGTGGCATTCAGGCGCCGGCGCCCGCAGAAGCGGCCCCGCCTGCTGCGCCGACACCAGTGGCGCCACCACCTGTAGGGGCCCTCAGTAGGGCTCAGAAGGTTGCCACCCTCGCCCCCGGGGGGGGGGGGGGGGGGCGGAAGTGGTGGTATTTGCGTAAATGACTTTTTTTTTTGTTTGCGAGACTGTTGATTTACTTATGACTATGTTTGGAGGTTCATGTCCTCACCAGCGGGGCCACAGAAGTAGGGTGTAGACTTTCCACTTGAAACACCGCAAGACTTGGCTCGCGCTGCTCCATGTGGCTCCGACATCCTCGAAAGTTGTTGATCATGTGAGCCACGGTCAATATATGGGTATCGGTATGGGTCAAAATGAAACCGCCAGGGACCACAGGTTTTAGTCCTTGGTTCCATTTAACAGGGTACCTATTTTTGACCCACACCCATATGGTTTCTAGAAAGGCCATGTGTTCGTCTTTGTGAGTCCCCTGGTTTTTGTGGGGAAATTACACAGGAGTCCTACACGTTTTTTTCGGTTGTTTTTTGGTTTTTGGTCCTGTTCATTTTTAGTAGGGGGCTGCCAAAGACAGAACGCTCTTTGCAAGCCCACGGCAAGGGTTGGAACGAGATCTTCCCTACGGTGTTTCCATTGCTTTCAAACCCGAACGAGGCGCCCACGGCGGCAGAGGCGTTTCGTTTCGGGGGCGCAGGGGGATTCAGTCTCAAAGCTCGGGTCGGCCAAAGGGGTCGGAGCCACCAGAAACCATTTTGGGGTCATGGGTCTCTGTTCGGAGTCGTTTTTCTTTTTGGAGTCCCTAGGGGCGGTCCATGGGAGGGAGAGGTGGAGCGGGTTTTGTAAGGAACCCTCGCGAAGCTCGAACTTGCGAACTAGGACTCAAGTATCCACCCCCCCTTTGTACAAAGGGCACGTTCTGGCAAGTGGTTGAGGGTACCTCTACTTTTTGTGGTGATTGTTTTAAAGGGAAACCAAAAGGAAAAAAACACATTTTGTGGGGTGCGCTTTCAACGAGAAGATACTCCCATTGGGAGGGGGTTCCAGCCCGACTAGCAGGCTCTACAATCAACGAAACTAGTCCACGCACAGGCAGGCAGCAGGCTGGTGTCCAGTTATGCCGTTGTCTCCTGTGCATATGTGACCCACACATTTCTCAGGGATGTTCAAGGAGTGTTTGCTTTTCATGGAACCTTTCAATGTTACATTTCTGAGAGCTATTCCAACCACGGAAGCGTGTGCGACAACAGCCTTGTTTTATGCGAATGATTTTTTTTTGCTATTTTACTTGTCGGAGAGGTTCTCGGTTCTATTCCGAAAGCGGGCCCATGCAATGCACGTTGAGCAGTAGATGGTTGCATCAGTGGGCCAGTTGAGTGGCGCCCGGTTCTTTCTTTGGGGAAGAGTTGCCCTTTGAAAGTGAAGCATCACCAAAAAGGTTTGTATCTTGGTGCGCACCAGTAGGAAACATTTGTTATCCCTCCGCTGCCGGCATATTTTGGATGGCAGCAAAGCCTTGCGCCAATCGATCACTGATTCAGGGCCCCGTTTGAAAGCCAAGGAGTCTTGGCAGGAGTTTTTTTGGGTCTTCCTTTTGGTTTTCCCTCTGCGTTCCATACGCCAAGTTCTGCCAAGGAGGTTTTGTGGCCCATGGACCCGTGGAATTTTTTCTCCAGGAGCGCGCCTTCGGCGCCGCCGGGGGCTCCTACGGGAGAGCCGCGCTGGGCGCCGGCCGGAAGCCGGGGAGCTCGCGCGGTTTTTCGTGGCGGGCGGGGAGGTTTTGCGGTGTCTTGATCTAGGTCCGTGATACATGGGATGAAACAACTTGGCGGATGAAACACAAAGATTCATAGTTCGGCCACAGGGGAAAGTTACGAATTGGTCAACACTGGTGGCTCTAAATGGCACATTGATCAACCCCGATTCATCGCTCACTCACGGGCAAGCCTTTTTGCGTGGTTTGCAGGCAGACCCGCCAAGTTTTATTTGGGGAATCACGGCCAGTTGTGTGGAACTTAGAGGGGAGGTGGGCTGGGTGCTGTTGAGACTCAAGTGGCTACTTCGCAGAAGGAAAGTCTTGCTCAAGCCGACCTTTTTTTGTCCGACACACCAAGGCCATCTATATCTTATGCTTGGCAAAATGGTGGTTCGATGGTTGTGTATGACAGTAGTTGTCAGACCACTGCGCTCTCCCACTGGAAGTCAGCCAGCGGGAAATGCCGGGGTGCTTGGGCCGGCAAGTATTGCGGAAGATCTTAATGACCTTGCAAGCAACAAGCAACGTACAACCTCGTCCAGTTTGTCAGCTGGCAGGTGTATTCTGTTTGGTTCCCCTCCACCGTTTTCCTTGTTTCCCTTTTTCTCTAATGTTTCTCTCCTGTGTTCCCTCCGGGAGCAGTGCCCAAAACGGGACCTTTCCCTGGCACAACCCGCCCAAGGCCCGCGGGCAACGAGAAGGCTGCGGCCATCCGGAAGGTGCCGGAAGATGGGTGTCGGTTCCTCAAATGGGCGGTTTTTGGATTCTTCGTGGTTCGGTTCCCAGCGCCGATTCCTTTTTTTGTTTTTTGTTGGTTTAGGGTACGGCTCGGGTCGAAACCAGCCATCTTAGGTTCCAGCTTTGGTGGGTTTGAATTGTTGTTTTCTAGGTACCAGGGCAACCCATTTTGGGGTTACCAACTACTTTTCACCAGATCGTCTTCCAAATTCCGACCTCCTTCGGAAAGAGGCTAGGAAGATGCTTGGTGGGCACATATTCTTTCTTCTTTCTGTGCTTGTTCTGCCCTTGTGCTACCCGAAAAGGTGGTTGGGCCTTTGAACAATACCGCCGCATGGTTTGAGGACCATTCCCTTTGAACACCGCTCTCAAAAGGGTACCCAATTGAACCTGTCACACTGGTGCCTGTCTGCCATCTTCCTGAAAAAGCACTCAACAGGGGGGCCATTTTCCGGTTTGAGTTGACACCCCCTCATACTTGAAAGTTTGGGTCTGTTACACTCGTCTTGTAATGGTCCGATAGGGGAGGAACAGAAAAAAGAAGAAGCAAACAACTAAGGAACGCGTGTGGAACCTCTTGGGGAATCGTTTCGCGCTTGTCACCCAGCATGCTTCACAGGCTTGCCCCTTTCGATCCCCATTGCGAAGCGAGGCGTTCTTGCATTTACTCTCCCCATTGAGTTATTGTTTTGAAAACAGGCTCTTCCCGAAACTTTTCTGTATGAAGTGGCTGTATAGCACTGTATATCGCGTTAAACCCTTTGCTCCCATAGCGGTTTCGGGGTAGTGGACGCCATCTGCATGTGTGACATTTGAGGATACCTGGTGCTTATTTTTTTGAAGGACACCATTTCGTGGCTCACCCTCTTTCGACACTACCCTCATACCCATACCCGTGGTTTTTTTTTCAGCCCCTACAAAGCGGCAGGCTTTGTGCAGCGCAATGCGCCCCAGCTGAGCCCGCGGCTCAGCTTTGGTGCAACATTGGGGGCGACGGCATGACTTGGGATTGATCAACCCTTTCCATTGGATAATCTTTTCAGGGGGCTGCTTTGAATCCCCGGTTGGTGAATGCCAGCCATTTTAGGCATTTTTTGTTTTATTTTGTTTAAACATGTTATTTTTCAAAAAAAAAACCGCTTAAAAAACGCACCTCCCCAAAGTCCGGGGGTCCTCGATCAAACCGCGAGCGGCCGTGGGGTTTGGCGTCCCCAGCCGCCGGGCGCCAACCAACCAAGCGGGGGGGGGGGGCGGGCGGGTTTGACCCAGTCATGGGCGTGTTGGTCAAGGTCCCCAAGCGAAGTGCCCGGGCTCTCAGCCCTTTTGCTTTTTTGGTTGGGGTTGGGTGAGGGTTCGGGACCCGGACCAGAATAGACTGCAGAAGAAGTTGGTACGCTTCTTCTGTCCTCTGAAATCTGGAGGACCTAGACAAGGTGGTCTGTGGTTGAACGGAGACGCATCTAGAGAAGCACGCAATAAAACCTTGACTTGGCACCAGCTAAGCTAGCTGGGGGTATGCTTGAGTGAACGTGGGCAAGTTGCCAAGGCGCTTTTCAGCGGCGAGCATTGAGGGCAGAATCGAACGCGATGTTTCACACAGCAAAGTGATGCCGCCTAGGCGGTCTGTGGAGTCGACTCCCTGTCAGGCTTACAGAATCGTATGGTGACGTACGCCTGTAAGAGGGCGGCGGATAGATTCATGCTGCATGCCAGCTATGCCTTTGAGGGGCAGCCAGTGCAGTCCGCGATCAACTTAGACGCGAGATCATACACGCTGGGTTTGCAGCTTGAAAAAGGTGGACCGACTGTTTGGGAGCGCTCGGCAAGGCACCTGAAGCGTTATTGTTGAAGCTTTGCAGGCAAGAATGGCCCGTGCTCCCAAGCTTTCAGGTATTTCCTCCGACCTCCTCGGCCCAATGCTGGGCGCGCTGCGAGTGGCCGGAGTTGTCGCTCGTCCCAGGTTGCCCTTGGAGTTGAGGCAACATCTTTTTTAACTTACCCGATCCAAGAACCAAGGTGGAGAGGGCTTCCCCAACACGAAACCCCGATCCTCAGCTGTGATTCTTTTTGCTGGCTTGGGGTGAAACTCTCATTCCCTGCCTATTGAACCAGCAAGTTGTTGATTGTCTTGCTGGCTGGTCATAACTCGCATTCCCTGCCTGCAAGTTGTTGGAGGGGAGAAACCCGCGATGCGCGCCCGGGCTCCAGCGGAGACTTTCGGAGATCAAAGGCCATGGCGGAAGTGCCGTCGGACGAGGTGCCTCAGGCGCCGGGGGCGGGGTGAAGCACCGGGACTTTGGTTTTTAGGGCGGGCTCGCCGTTCCGGGGCAAAACGAGCGGAAGCCATGGCCAGGGCAAATACTATTTACTTGGATATCCGATTCTTATGTCAGGTTTTGGATTTTGTGTAAATCTTGCAGAGCAATGCTACGTCAGAACCTCCCCCCGCAACTTATGCCGAAGCTTGATCCGAGCTGCCCGCGAACCGGCTTCAACATGAATCAGCCTGACTCGCTGTGGCTGTAAGGCCCTGCCTTTTCTTTGGACATTGAGTGAGTGTCATGGACTTTTGACAAAATCAGCAAAGCAATCCCAATCAACGGAATGGAATCTCGCAATTTACCCGACCTTAACAAGGGGGTTTGTGATAGGGATGTCAAAATTAGGGGCCCTTTTTGGTATCCCCTTTAAAAGCGGCACGTATCGGCGGCACCGGGGGGCCATGTTTTTGACCACTCCCCTCATGTAGATGCATCCGAAATGCTGCGCGCTTGTCCAGGCTGAGAAGGACGAGCTCTTTTGCACCTATGCTGCCATGATCCTGAAGGCGTGGGGGGGGGATGTTGGGGCGGTTGTGGTTGAGTGATTTGGCTGTGGGTCAAAACCGCTTTGGTACCATTTTGGGGTAGGTGCACCACCCATTCTAGTCTATGTCACTGGGGATTGGGATGTTCACTGGGGGTACGGGATTTTGACCCATGGCCATCTGGGATTCTTGCTGGTGCTTGGTTGGTGGTTTGGGGATTTGAACCTCTGGTTCTTGAAGAGGGTGGATGGGAAACTACCTCCGAACTTCCAAACTAGCAATCCCAAATCATCAATTAGAGGGAAGCTGGCAGGCAGAGGAAGGATTGTTGTCTGAACCGCGATTGTCCAGGACAGCGAGTTGGATATTACGGAGGAGAACATCAACACCTTGATCAAGGCCCTGCGCTCCGAAGGGCACTCCCTTCATGAGGGAAGTTGCCAGTTCTGGGTAGTGACTTTCGCTTGAGACATGGGTGCGGTTCAAAAGAACAGGTACACAAAACGGGTTGCCCTGGCAAATGGAAACAAAGACTAAAACTTGCGGTCCCTGGTTTAATTTTGACCCACACCCACATGGAAAACTACTTTTGGTCGAGTTGCCATCTCAACCCGAATGCCCCATGAGGAGCCGCCTTCGAGCCTTTCTGGCCTTCAACCCGAGAGCGAGTTTGGGGCCCCCTTTTTTCCCGCGAAGCGACGAGCAAGAAAAGGGGCGCACAGGTCGATATGAGCCTGGTTCATAAGACATTTGCGGAATTTTGTGTGAAAGCAGGTGAGAGAATCTCCATGAGAGGCCTCGGGGGGCTCCATCGACTCCTTCTTCCCCGCGCTCTTCGCAAAGCTCTGCGCGGGCCGGGACTTGGACGCCCGGCCGGGGAAAGCTTTCGGTGGCGTAACCGGCTTCGCGGAAGGGGAGGTTTTTGTGGGGACTGCGCTTGTTTGCGACTCTGAGTTGGTACGAGGAAACGAGTGTTTTTTCTTCTTCTTTTTTTTGGCACATCTTCTTGGGGATATAAGGAATCTTGTCCCTGGCTGCTGATGCATACACTTTGCACTGCTCCCAAGGCTAGCTTGAGCTGTCCGGACTGAAGTACTTCCCACTCAAGGCATTCACTCTTAGGACCGCAGAACTTGTCTTGTTCCCTGCCATCTCAGTAGAAGGAAGTTTGAAAGATATTCATTCCTTTCAGAACGGGTAGCCAGTCTCACCATTGATCATCCATGCAAGCACGCAGATGTTTATTTGGAGAGATGTGTGGGTCCGGGGTGACGAGCCACAACCCAGAAAGAAAGAGTGAAGGTAGGTCTGCCCTCCTGAACATTTGCCGACAGCGACCTTTGCCTTTGCCACTGGCTAAATGGAGCAACTTCCTATCCACCGGTTGTTCTTTTCTCTTTTGGCAGCCCTCAAGGGATCAAAGAGCGCTTGGAGCTGGGGTCCGTGCCCTTTGATGATTTTATAGCCCTCTTTGTTGGAAGCAGGGATTGGCAATGCCGAGGCTGACATCTTGCAGCACGTTATACGACTCGGAGATAAGAGTCACTTTGTCTTAGCCTCCGGACTCATTGTGTATACGTAGGGAAATGTAAGACAAGGCAGTGCAATGCAATGTAATTTGGGGCACATAGATGCACATAAACCAGAATGTCTGTATGATGCAACATCACGCAACGCAGCATACGGAAATACATCATATGGCAACTGAACGCCACACAAGGCACTGTAGTGTAATGTAATGCAATGCAATACAACGTGTTGTAATGTAACGTAACGCATATGCAGGTGCAAGTATCGTGGTGGAATGTAGCGCAGCGTAGTGCAGGGCATTGTAATGTAGTACAGTACGGGTGCAATGTAATGTACCTTGATGGCAACATAACTTTACTTATTTAATGTGATTGATGCACGTGTGTATCATTGTACCATAGGCAGAGTACAAGTATCGTGGTGGATTGTAGCGCGGTGTAGTGCAGGGCATTGTAATTGTAAACGCTTCGCGTTGCCCGCCTCGGCCAGTCCGCTTTTGGCTGGCTTTGAGGTATATACTGTGCTTCAGTTTGCCTTGAAGTGATGTTATTAAAGTGAGTGAGTCGGCGCCGAAATGCGTGAGCTGGTTTCCAAGCTAGCGGGTGGGCGCATGTCTGCACGATTCCACCTGGCTTCAAGGGCCAGACCGAGAGCCGTAGAGAGCTGCAGAATGGTGGGCCAAGCGCAGGTCCAAATTTCTAGGGTATTGGACGGCCTTTTTTTGGTTGCGATTTTCACGGTTTCTAGGGGGATTTGACGGGAGCTGGACCTGTTTTCAGAGGGATTTTGGTTGGCCGCGCAGCATGGGGTCGAAGGAGGGGGAAGTCGGGGGGGGGGGGGGGTTTGGACGGATTTTGGAGTGGGTCGGGGATGGGGTTTAGAAGATCCCCGCGGCTGGCTTCCTGTGATTGCAGCTTTCTTTCCTGCTGTGTCGCAAGTAAAAGCTATCAGCACTGTGCACAAACGCAAGGTTTCCAGAACACACAGAAAGTGAAAACATGAACCATTTAGTTGTTCTATTCCTACATTTCCATAAGCCTATATATGCGTGTTTCAGTGCCCTCCCCCATGCGGACAAACAAAAGTGCTTACAATTGTTGTGGTTTGAGTGAATGGGGCTGCACCCTCGTGCTCTGCACAGCGGACAGCTTCTTAGTAAAGCGCATCAGCAGGTGCCCATAGCCCTGCTCCAGAGCCACTTTCATATACGGTGTGCATCAACTCTTAGGAGAACAGCCCCCCCAGCGCGAGCCTGTTTTCAATTGGGATTTATACACAGACATATGTTTGTTTGTGTGTGTTGTTTGTTTGTTGTCTGTTTGTTTGGTTGGTTTGTTGATTGGTTGTTTGTTTGTTTGGTTGGTTGTTTGCTTGTTTGTTTGTGTTTTGTCTGTCTGTCTGTCTGTCTGTCTGCCTGCCTGCCTGCCTGCCTGCCTGCCTGCCTGCCTGCCTGCCTGCCTGCCTGTTTGCCTGTCTGTCTGTCTGTCTGTTTTCTGGGGGCGATTTGACAGGTTTCTAGAAGAAGGGGTTTAATTGGCTTCGGGAAGGGGTTTTAACGGGAATTTGGCCGGCTTGCTTTGACCGGAGTGGGACCAGACCGTTTCCAGCGAGATTTGACCGGAGCCAGATGGGAAGTTGTCCGTTTTGATTTGTTTGTTTTTTAGGGGAATTGGACAGGTCTTTGGAGGCAAGTTGTGGGGTGGATCAGGGAGTTGGAGGGATTTGAGCTCCCGGCCCTGGAGGCTGGCTGCTTCCAGGCTCACTTCAGGCGGACATGGGGTTGGGGGGGGGTTGGACAGACTTTTGTAGTGGGGGTTTGGTCTGACCGCTTCCCGGCCCTGCGGGCCGAGGCGAATGTAGTAAAGTACGGGTGCAGCAACATGTAATATACCTTGATGTCCGGTGTGGCAACTTGCTTAGTCAATGTCATTGGTGCATGTGTGTATCATTGCGCTGCATTTTACTGTATTGTTGTGTGTTGTATTGTATTGCAATGTAACGTAGTGGAATCCAATGCTATGTCACGTCATGTTATTATGTGTGCTGCATCGTAATGAAATGTAAAGCAAGGAATCGGAATCACTTGCGCCCAAAAGCAAGCTTGAGGTAACTTCAAACAAACGGCAAACATAGTGCACCCCAGCATATGCACCGCGTTTTCACTGTGGCCGGACGCCCCACCCAAGGGCGATCTGCTGAAGATCGGCGGGGGCGGCGGCGGCGTGGCCGTGGGAGGCGGCGGGGCGGCGGCCGGAGGGGCCGCGCCCGCGGCGGAGAAGAAGGAGGAGAAGAAGGCCCGACGCCTTGCAGCGGGATGGACAGAATGGGACGATATATATATATATAATGTTTTCTAAATTTAACGTACATGTATACACGTTCATAAATGCATGCAGGCATTGTGTGTGTGTGTATACACACATATATATATATATATTTATGCATTCAGGCCCCGAGGGCGAGGGCGAGTTTTGTGGCAATCCGCAAGAGCGATGAGATTATTTTGTTCTTTCTTCTAGTTCGGTTGTCTTATTTTGCCGTTTGGCCTCACAGGCGAAGCGTTCGCTGGGTTTGGTTCTTTCCTGCTTTTTTGCTTGCTTGCTTGCTTGCTTGCTTGCTTGCTTGCTTGCTTGCTCTCTCTCTCTCTCTCTCGTTAAAATAAGTCGATACTTTACTACAAGTGCAAATGTTGTTCTTGCTGTCACAAACACAAATGTACATCATGCATGTACAAGGGACAAGTAGTACAGCATGATATTTGACACGGCCCCTTGGTTAAAAGACCCTGTAGTGTCTTTTCAACCATATCCAGAAAGGGGAAAAGTGCAAAGGGCTCAAAGTAGTTTTGACTGCAAAAGGATCGAAAGTAGTATAACTACAACTCTGCTGGCTGTAGTCCGCTGACTTTCAAAGATCAAAAAAACTGTAGTATGTACAGGCTGCTCTCAGTAGCTCTCCTGTTCAGGCCCCAGTAGTGGTACTGAGTGGAGTTCATGAGACACATCCTGATGTAGTTTGGACCTGGAGGTCCAAAGTAGTGAAGCTGTGGTGCGGTTGACTGATGTAGCATCACCTGTAGTTAGGTGTGCTTAGTCCAATGCTGGACTCTGTAGCCTTGTTGCTGACTGACCAGTGCGGTGGTCAAGGCTGGCGTAGTGGTTGGTGGTGAAGGTAGTAAGGAAGTCAGGGCCTTCTCGAAGACAAGTGTAGTTGATCTCTGGAGGTGGGAGTGGTTGTTGAAATGTAGTGAGGAGTTTGTGTAGTAGTAGTTTGTGTTGCATGGGAAGATTTGTGGCAGTGAGTAGTGTGAAGCCGTAGTACGTGGAACTCTTGTGCATGATGGTGTTGATTGCTTTGTAGTGGTGATCCGTTGTTGTGGTTGGTCGTAGTAGCTGAGTATGTCGTAGTTGATCTTGTGAAGTCGTTGGGGTAGTTGCCGAGTGGGTAGGTGATGTTGGCCAATGGCTGACACCATGTGACTCAAGTAGTCGCGCGAAAAGTTGATGAGGTGGCCGCTGCTGATGCAGTGTAACAAGATTTCTTGAGGGAGATGAAGTCGAACGATGATCATGGAGTTGGTGTGTGATGTGGTGAGGTGTAGGGAAGTCAAGTTGTAGTAAAAGAAGTTGAACGCTTCTGAAAAGCGTAGGCTGAGTGGTAGTGAATCGTAGAGGGGCATTCGTAGGTCTGATGGCAGGTTGTGGATTGGCCGTTGGTAGTCAAGGTCTGGCATTGGCGTGGTCTGCTGTTGGCTGAGTAGTTGATACTCCTCCAAGGTCAGCCCCACATAGACCTCAGCGTAGTTTTGTCCCTGATCCACAGTTGGAGTGTGAATACTGTCGTACTCGACAGTAGTCAGGTGGTTCAGGATGTCAGTGTAGAATGGTGCAGTGGTCGGTAGTTGGTGGTTGAAGTGGTAGTTGAGGGCATTGTAGGCCTCAGGTGGCGGAGGTGCCACAGAGACCATGCTGCTGGAATCTGTAGTGGATGGTTGGTTTGGTGGTGTCGAAACTCGGTCAGGTGTAGTAGTACCAATCTGCTGTGCTGGCACAGTAGTCTCAGGCGCGGTCGTAGTCGCATCCATGGGTCCAGACATTGCTGGTAGTGCGATCAAACAAACGAGGTGAGACGGGGCAAAGTAGTGAGCCAAATGGTAGCTCAAAAAAACACATGCGGGAATGTAGTAAAACAAAACAACATGTAATGTTGTCCCAAGCCGCCAAAAGCCGCCAAACGTGTAAGTGCAAATTACTGGTGGTTACAATTACTGTGACTTGTAGTTACTGTTACTGTAACTTACATGCAAGTAGTTACACATGGCCATGTACAAACTGTTGTGGTTGATGTGAAACAGTTGTTGTTCGTAGCGCTAAACGCGTATGCCAATGCTCTGTATGAGCCTCTGTAGTGTTTCTTTGCTGATGTATTTTTTTGTGAACAAGTCTGAGCTGTTGTGAAGTGTGTTGATTTTGAGAATTCTGATGATGTCGTGCTTGATGAGGTCTTGTGTGTAGAGAAATTTGAGGTCGATGTGTTTTGCTCGTTTGCTTGTGCCTTGTCGTGTAGCTATGCTTTTGCCTGCTGTGGAGTCTGTGTGGATGCGTAGGTTGAGCTTGCTGCAAATGTTGGTTTCAAGTAGGAAGTTCCTGAGGTGTAGTCCCTCATTAACTCCTGTGCATATTGCGTAAAGTTCTGATTCTGCTGAGCTTAGTGCTATTGTAGCCTGTGTTCTGCTGCCGAATGCAACTGTAGTTCCAAGGAAGTGGATGTTGAAACCTGAAGTGGACTTCCTGGTAGTAGGGCATCCTGCCCAGTCGGCATCGACATGAACGTCGAGATCCAGGATGTTGTTGGTGTTTGCTCTGAGTGTTGTTGTTGGTTCTATGGTGAATTTGTAGTGCTTGGTGCCGTGCAAGTAGCGTAGTAGATGTTTGACTCTCTTTTGTGAAAGTTCTGTAGGTGCTGTGAGGTCTCGTGCTAGTTCTTTTGTGGAGTATGCAATGTCTGGTCGTGTGTATGCTAACCATTGAAGTTTGCCAACAATCCTTCTGTACCTTTTGTGTTGTTCGTGGTCAAGTAGTGCTTCATCTTCTATTGTTGGTTTGTAGTGTGCAATTCCTGGAGTGTTCACTGAGTTGCAGTTGTTCATTCCAGACTCCTCGATCATGTTGTCGATGTAGGAGTCCTTTAGTCCAAGATTGCAGTAGTTGCCAAAGTGGTCGATGTTTCTTCCAAGAAATTGTTGTGGTTTGCCAGGTTCGAGGTAGCCGATGTGCTTGAGTAGGACCTGCTTCTGGATGGCCTCGAAGGTGGAGTCGACAGTAGTCTTGTCACCAAGTACCAAGAGATCATCCACGTAGACCATGATGTAGCAGTCGCGAGTCGCATTGGTGTAGACGTTAGGTTCTGACTTTAGTCTTACAAAGCTGAGCTTTTGTAACACTTCAGCCAGGTAGTCCTGCCATGCTTTTGGTGAACTGCGTAGTCCATACATGGCTTTCTTTAGTCGCCAGATTTTGTCCTGTTGTGGACAAAGTTCTTTAGGTGGCCAAAGGTAGACGTCACGTTGTTTACCGTCGTGGTCTTTTGCGATGGGTGCGTGTAGAAATGCTGTAGAGACGTCGCCTAGTCGCGCTATCCAGTTTGGTCGTGACATTTGTAGTGCGAGAAGTGTCCGGAGTGTCGTGAACATTGGTGTAGAGGCGTACATGGAGTCTTCGTCCTCGATCTTCTCTGTGTAGCCTTTTGCGGCGATTCGGCTTCGTACTCCTGGTCCTTTCGGTTTGACTCGTGTTTCATTCCTTCCAGTAGTTGTGTTTCGTCGTAACCTTCGTTGTCGAAGATTATGGGTTGGTCTTCTGAGGTGTCGTCGTTTGTGTAGGGGGTGATGGATTTTCCGTTGGGAAGTGTCACTGCGTTAATTTTCTGTCGTAGTGGTGGTGGTTCTTTGGTTGCTTGCTCCGTTGATCTGATTGTAGTGTCCTTTGAGGTCTTCTGTGCTTTAGTTGGTTGCATTACTTCGTCCGGAGTTAAACGTCGTAGTGTTTGTCGAGGTGGTGCTGGTAGTGGTGGATGTTGTCGTCCGGTTGGTGAAGTAGCCATGGGGCTATCTGGTAGTGGTCGTGAAGTTGCCGTCGATGTTGACGGAAGGCGTGGAGGTGACGTAGTGCGTTGTTGTTTCGTTGCTGGTTCGGCAACGATGTCGTCTGCGATGTTGGTCTGTTGTCCTGCGTCTTGTGTAGGTTGTTTCTGCTGGATTTGCGTATCCAGTAGTGTCGCAAATGACGGATTGTAGATACTACCTTTTGATGCCCAAGGTGTACCTGAGACCTTGTTTAGTAGCGCATGGTCATATTTGAAGTCAGGTTCTAGTCGTCTGACTGTCCTTGCTTTTAGTACGCCTTGTTCTGTTGCGACGTAGTTTTCTCCAGTCTCCGAAACCTTTCCGAGCCATATGCATTTCTGCGTACGTAGATCGGCTTTCGGAAGTTTCTTGTGCTGTGGTGGAAGGTAAAGTAGTGTTTCGCCAAATTCGCAAATTGCTCGCTCGTAGTTTCTTCCCCAGCGGCGTTCGAAGCTTGTGTAGCCATCGGAGTGGATGACGTAGCGATTTACAGTCCATGCTGCGTGTCGTTCTATCCAAGGTAGTAGACAATGCTTTGTGGACATTGAAATGCTGTAGTTGCTTTCAACTTGCGCTTTGACGACGCGGATTTGTCCGAGAAGTGTTCTATGTAGTCGCTCAACGCTTCCTTGACTGTTGCTGCTGTAGGATGGTGAATGTCGTACAGTCATTGAGCCGACTTTGGATGCTGTTGCTTTTAGTAGTGCATTGAGTGTGTCCTCGTTGTCGCTTTGTAGTATGCCTTGTGTTCTTCCGCATTCAACCATGAATGCTTGTAGGTTGTTGACCATGTAGTCCATCATTGATGGTTTGTCCGGAACCAAAACCGCCATGCGCAGTTGTGTAGTGACATCAACTGCCGTTAAGACTGGTATGGTCTTCGGATCTTGTTGTGATTTGATGTAGGCAAAATCCACTTGGATGACGGGTTGTCGTGATTGTTGTTTCTTGTAGTTGTCCTGGCGTCCTTTGCCTTGCACGCAAATTGGACACCAATTTCTGTATGGTAGGTGTGTCAAGTTGTGCTCTGCTATTTGTTGTGGAGTTGGTTGTTGAGGTTGTCGGAGTCCTCTTGCTTTGTGGGCTTCGTGATGTTCGTGGTATTGCTCTTCGTCGTAGTCCTCTTGGAGGTATTCGTAGTCTGTCTTGATGGTGAACCTTGTTGTGCCTTTCCATTGGAATGGTAGTGCGGCATTGCCCGTGACTGTCCAGTCATCTTTGCGTTGTGAGACTTCGCCGAAGCTGTTGTTTGAGACTGTAGTTCGGAAGGGTTCAAGAGTGTTGATTGATGGGTGTCCTGGTCCATCTGTAGGTGTGAACAATGTGGATCGTAGTGTGACGTGATGTCTTATCCAGTGTTCACCTTGTCTTTCCCAGTAGTCTTGGTTGTCTTCTTGTGCCGTTGGTGGTCGATGTATCGTTGGTTTTGCTTGCGTAGTGTCCAATTCTATGGATGGAGCTGCTTTGGGTCTCCATACCTTTGGTGGAGTTCGTAGTTGTAGTTTTGGTTTTGTCGTAGGTGTCTCTGTTGTAGGTTGCGGTGCTGAGCTTTGTCGTGGTGGTGTTGTCTTTGTAGTCAGCCTATGTGTAGATGTGACTTTTCTTCGGAATCTGGTTTCTCCAGTCCAGTCATCACCTTCAAGTCTTCTTTGTAGTTCCTGTCTGGAAAGTTGTTTGGTGTTCTCTTGTAGTTGCTCTTGTTCTTGCCCTTGTCTATTGATGATGGTTAGTCGCCAATCATCTAGTTGTTCTTCTGGTATTGGGCATCCGTTGTTGTGTGGTGTGAACAGTGCTTTGCGTGGTCGTTTGTGGACTCGGATGGCGTAGTCACCATCGAGTTTGCAGTAGTCAGTGTTTCCACCAAGGATTCGTCTTAGTCCTTGGTCTGTGTGAGTTAGTGGTGCAATTTGTTGTTGTCGTTGTTGTTGTTTTGTCTCACGCGTAGGCTGGATTACAGCAATGGGTTTTTGCATTGTCTGTAGTCATTGGGTAGATGTCGTGTCCTGTAGGTATGTTGATCTTTTCTGCTCGTAGGTAGAAAAGTCCTGAGTGTCGAATAAGCTGTGCTTGTCGTTGTCTATGTGAGATAGTGCAGTGTCTCGGGTTGAAGTCCAGTCCATATCCTCTATCAAGTAGTCTTGATGCACTGAGGATGCGGTACTTCACATCACAGACGTAGTAGGGTATCATGATCCTGAGGTTGTCCTGCTCGTAGGGAACGTACTTGATGCCGTAGACGGGGATCTTCTTGTTGGTCACAGTGTAGAGTTGTGGAACTGATTCTCCACAAGGTCGTAGTGGAAGATCCGGTGCGTAGTCCTTTGGGCAAACATGTGTAGACGCTCCTGAGTCAATCAGTAAGTGGTGGTAGGACTTGAAGTTGGAGTACATAATGTAGTGAGTGATGTTGTTGTCAGGTTTTCCTCGTTTCTGTTGTTGTGTTGCTGCTGCAATGTTGGGGTGTAGTTGAGGTCTGTCCTCTTGTAGGTACTGTTGATAATTGGTGCTGTGGTCATTCCATGATGTTGTATGAGTTGCTCTTTTCCCAAGTAGTGATTTGGGTTTGTGCTTACATTGTAGCGGTCTTCCTTGTCTGATGTGTCCTATGGTGAGGTGCGACTCGTTGATGCCTCCGATGTAGTTTGCTTCACCTTCATGACTGTAGTCATTCCAGTCCCAGCTGTTGTCGTTCCAGTCGTAGTCGTTCCAACTCTCCTCCATGTAGTTCACATCATGTCCATGTCCTTCTTCTCCTTCGTAGTACCAATCCGAAGTGTCGTGCATGTCTTGAGGTAGTTCCTCATTGTTGTCCTGAGTTTCTTGTTCTTGCCCAGGATGTTGTAGTTCTTCTCCTTCTCCGATGTGCCAAACCGGCACTCTGCAATCCTGCGCCCAATGGCCAGGTTTGCCACATCTGTGGCATGTCATGTAGATGCTGTTTCCTTTTGCTTTTGATTTGCCGTAGTTGCTTTGGCCTTTGTAGCCTTTGCTTGATCCGTAGCCTTTGGATCCGTAGCCTTTTCCTTTTCCTTTGTTGTAGCAATTCTTGTTGTATCCTCCTTTGTTCCCTTTGTCAAATCCTTTGTAGTGGCCTTTGCTTCTGTACTTGCCTTTTCCTTTGTTTCCTTTGTAGGATCCTTTGCCTCCATATTTGCTTTTGCCTTTGTAGTTTCTTCCTTTCCTCCAAATGTTGTCCACGTCCATGGGTGCTGTTCCGCCATTGTAGTTTGTGCCAACCGCTGAGCTCGCTCTTCAGAATGCAGATATGGTCTTGTAGTAGTCCAGGATGACAACTCTGATCTCGTTGTAGTTCGTGATCTGTCCAGCACGTAGTTGGAGATGTTGTTGAAGTGCTCCTTTGGTCTTGTTGAGTAGTATTGCAATCTTCACTCCATCTGGTAGTGCTGTGCCGTTGTCTTTCTCGTAGCGGTTGATGTCATACTCCCACTGTAGGAATTGTTCTTCAAATTGTGCTTCATTGAATGTAGGTTCCAGTAGTTTGGTGAGGTAGCCAACACTGCGTGTTCCTACTGGTAGGCTGAACCTGTTGTGCAAAAGCCGTAGTGTTTCACATCCATTGGCATTGTAGCGGTTTTGTCTGACCACTGTAGCTGCTGCACCTTGGCAGATGTTGATGAGGATGTAGTGTAGATCTCGTGAGAGGTCTACTGCTTTTGTTGCTTGTGTAGGGTCGCGTATGTGGGCTCTGATGTCTGCATCTTCAATTTGTCTTGTAGCTGCTTGTGCTAGTTGTAGTACCATGTCGAAGTCTCGGTCGATGAGTCCGAGGTATGCTTGTAGTTTGAACAGCCACTCTTCGTACTGTGAGTAGTCACCAGTGAAGAACGGTGGTGGCAGTTTGTATTTGTGTAGCCTTTGGACGTCTTCCTGCTCCTGTGTTGTTCCCGTAGTTGTGGCTCCTATTGTCTCCTCTGCTGTGGGCCCGTTGTCTGCTCCTGTAGTTGGTTGTGCTGATGCTGCTGCTGGTTCTCCTGACATGTCGTAGTAGTTGGGCATGTGGTTGCCTGTGCAGTTGTAGTACTTACTGCTGTTACTGGAGCTCCCCTATGCTTAGGATCTCAGCTCCGCTACCACGTTAAAATAAGTCGATACTTTACTACAAGTGCAAATGTTGTTCTTGCTGTCACAAACACAAATGTAGTTTCCCAGCATGCACTCTTTTCCTTGTAGACTCAAGGCCTGCGGTCGCGTAGTGTACATCATGCATGTACAAGGGACAAGTGGTACAGCATGATATTTGACATCTCGCTCTCTCTCTGTCTTTTGGTTTTCTTTCGTTCTTTCTTTTTTGCCTCCCTCTCTCTCTCTCTCTGTCTTAGTGTCTCTTTCGGTCTCTCTTTCTTGACCGCCACAGTTCATGGCTTCACCCCTCAGCAAAGTACACACTAAAAGAAGGAATGCTGAATGCTAGGGGTTCTTCTTTGTCCCTTCGCAGCAGCTTTCACAGCCTCCAAGAGTTGTCTTGCATAACCCAAACCATGCCCCAAACCATGCAATCCAGAAGATTCACACGGTGCGCCACAACACCCGCAACACTTTATCTCCCCCCAAACTGTAACAAACATGGGAAGCAGTTCCTAAAGTGAAAACAAAGACACCTTTTGCCCGTGCCGAGCGGCGCATTTCATGTTGCATTTTGCCGCTGCATGTTGCTGCAGGTTGTGGAAGAAGAGGAGGAGGAGGAGATGGACTTCGACCTCTTCGGTTAGCCTTCGGGTGGGGCGCTGAGGGAAACCCTCGAGATGGCTTCCTTGTTTCGGGGAGCCCCGAACGGTTCATTCCCACGACTCGGAAGGGTCATGCCCTGAGCACCAGCAAGTGTCAGACCTGATGCTTCGAGTTTCACATGTTGGATCATGTGTGCGTGTTTCCCCTGGGGTTCAAAGCACCATTAAAATAATGGTGGTTCATATAACCACCATTGTTTTCCTAAGGATTGTCATCATCCAAATTGGGTCAACCTTTCTTTGAGTGGGGGTTGAATTCTCGGGTTTTGTTTTTGAGTCGCGCAGCTCACAATTATCCCGGCCAGCTAGCGTTGCGGGTTGTTCGGATGCCGGCCTCCAGATATGGGTATGGGTCAAAATAAACCCACCAGGAATCGGGCCGCAGGGTTTAGTCTTTGGTTCCATTCAGGGCAAGCCATTTTGGGCACGTTTTTTTTTTTTTTAACTAGCCATGTGACCAGTGCACGGGAACCTCGTGGCTGCAGAGGCTTTTGCGGGGGCTTTTGCTGGGAGCTGATCGCGTGGTTCGCGAGGTTCGCGTGAGACGGGCCGAAACCAAGGCCCCAGGAAGCACGAGGCTCGACAGAAATCAGCTCCGAAGGTCAGAAAAAGCCGACCCGCGCGCTTCGCCGCCTGTGCAGCCCTGGGAGTCGGGAGATTTTTCCGACTTCCCCACGTCCGAGAAACGAGCTCGCGAGGCAGGAGGCATTTGTTGGAGTCTGCACCGGCCAGGTGTTTGACGAAAGAAGTTGAGGGTGATGCTTGTTCTTGAGGTCCAGGGGCCCCAAGCAAAGCAGCCAACCTTCCCGAAACAGTTTTTGGTGTCCAGGTGAATGCACATGCAGCCCCGATCTATACTCAGTTGCCCGAAGCCGGCCTTCTGAGCTGTGCTTCTTTTTTCCGTGTAGGTTTGTTTGTATTGATGTCCGCAAGGGGTTGACCTACCATTTCCGGGTCCTTTGGCCGAGTGACTTCACGATTCGTGATTTGCTGTTCATTTTGGTTTGTAACCTAAGGCTTAGGTCAAGCATTCAGTTGAATCCGAACAATTCACTCATGATTCTTATTTCTGTGCATTGGCTGCATAGCTTGCCTTCAACTACGCTGGAGCCTTTTATTGGCACAGCTTTTCTCAGTGGCTTCACAGATTCGCAAGGCCCGCGTTTTTTTTTTTTTTTTTTTTTTTCTTTCTTTCTTTTTTTCCCCCTTTTCTTTGTTTCTTCGAGTTTCCGGGTGTCGGCCGTGTGGCCCGTGCCAAAAACGATCTGCCATTCTTGCCGCGTGTTTTTTCGGCTGAAAAAGCGGAGCCTGCTCCGGAGATCGTGACGAGCCATGGCGGAAGTGCCCGCAGACGAGGTGCCGCAGGCGTGAGTGGGCGGAGCCACAGGAAACCCACGGGGGGTCACGGGGGGCATGGGCAGCGCTGCGAGTGGCGCTGGGTGTTGGAGTCGGTTTCACTCCAAAAGTGGGTCGATCGATTCAATTGTCAACGGAAAGCCACCTGTTGATCAACCTGTGACTTGGGGAGCTCCCGCCCTCTCTGTTTTGTGGAACCTTCAACAGAACGATCCTTTCAAAGGAAAGCCAGCAGTACGTTGATGCGCCTTCGACCTGGGGAGCTCCAGGCAACCCGATCCGGACCGGACCTATTGGCCTCAGGCCGAGAAGGATGAGCTGTTCTGCAGCTACGCGGCCATGATCCTGAAGGCGCGGCCGGCGCGGCCGGGTGGTTTTTGGTCAGCGGAGGCTGTGGCGAAGTCCCAACAAAAAGGAAATCCCGTGGGGGGGTTTGGGGGTGGATGTTTGGGGGATGTTGGGGGGATGTTGGGGGGAGGTTGGGGTTGAGTGATGTGGCGGTGGTGGTCAAAACCGTTTTGGGAGATCCCATTTTGGTTGGTAGGTGAATTCACCCAGTTTAGAGCCTGTTTTAGTGGGGAAAAAGGGATGTTCACTGGGGGTACGGGATTTCGACCCATGGCCAAATTGGCGCCAAAAGGTAAAGGGAGACAGAGACTACACCCTGCGGTTTGCTCCCTAGCTCTTTCATTTTTGAGCCGCACCGATTTCAACCAAATCTGGGTCAGCCCACAAAGCAAAGCGAGCCGACCACCTTGCCACCCCCTACTCCGCCTTGCGGAGTTCGGGGAAAACCGCCAGGATCGATTTGCTTCTTCTTTGGGAGATGGCAGGAGTCAACTCCTTCTGCCAGATGTGAATTGGCTGTGGCTCAAAAAAGTGGTACCAAAGTTGCACCCTGGTAAGTGGAACCAAGGACCAAAACCCGCGTCACCCCAGCTCTTCAATTTTGAGCCACAGCCCATTGAGCTTGTTTTCGAGCGAGAGACTCTTGTTCCGCTGAAGTCGGTTTTGGGGCTGTGGCCTTCGGGGCGCCTGGCGCGGTTTTCGGTCGGAAGAACTCTGGGGTTCAAACCGGCATTGAAAAACAAGTACTGCCTGAGGTCATGGACTTTAAACCTTTTGGGAAGACCATTTTAGTGGCAAAGTATAAAGTTTGGACTTTTTTTTCGCCATCCACTCAGCCAGTGAGCACATTTCACCGCCACGGCTTTTCCGTTCAGGATGGTCCTCCAAGTTGGGTCCTTGCCTTTCTTTGCGTGGGGGTTGATTTCCGAAGGCCTTGGGAACCGCCCCAGCCGCCCCAAACTCCCAACCCGTGCCGCGGGAGTGGATTGGAGCCTCGCGGCTCAAGATGGAGCCAGGACAGCGAGCTGGACATCACGGAGGAGAACATCAACACCCTGATCAAGGCGCCGGGCACTCACAATCGTAACCCTACTCACCATCGTTCAGACACCCAACGGAATGATTTGATTCCTCGGTAAATACCAAGAAACGTTATGGTTTCAACCATGGGCTTTAAAGTGGTGCAGCATTTCGTCCATCCAAAGTATGACTCTCCTGCGAATAGTTATCCTCCCAAGGTTTCTACTGCTCTTGACATTCAGGGGCCAGGGAGTCACGACCATGCAGTTGGGAAGCCTTCAAATGGATGGATTCGTCCATCCACAGTAGCTCTGGACATTTTCGACCCACAGCCACGCAGGCCTCGGGGGGCTCGATCGACTCCTTCTTCCCCGCGCTCTTCGCGAAGCTCTGCGCGGGCCGGGACTTGGACGCCCGGCGGCGCTTGGGGGAAGGGTTTTCTCGGTTTTCCAAAATTAGCTCCCCTTTTTTTCCTTCTTTTTTTGTTTTTTGCTTTTTTGGGGTCACTTTGTATTCCACTAACCAGGCAAACAAATATTTGTTTTGCTGGGGTCCTAATTCCAGCCTAGGGAAAAGCATGGTGGATTGCAAGCTGGCCCATATCAGTCATATCAGCTTAAGCTCGTAAAGCACATTGAGCCAGGCATTCGGTGTTTCATGCCTGGAAACAGCCAGTCTTGATGGCAACTGCTTTCAAGCAAGTTTCTGGTTTAGTACATCTTCAGATCAGCATAGTCTGCTGTATACACTGTTTGGCAATGACATTGTTGATTGTTGTCGCTGGCAGTTCCAGAGATTCTCATGGGTTTTCAAGCTTTCCCTGAATTTACCGCGCTGAAAAGTGGCCGCTTGACAAATGTTCGGAGCTATGCTGCTACGATTGATTCTCTATATCTAGCAAGGGAACCTCTGTAGTTGGACCACGCGTTTGTGCTTATTTGCTTGGCTTCCTTCCAATATTTGGCCTGGTGGGGCGACGGGAGGCATGAGGGAATGAACCCCGTCCTAAAGGAAACCATCCAGTTGGAAGGTGATTTGGGTCACGAGCCATTTGACTCTGGGTTACCCCCCAATGGTACCCCTTTTGGTTGGTAGGTGAGTTCACCACCCATTTTAGGTTACCTATTTTAGTGGTTGGATTGAATCAGATGTTTGGCCATTTCTCAGGGCCCAACAACCATCATCTCTCGCAGCGAGTGTGTGGTTTCCATGTTGGGATGTCCATGTTTCCACGTACCAAGGTTCAGCCATCTTGGGATTACCCGACGTTTGACCACAGCCATTTGGCCCGCCCAAGGGCGATCTGCTGAAGATTGGCGGGGGCGGCGGCGGCATGGCCGTGGGCGGCGGCGGCGCGGCGGCCGGCGGGGCCGCGCCCGCGGCGGAGAAGAAGGAGGAGAAGAAGGCCCGACGCCTTGCAGCGGGATGGACAGAGTTGGAGGATACATATTGTATACATATATAGACATATATATATATATATATACATATAATATAATATTTCATACATACATGCAGGCACAATGCATATATGTATATATGTATATATACAACATATTCATGTAGAAATGTGGCCAACGTATTCCCAAGGCATGCTTCATGTTGCATCTTGGCCAATTTCTGGGACCAGGGAACGGATTAGTGCTGCATGTGTTCTTGGCACTGCTTTTAGAATGGCTTGGATGAAACAGCAGGCACAAACGGAGGTGGTTGAGTTGTAGTACCCGAAACCACGTTGGATTTCCTTTGTGAAAACAAATCCCAAAAAATGGTTGGACATAAATCTGCAGGCAAATGATGTTTAAGATTCAGATTCAGACCCATATCGTCTTTTCGCAGAGGGTATAATGGGAACCTACCCCTAACCAACCCGAACCTACAACGAACCAGCCAATCCACACAGCCTGATTCCGGAGCGTCAGGTCGTTGAAGAGGAAGAGGAGGAGGAGATGGACTTCGACCTGTTTGGCTAGAAGGCACCTCGAACGAGAAGAGGGTGGGGTTTTCGCGGCTCGGGCCCACCGAAACACACCAAAGCCACGCTGAAGGGAAGCTCAGGGGACATCCCTAAAAAGAGGCTGCGAGGGTTATTTGGAGGTTCAGGGCTTCCCTTCAGAGGTAAGAACCGTTGAATGGTGTTCGTCGCTTCTTTTCAGAAGCGTCAGCTCTTGGGAGGATTTACCGGTGTTTCTCAATTCCATTTGGACTTGTGTGAACGCTTGTGCTTCCACCGATTTCTCATTGCAGCCGTGTTTGGGGCGCTCCACGGAATCCGTGAAGGCCGAAAGTGCAGCGGGAGTCCTACAAAAAGCAAAACTAGACACCAGACTCAGCCGCGATGAGTGCAGCCCAGAAGGCTCTGGCAGCGAGATATGTTGAGTCAGGAAGTTTCGTTTGCCTGAAAGCCTTTTTCTCGATCCTGAGGCGCTTGGGCACTTGGGCCGCTCCGGAGCTCGAAAAGAGGTGTCGCACGCCGGGGTGTCGTGAGACGGGTCAGCATCTGGGTCCCCCAGCGATTGGTGCCAACTCTTACCGTTTCTTTTTTGGTGGGGAGGGTTCCCGTAGTAAAAGAGACTACAGAAAAAAGTTGGAACCAACTTCTTCCAACCTCTCTACTGTAGGGCCTAGACATCTGAGCAACTTGGAATGGATCCGTGCCATGGGTGCCTCTGCGTGTGAAGCAGGCCAGCTTTTCCTTCATGTGGGGATGAGTTTGAGTTGCGGATCCCTTGGGTGGACAAACACATGATGGGGCTTTAGGTCCACAATCCATTTTAGCCCGATATTTGTACACACCTTTGCTCACGGTAGGAGGCAAAGTAGGCTGGAAGTCTCCGGATTCCAGACACGTCGGACTTCAAGTTGGCAGTGGATGAGAGCAAAGCCACAGAATTGCCGCTGTTGCCTCCAGGAAGTCGACTGCTGTTCGGCCTTTCTAAGTTAGACTGGCCCAGCAACGCAGAACTCTTGGCTCAAGGATTGGACAAGGACTCTGTTACAGACATTTCGTGGTGAGGGCAGCAAGATGCTGGTGGCAAAGATCCTAAGTTCTTGGCAAATACGTGAGCTGTGGACATCATGAAACATCGCAAGGCCCGCCTTGTGACACGTTGCCGCGGCTGTGAGCATCATGGCGCGTGCACACGTCCTAGGCTGGACGTGTCGCTGCGGGTGTGGGGTTGCGATCATGGCTTCAGTTGAAACCCATTCTTGGAGCCAGTAATCAGTATCCCAGCAAATGCCAGGTCTATTCCAGCTTGGCTACTAGAGCAGGTCAGAGTGAAGCGGCTACCGAGCCGTTGTGAACGTAGGAGCCACGGATTCGTTGCGCTTCTAGAGTTGCCCGCAAGCCCGTTCATGAGGCAGCAGGATATCTCAGAGCCGTCCAACTTTTGCGACTCATATTTGGAAATTGTCAGCCACCCAAAAGGGGGAAGTGGTGTTTTCAAGCTAACTTGGGAAAATACCGGACAGAATTCAAAGAGCTTGCTTCGGACAGATGTGAATGCAGAATTGGCGATCATGAGGTTGACATTGAAGCTGGGACATGAGGTTCTTTGCCACGTTTCAACATCCTCGCTCGTCGCTCAGCCCAACTGCCCGCTGCAAGCGTTGCTACCAGAACCGAGGAGATGATAGCAGCAGCAGCGAACGCCATGTAGGGCTTCATGAACTGCATGCATGGTCCGACTATCATGGCCGTGACACCTTTTTTTTCTTGGCATCCTGAGTTTTTTTTGGAACCACAAGGGAACCAAACCTTTCCCATTTGCTGAGCCCATTGAGTGTGTTTTGTTTTAAGGTAACCTCTAAAAGTATTTTGGCTTCCTTTTGAGACCACAAGGCGAAAATGGAACCAACTCCAAAACGACCACCGAGCCACTTGCCACCATGGCGCTCGGCTGGCTCCTGGCGGCCTGGCTGGCCGTTGTGAGCGAAGCGAGCGGCGCCGGCTGCGAAGGCGAGGAGAGCGCTCTGCTGACGCTGAGGCGGGCAGTGCGGGAAAATGAGGAGAGGGGTAGTTGAGTTTTGACCTGAAATGCATGGCATGAATGCATTCTTTTTTCAAGAGCCACTCGTAAGGGACACCCGACACCAAGCTGAGATTTGACTGGCGAGCTTGGCTGCCTGTGTCTTTCCTGGGCTACGTTGAAATCAGCCGCTCCATCTAATTGTCTCGGCTAATAATCGATTCGGACCAATGTGTGCGAAAGGTACGCGCACGTCGCTTTTGGCGCTCCCTCTTCAAGCTCTCTTGCTCTGGCCAGTAGGTGGAACCGATCACTAAAATTATGCCAATCCCCTCATGCGACTTTTGTCAACAAGCGGTGTGGGCACTCAGCGTGTTTTGCCTATGGGAGTATTTTTTTTGGTGTTTTGACCGCTGGCTCCCCAATTCCTTTGAGGTTTTTGGTTGACCCTTTGTCCAGGAAGGGGTGTCCCCCATTTCTTTGTCGCAGGTCGGCAGCTTTGCGCGCCTGGGCATCCAAGTTTGCTTACGGTCAACCTCTGACATGCCATTGGAAGCGCGCAACCAAGCGGATTGGCCGGTAGGTGCCTTTTTTTTTGGTGCTTAAAGACCTGGGGCTTCTCAAAATGGTGGACCCCTTTCTAGTGGTATTTAAAGGGACCAAGTCTTACTGTGGATAGACAAAATCCTGCACCACCTAAAAAACTCTGGATTGATTTGATTCGCCTGTAAACACCCAACCAACGTTATGGTTTCAACCACGGTTTCATTTCGCGGTGCGAACTGGATATCGCAAACATCCTCAGTAGCTGCAAACAACCATATTCTTCGTGGACCGCAAGCTTCTCAAAAACGGAGATTATTTACCCTTCCTCCCACCACATGGCACCTGGACGGGTAAAGGGACTCATTTTAGTGGCCGAGAGGGAAAAGGGACGCATTTTACTGCGACCAAGTCCCATTCTTTTTGGAGAAACAACTATTTAGGGCATCATTTTGCTGCAAAAGGCCACTTTCCCCCTGTTTTAGCTGGAATCGGCCCCCGGGGGTCCTTTCCCTCGGCGCCCCGAAGACCGGTTTTGGGCGCCCAAAGGCGCCGAGCCTCTCGATCGATCCGAGGCGCCGGGGGCGGGGAGCCCTTCACGCTGGCGGGGAAGAGCATCTACTTCATGGCGCGCGACCAAAAAGCAGCGCATATATATATATACATATCATATATTATACATATATATATATACATGATGTGTGTATATATATATATATATACCTTCGGGCAGCGGCAAATACTGATATTTGCAACGTCTCGCAGTTTCCATCGTGTTTTTTTTTTTGTTTTTTAACGTTTTCAGGTATCGCGCGCGCCGCTCACCACTGCATCCATGCCAGCCACATGGTGAGCACACCCGCTCACGTGCACCCGCTCAGCACGGTATCCATGCCAGCCAAATGGGTGTGGCTCAAAGAAAGGTAATGTGCTAGGGTTACGCATGTTTTAGTTTTTGGTTCCATTTACCAAGGTGACATTTTGGCACATTTTTCTGAGCCACAGCCAAATGGCAAGCACACCCGCTCGAGCGCTCCCTTTCAGCACTGTATCCATGACAGCCAAGTGGTAAGCACACTTGCTCACTCGCGCCCTCTCAGCACGATACCCATGCCAGCCAGATGGTCCGCTCAGCATTGTATCCATGCCAGGCAAGTGGTAAGCGCAGCAAGCGCACGTGCTCACGCGCACCCGCTCAGCTTGGTATCCATGCCAGCCAAATGGTTTGCAATGAAAGCAAAAAAGGCGTGCTCTGTGCTGGGCTTTGGGGAACTTTGTTCTCAGGGGCGTCCAACGTGCAGTTCGTACTGTGTTCAACCCTTAACGATACTTCGCCAATATAAATAAATAAATAAATAAATAAATAAATATATATATATATATATTGTATATGTATATAAATGTGTATGTATCTATATGTTTTTGTGTATGTGTGTGTGCGTGTGTCAGGTTCGGGAGTTTTGGACTCCCCCAAAGTGGCTTCTAGGAAGACTCGTGTGAGATCCAGATCTTCAAGGAAAAGGTTGCTGTTTTTTTTGTGTTTTTTTCGGGGAACCCCTTTTTGCAGGTTTTGAAGGGACATTTAAAGGAACACAGCGATTTTTCGGGGGCCCCCACACAGAGACACAGCCACAGCATAGTGGATCAAAGTTGTTTCTTAACCTTTGGTTCCCGGCCCAAGACACGGAGGGACTTGGCGTTGGCCGATAGGTGCTGGACCGCTTTGCGAAGAGCGGCGAGGAGGCGAAGGACACCAGCTTTTGTTCCAAGACGGCTGACTGGACGTACAACACAGGCGGAGTCGTTGGTCGTTTTGGGGTGGTGCAATCAGAAGCTAAATCTTGAAACAAACTTTTTTGTTGGGGGTTTGCTTGAACAAAGAGACAGCACCTGAAACCTTATGTCATTTTTTCCCCAGATAGCTGAAAGCTACCGGGGTTCTAACTTCTAATAAAGAGGGGAAAGTTATTTGCGAGATTGACGGCTGCGTGGCAGGGGGCGTGCAGTTTGGCATGTTGGCGCAGGTGCTGTTTGGGGTTCTGTTTGGGGTGCTCTTTGGGGTGCTGTTTGGGGTGCTTTCTCAGGTGCTGGTGACGGTGCAGGCGCATTTTGCAATGGGGGCATGCCGGTGACGGCAAGGGCAAGGGAGCGTTTTTTTGCGAGATTGACTGCAGGGTGCTATGGGGCATGCAGTTTGGGGTGCTGTTGCCGGTACTGTTTTGGGATGCTGTGTGGGCCTGTTTGAGGTGCTGGCGACGGTGCGGGCGCTTTTTTGGGAGAGTGATGGCTGGGGGCTGCGGGGGTGCTGTTTGGGGCGTGCTGTCAGAGGTGCTGGTGTGCAATCATTCGCCTGTTTTTCACTATCTTGGGTCTATGCTGGTGTATTGTTTTTTTTTTTTGGGTGGGGGCCATTTTGAAGCAAACCGAGGCGGGTGAGCAGGGTTTGGTCGGGAAGGAGAGGGGGGGTGGCTGGGTCAACATGCCGCATTGCTGCTCATTTTCACATCACATGTGGGCCCTTGTGTCCCCACCGTTTGCGTCTGATTTGTCTATGAAGTCGGATTTCTTGCAAACAGTGCATTGTTAGAGATTGCAGTCGCTCGCAGCCTGGCGTGTTTCGCGTGCCCGGCGGCGCCGCAGGGTCCAATCATGGGCCGGGGGCTGTTTCCGGACTCGGGTGCCACAGAGGGAGGCTTCAGAAATTGACCAGGAAAGGTCTGGAGGCTCAAACAGAAAGGTTCCACGGACTTGGCACGGAGTCGCCATAGGCGGCGGGTACTGCGGCGGCACCATCCAGGGCATCACCGAGAAGTTGGATTACATCCAGGCAGGGTTGCGGTTCGAGCAAGGGGTTAAGGGTTGAATCGCCCAAGCCAAGGGTATGGGCTTCGACTGCGTGTGGATCACCCCGGTGGTACACTCCAACAGCTACATGGGCTACGATGCTCACAACCTCTTTGAGATCAACCCGAGCTTCGGAACCAAGGACCAAAGAGTGAATCAGATGCGTTCTGGCATGTTTAGGCTTTGTTTGTTTGTTTGTTTGTTTGTTTGTTTGTCTGGTTGTCTTTCTGGTTGTCTTTCTGGCTGGCGGGCTGGCTGTCTGTCTCTGTCTCTGTCTCTGTCTCTGTCTCTGTCTCTGTCGCTGTCTCTGTCTCTGTCTCTGTCTCTGTCGCTGTCGCTGTCTCTGTCTCTGTCTCTGTCTGTGTCTGTTCTGTCTGTCTGCTTTGTTCATCTTGAGTCTTGTTTGTTTGTGTTTCTCCACGTCAACTGCCGACTTGGAACTCCTGCGACATTGACTTCAAGGGCTTCTCTACTGCAAGGCTGCAACAGTGTGACCTTGCGCTTGGTTGGGATGGTCAGCGACTGGGTCCATTCAAGTGCCAGTCTCAGAAGTGCCCCTTGAATTGGTGGTTCAAAGGGAAGATAAGGAAGCAACCCCCGGAAGTAATTTGGAGGTGCCCAGAAGCATGACCACGACCTTAGATTTTGACTATGGCCCCAATTCTCTCGATTTCAGGAGGATCTGCAGCAGCTCTCCGACAGCCTCCACGAGCGCAACATGTGCCTCGTGGTGGACATCGTGCTGAACCACATGCGTTCCTTCCAATTGCAGAAATGAACTGAATCTAGTTTAGTTTCCCATGTTGGTTGTAAAGGGATCGATTTCACTACTGGGAAAACATGTTTTTATATACTATTTTTCCCCCCCCCCCCTGCCGGGGGGGGGGGAAAAACCAAAAAAACACAGAAATGGAAGGTTCGCTCTTCGTGAACCAGAAGCTCAACATCTCCTCGGTGGTGCCTTTTAATGACCCCAGTTATTACCATCAGCGCGACCGCAAGGAAGGCCAGTCCTTTGAGGCGGGGGGAAGAAGAAAGACACATGGTTTGGCCGGAAAAAGGGGAGGGGGGCAAGTGGCAAGGGACAAGAAAAGGAAAGAGGAAGGGGGGAGAGAAGGAAGGGAAGGAAGGGAAGGGGGGGGAGGGCCATTTGTGGCTTGGCGGTTTCGGTATGGAGTGCGGTCAAATCTGGCACCTTCATTTGCGTGGTTCACGTATGATGTAGCTCGCCAGGCAGATCCCAAAAACAAAGCAAAAAGATGGCCAAGCCATAAATGTCCCTCCCCCCCCTTCTCTTCCCTTCCTTCCCTTAGCCCTTCCCTTCCTTTCCAAAAGCAAAGCAAAAAGAAATCAAGCGCGTCGGAGTGTTTCGAGCCAATCCAGGACTATGTGAAGAGTGGCCCGCCGCCTGCCTTCGACGGCAGCAAGGCCGGCCAGTTCTTGGAGAGGTGTTTCCGTTGCGATCGGTGCCATAAGGGAATGAGAAATGGGATGAGCCAGGATTCCCTCAAAGGAAACCACAAGGGATGGCTTTCAGATATCCCCCCCGTTTGGCCCAAACCTGCGGAGTGCTGACGAATGTTTGCCTCTGTATACATGCCGTACACCCTGCTTTTGGGCTGTGAGATAGCCCAGAAACTGCGACTGGAGCCACACCAGACATGATCATATTTTGCTTCTGAAGGACAGATTGGATACTGTCAGCCTGGACTTAGTCTGGAGCACCATTTCAATGACGGGGTGATTCGTGGAATCGCCTCTGATGAATGGTCCATTGTCCGAATCAATCCGAAGTTGACAGGCCCGTGACTAGACCCGGGCACTTGCCTCCCCCCAAAACCCATTCACTACCTACGAACTCATTGGCACATGAGGGGTGTCAGAAAAGATTTGTCAGCCAAGATGGGCAAAGTCCCAGCATCGCCAAAGATCGCAACTCGATGTTCAGAAATCTTGACCGGCAACCGGTCAGGCCTTCTTGGTTTCTCTGTCTCGTGAGCTGAACACATGAGTGTGGCTCAAAATTCAAGAGTTGTAATCCTTGGTTCCATTTACCTTTTGGTAGAAGCTGCCTTTTGCAGCCATTTGCCTTTTGGAAAGCCATTCTGATTGGGCCTTCCAAAAAACCTTCTGGTTTTCCATTTTGGAACACCCGGTATTTGAGCCGCCGCACCATCATCATCTTTTTTTCTTCTACCGCCGCCTCGGGCTCGGGTCTGAGGACAGCCGGAACCTAAAAGAGCTCACTGAGAAGGGCCACGCGCGCTGCGGCCCTGAAAACTGGGAGCAGACGGAATGTGCCTGACGCCCGGCATTCCAATTCAGGTATCTGGCGTTCTGGGCTTGTGCCTGTGGTGGTTTGTTGGTACGTGTGTTGTATGTGTTTGTTTTGAATTGTTGTGTTTTGTTTGTGTTGGTGTGTTTGCGGGTTTGTTTGTTTGTCTGTCTGTCTGTCTGTCTGTTTGTTTCGTTTTTTTTTGTTTGACTGGCTGTTTGTTTTGTTTTGTTTTGTTTTGTTTTGTTTTGTTTTGTTTTGTTTTGTTTTGTTTGTGTGTTTTGTTTGTTTGGTTGTTTGTTTGTTTGTTTGTTTGTTTGTTTGTTTGTTTGTTTGTTTCGTTTGTTTTGTTTGATTGTTTGTTTGTTTGTTTGTTTGTTTGTTTGCTTGCTTTTTTTTAAATCTTGTCTTGTCTTGTCTTGTCTTGATTTGTGTTTGCTTGTTTGCTTGTCTGTGTGCTTGTTTGTTTGTCTGTTTGCTTGTTTGGTTGTTTGTTTGTTCGATGTATTTGATAGATTGAGTGACTGATTGATTTGATTGATTGATTTGATTGATTGATTGATTGATTGATTGATTGATTGATTGATTGATTGATTGATTGATTGATGTGATGTGATGTGATGTGATGTGATGTGATGTGATGTGATGTGATGTGATTTGATTAATTTGATTAATTTGATTAATTGGTTGGTTGGTTTGCTTGTTTGTTTTGTTTGTTTGTTTGTTTGTTTGTTTGTTTGCATGTATGCACACATGTTATACGTGAATAGACGTATGATCCCGTTGTTGCTTGTGTGCACGCCCAAATGACACAACAATGACAAGGGTAAGGCCGTCGGGTAAGTGAGAACTCATGTCGGAACGTTTCAGCCGGCAGAATGGCTATGCACTAGATTGATGCACGATGTTTTTTTGGGCGCGCCTGTGTCTCCAAAGCGGTTGGAGAACGATGACACATAGTGCACAGAAGGAGCAGCAGCAAATGCCACTGCGGTGCGTTAACAAAACTAGCCTTCAACAAATGCTCCTGCACTGCGGCCGAGGCTTTCCTGGCAACAGTGGTGTTAACTGCCCCTCCTACAATGCCCAGCAGCAGGTGGAGGGATGGTTCGGAATCTTGGCACGAATGGCAGGGGCGTTCGTCCGTCCGTCTTGGCTTGTTCTGTCCGAGATGGGTTGATGGCCTGCCCGAAGAAACATACCTGGGCGACGGGATGACCCATCACCGCCCTTGCATAGGAACTTCAGACCAGTGCGATGATTCCAACTAAAGGACCTGCCATCTTCCACGCATTCGCTGAAGTGGTATGCCCGACACTTGGCGTAACAGCAAGCTGCGTGTGCTCTATGTGTTCCACCAAATGTGGATGGATTCACATCACGACACAGTTATAAAAGACACTAGTATCAGATTCTTCAACTAGGTCCCCCAGTAGTGCCCTTTTGCCCCTTTTTTGGGGGAGGGTTCCCCTACAATAGACAACAGAAAAAAAGGTGCCCTTATTCTAACCTCTCTACTGGAGGACCTCGTCAACTTTTCATGATAAGCCACGACCTTCCCGTGGCTTCGTGAGATGAATACCCGTCCTCCCACTTCATGGCACCTGTGGGGGGGTACCTGGAAGATCAGTTTCCTGCTTGGAGGCGCCAGGTTGGCGGGAGAGAGGGTAAATTCTTCTCTGAACAAATAAGTCAAGAGGCCCTGGTAAGATTGATCTGGGTCGTTGATTCCCCATGGCCAGGCATGAGTTGACTGGATCCCTTGGGTGGACCCGATCCCCTCAAGAGCTCAGCTTTGCCCTTGCGTCAGGACCCCCGACTTGGTTCCATGTACCTAGTCCTTTTGGGAGCTTCCGGCTGTTAGTCTGAGGGAGTACGCATTATCTTCCCTTCGAAGGATCCCTCGGGGACTTGAACCACAGCCATCCCTTTGTGCGGGAGCAGCTTCTGAAGTATGTCTCCGGCCTCGTGAAGGACAGATGTTTACAAGTCGAATGAGGCTAGGCGGCAGCTCCAACAAATCCATCTATGTGCTTTACATCTGTGCCTTGCATCCAATTTGCGTTTGCAGGGGTCTCACGGTAGAAGTGGACCTTGTGAGCAACTTGTTTTTGCAGCACCCTATGTGTTCAATCTCGGCATATCTCGGCCCAGTTTTGGCGGCTCCAACTGCTTGGAGGATTACCACATCGACGGATTCCGGCTGGACACTGCCATTTACATCGACAAGGGCTTCCTGAGCGAAGTGCAGGACGCAGCAGCCTGGAGAGAAGGTTCAGGAGGGGGGGGTAATTACCCCCAGTGAACATCCTAGGTTCTAAAATGGGTGGTGCACCTATCCCAAAATGGTACCATTGGTTTTGAGCCATGGCCAGATGGCTGGTTGAGCCACCCATGGTTCCCTGTGAAAAAAACTCGAAAGATCGACTTTGAACAAAGGAGATGCTTTCACCGTTCTTCAGTGCTGGCTTCACACGGGTTATTCGGATATGCGGTACCTACAGCCAGACGGCTGACCCTGGCAGGTGAAGGGATGATGCGGGGTCCGGCCGTTGGTTTCTTTGGGCAGCTGGAAACTGTTGGGTTGTTGTTTTTCTCGCGTTTTTCCAAACCAACTTGAGTAGGTCCTTTGGTGACGCCCACATGAGAGTTGCTCCCCTTCATGGGAAAAAAAGGGTTCGGGACCATTTCTTAGTTGGTCATGGGTCAAAAACCAAATCGTACCCCCTGTCAACATCCCAATCCCCACTAAAATAGGTTCTAGAATGGGTGGTGCACTCCCCTACCAACCAAAATGGGATCCCAAAACGGTTTTGACCACCACAGCCAGTTCACCCTCAGCTGCCCCATGGATTGCTTCGTGTTGCATCCGCTCTGCAGCGAGCGCCCAGCGGCCCCGAGTGAGGCGGGCGTCGAGATCCTTGGGGAGGCCACGGTGAACAACTTGACCTACCAGAGCTTCCTAATGCGCGGGGAGCGGGAGGAGGGGTTGGGAGCAAGATTGGTCTGAACCAGTGGGGTTTCATGGTTTGCATTTAAAGACAAGCTTTTTGTTGTGAGCATTGCGTTGGCAAGGAGCGGGTCCTGTCCGGTCTCCTGAACTTTCCACCCTTCTACCAGGCGGCCGGCTGCCGACCCCGCGTCATGGTCGGCCTCTTCGGTCGGTGACATAGATGGGAGTTCACTGGTTTTGGTTTGGTTCGAAGCATGTAATTCCCAGTGAAACCCATCTGGCTGTGGCTCAAAAAACCGGTACCAAAATGGAACCCTGGTAAGTGGAAACATGGACCAAAACCTGCGTAACCCCTCCTGGTCAATTTTGAGCTACACCCATCTCTGAATCCAAAACACACGCTGGGAATCTAAGATCGAGGTCTTCACGCCTTGGGATGTTGGGGTCTCATGGCAGCAACTCGGGTGCATAGTGGAGCTTGGGTGTGGCTCAAAATTAACCAGGAGGGGTTACGCAGGTTTTGGTCCATGTTTCCACTTACCAGGGTTCCATTTTGGTACCGGTTTTTTGAGCCACAGCCAAATGATTGATGACCTCCGTTTCCCTTGCAATCATTTCGGTATGCCCGTGTTTGCTTTGACCTCGCCCTTGAGATAGTTCCATTGCTTAGCTGGATGACACGTATGCCACCCCATCATGTTTCCTTCCTGCGTCGCACATTTGATAATTTCCCTTTAAAGAAATCCAGCCCTGCCCTTTTTGTTGTCTCATGGAGGGCAAACGACCACGGTTTTTTTGCCTCTGGTTCTATCTGAGGGTTTTTGTATTACACCCTGGGATTACACCCTTGGGAAAACCCAGAATGGTTCAAAACAACACGGTTTTCTCCGGAAATGTGCCAAAATGGGGTCACTACCCAGTGTATTCCCAGGGTGTAATACAAAAACCCTTAGATTCCAGCTTCAGCGGTTTTTTGGAGTCACCGGGACCGCACGCCGCGGACCGCCGGTCGCTCGCCGGTCACTGGGAGGTGCCAGAGGCCTTCTGCGGCTACATCATGGGCGGGGACTTCGGGGACTACTCGGCCCAGGGCACCTGGAAGAAGCGGCCCAACATGAAGGGCCTGGGCCTTGTCATGTCCAACCAGCAGGCGGCCAGCCGGGGCATTCCGGGAGAAAAGGGGTGGGCGTGGTGTTTTGTTTTTGGTCTTTTTTTGAGGGGTCCCCTGTTTTAAGGCACACTCGAATGACGGCGAGGTTCGCAAAAACAGGTGCTTAGGCATTGGACCATCGATGCTTCCGTATTCCCGTCTTTACCAGGGCCGGAGCGCGAATCTGGGGAATCTTCCTGTTTGAGATGGATTCAGATTGAGAACACATTGGACTCAAAAGGCACGAGATCCAAGAAACCACTAGTATCACGATGTATTTGATGAAGCATTCCAATGGCTGGTTTCCACATGTCTCCACTCAAGTTGTGATCGAAGGGCTGTTTTTCAGTGGAAAGACCACAAAGGTGAACTTCAAAAAGCGAGCAGGCGTGCATTGAGATTGTTTTGGGACAAAATGTGGATGTCCAGGTGAAGAACGGACGTGCAAGGTAGACGCAGGCAACATGCAACAACAGCAGGAAGGTGAAACGGCGTATTTTGGGAATCCAGAGAGGCACCGCATCTGTGAAGCCAGTCAGTTCGTTTCAGTTCGGGACCTGCAGGACAGCGCCTATGAGAACTCGGATCTGCTTGGGAACTTTGTGGACAACCACGACGAGCTCCTGGCCCCACGAAACATGGGTATGGCTCAAAACACCGGTACCAAAATGGAACCCTGGTAAGTGGAAAAATGGACCAAGACCTGCGTAACCCTAGCTCTTTAATTTTGAGCCACTGCCGCATCCCTTAGTCGAGTCCATGCATCCGCTTTGCGTCCGCTTGAGGCCTCCAAAGGGTAGAAGCTCGTCGCTTGAGAAAGGAACAACAGGTGGGGTTCAAGGTTCCAAATGGCCGGCCGGACTTTGAATTCTGGGCCAAACCGGTGTGGACCCCCTTGTGGCTCAAATGCTCCGAAAACGGTTGCCTTTTGATGTCCAGTGGCGCTTTTTGTGGGTGGGTTTCTCTCTGGATTCAATATACAAACAAGGGCAGATGTGTTTTGACCCATGGCCGCCGTGCTTTTTGTTTCTCCAGGGCTCTTGTTATTCTGAGCATTGCTCGTAAGCGTGGTCAGCAAAGAACCCAGCTATGTCAATAGTAGCAAGCTGTGAGCCACAAGCATCCTAGCCTGCTCAGTTGAACAAGCCCGAGGTACGCGAGGCACTAGATTGCCCAAGCCTTTGCTTGCCCAAGATTCAAACAACATCTGGCAAACTCTGTTGGCATTGCCCCAAAGACAGGGTCATGGCAACAGCGACGGGGTCTCGAATGGTGGCGTGTCACGTTTGGTTCCCAAGGTTCGCGCGTATCGCCCACTATTGCAAGTTCGACCAGCAGCGCATCCGTCATGCACTGACCTGGGTCATGTTCACGCAGGGTATCCCCATCGTGTACTACGGCACCGAGCAATCTCTGTCCGGGCACCAGACGAAGGCACGCTGTTTTTTCTTCTTCTTTTTCTTCCGGTTGCAGTCTGCTTGAGAACATTCCAGGTTGCTGGTGTTGCTTTGCTTCCACCTTGGCATTTCAGAACGGCTTGCCAAATCTGCGCATGCGTCGAGAGCATTGTGTATTTGGCGAATGCCTCCAGATGGCTGTTTCCTTTGGACACGTGTAGAACAATGGGGCTTTATTCAGTTTTTGTGGTTTTTTGGTCTGCGCTCCATGGGCCCGTTCAACCGCCGAGGTGAACAACCCAGGCCAGGACGCGCTGCGGGAGTCCATGTGGCAGACGGGCTACGATACAACAGCCCCGCTGTACAGGTTCTTGGCGCAGCTGAACAAGGTGCGGAAGAGCTTGCAGATGGGCACTGGCGAGAGCGACGTGAAGGACGAGCGTGGGGGGAAGGGGTTGGCGCGGAGAGCGGCTTGGGTTGGGCTTGGAACGGCTTGGGGTGGTTGAAGGGTTTGTGTGCAAAAAATGGAAGGCCGTGAGGGGCTCCCCTTTTTTTGAGACATGCGCATATTCTCAGAGCAAAGCAACCTTTGTGGATAGCTCGGAATCCGTATGCCAGGGCCATCTACTTTTCCAAACGTTCGGCTCTATGTTTCAGCTTCTTTCGTTTGAATCGACGGCTGGTCGTTCCCACCTCGGCCCGCGAGAACTACGACTCGCATTCCATGATCTTCACTCGGGATGCCAAGGCCGGGGAGCGTGGCTGTCGCTGGGATCCATGGGAGACGGAAGGCTGAAGTCTTGCAGCATCAAAGCTTCGGAGGGGATGTGGGTCTGTCTCAAAGCGGTGTTGACCCGTCAGAATGGGTGGTTTCGTTTTGGTTTCCGTTCAAACCCACCCCAAAGAGGCTGAAGAAAAACATACCCATCGCAAATGCGAAATCGGCTTGAATTTCCTATCACTTCCTTTTGACAATGGTGGCAAAAGGCAGGGTGCGACACAGTTGACCCTTGTGCGATGCATCACAAAGAACGTCGTCGCAACAACAAGTGCCACCAGCAGCCATCACAAAGCACCGCGTCGCAACCAAAAAGCGCCGGCAACCTAGGTGCTTCTGCCTTACGGTGCTTTCTTTGGCGCATAGGTATCCTTTTTGGTTGATTTGGTTGAAAAATAGGTTGGGCGATTCCTGGTTTTCCCGGTGGTTCAATCAACTACCAGGGACACCCATCTATTTTCCACCAAAATCGACGCCCGTGTTTTTTTTGCTTCGCCAGGGCGGGCAGAAGGCCTGGGTCTTCGTGAACAACATGGCCAACTCCACGGCGGGAGGGATCCGCTACTGCCCCGGGCCGCTGCCCGGGATCGAAGGCGCGGGGTGGTTTTGTTAGCCGAACTGTTAGCCTCGTTTTGGGGTTGGTTTGGAAGGGACGCCACGAAAAAAGCCAGCCATCTTTAGGGGGTCCCCAAACAAAAGACACACACACACACACACCATGTATCAAAGTGGTTTCCTGTTTGACACAACCATCATCATCTTTGGGGGTCCCAAAGAAACACCCACCAAGATGTATGTTCCGGCCTCCTTGACATTTGCCCAGCCGCTGGCCGTTGGGCAAATCCATGCCGAGCGTCTCAGCGTCTCAGCCGAGCGTACGGAGCGTAGCCAGGCCAGGCGTGGCACAACGCCCTCAGCGGGGCCTCGATGGAGCGACACTTGGCCGACGGCTGCTTCGAAGCGCCGGACCAGGAGCCCAAGGCGTTGGGGCGGGGGGGACTGGGGGCTGGGGGGGGGGGAGGGGGGTCTGGAGCCGGGAGCCTCCAAAACGACGCGCAACTGCGGTTTTTGTTTGGTTTCCCATGAGAAAAACAAACAAACAACCCCGAGCGTCAGGTGTTGCTAGCAGAAGATACGGCCCAACTGAAGAAGCCAAGGGATGGGCGACAGCGCGGCCTCACTGCACTCTTTGCCTTGTTGTTGATGTTGGATTTTTGTTTGGAGCCCTGCAATACTTTTGCACATGGTGCTATCAACTACTCTTGGCCAGAGATCGCGCGGTAGCAAAAAAGACGTTGTTTTCGCTGAGCCCGCTGTCCACCGACCAAACAAACGGGTTTATTGGGGGTCGGTACCTTCTTGGTTGGTTTTGATCAAAAGAACAACCACCATTCCTGGGGGTCCCTTAAGAAAGACACACCCATGTGCGTAGATGAGGAAGAACAGGTTGGAGCTCAAGTCTAGATGCTGCGCAGCCATACTCAATTGAGGCAACATCCTGATGTGCACTGACTGGTCAACAGAGGCATTGCTCGCTCGGCTTTACGTCGCACAGGCAGCCACAGATTTTGCAGGAGAGTTTGCAACGCCACGATGTTTGAGCCTTCCTTTGTCACACCGCAATTTCCTCCCCCTGGAGGTGCTGCATTTGCAGCAGATGGAGGAGGGGAGAGGGCAAACTGGATGAGAGCAAGGTGGCGGGAACTAGATGGCCAGCCAACAGGAAGGTGGGCATGTCTCGCGGCCGGGGGGCCCTTTTGTTGCAATCCTTTTAGAGAGAAACTATGATGAAACCGATCCTTTTCTGGGGGTTGCTGATTTCGGAAGCACGCTCGGTTGCACACCACAATCAAAACCCGGGTAGATGGAGGTGAGCAAGGGATGATTTTAACCATAAATGGGTGCGGATATCCGCCTTGTCAATTCTTTACATTGGTTTTGGGTAGACCATTTTAGTACCAGAGTTTGATCACGACTCGCATGTTACCTTGGAACTCTTCCATGAATAGTCAGAGGCAAAAGCATGCCGCTTTCCTGGAGGGAAGCCCCACGGCTTGGCCAGCATGATGTTTGGGACAAACTCATTGAGGTCCGGCGGACGCCTTGATGCGCGCGCGCGTTGTCAAACCTAGAGACACGTCCGCCTTCTGCGGACTAAAAGGACACCAAGCTGACACCAGCTCAAGGGGTTCCTTGCTTGACCATCGCAAAGGCGTCCATGGGCCCCAGGACTCGCCACTCGCATGGAGGCTTTGAAGGGCTTCGTCCGATCAGCGAGGCACGCAGAAAGTGGGGGTGTCCTAAAATGGGGGACCTCCGTTTGGACCGTGTCTTAAAACGGGAAGCCGACAAGGACGCCTTTTGGCATTTCCTTCTCTTCGGACTCCAGAAAGGCACGAGCTCGGGTTTTCAGTGCAATGGGTTGAGTTCGCAGGGGGTGCTATTCTTTCAGCAACCACCCAACCGGAGGTCCCAAATCTCTGGGAGACACCCAAGATGCGCCTGGAACGAAGAAGCCAGGAAGCGAATTCGTGAGATTTTGAAGCTGAGGTTTTTCAGCCAGCTTTTGTGCTGTCGCTTTCGGTTACAGAGCTGTGGGGACGGCTGAGCATGTGCCAAAAGGAAAGGGAGGCAAGGCGGCTTCGCCGGGTGTCGGGGAGGCTTTGGCCCAAACCTAGCTTGGCAAGCTTCGCTCTCTGTATCGTCTCAGGGCTTTGGCTTGCCTTGGAGAAGGCCCTGACCATCTCTGAATTGCCTGGTCTTCTCACTGGCAAGCGTCGTTTCTTCGCTTTGTTTCAGGGAGCTACACAAAGGTTCCTGAACGTTGAAGCTTGCCGCCCCCAAAGGCAGGTCAACACATCACTCCCGCTGGCCCCGTTCTTGGCTCCTCGTGAGCGCTTTGGCGGTGCCACCTGTCAGACACCATGGCCTCTCGGACGCCAAGAGTCGAGGGCTTCACTTGAGACCTGAGCCGCAGACACCTGAGCCACATGCTCAAAACCCGGGTGCATCATCCGGTTAGTAATGGGCAGTCCCGGCCATGCGGATGTCCGCCTTCTTAATTCTTTACATGGTTCCGGGTAGACCATTTTGATACCGGGTTTTGATTGTGACTCACCTGGCGCATTGGGTGCCCAAAAGAACATTCTTACAGGGCACGCTACACCTGATAGCACCCCAATTTTCCATTGGTCCCAGTTGTGGTTTCAGGGTAGTGAATCTCATTTTAGAGAAGAGACACCTTTGTCGAAGACCCAGTCAAAGGCTACTCACACAGCATGCTCGTAGCCGAGCCACAAAAGCGACAGAAGTGTCCGCAAAAGCACCATGGCAATCCACTGTTTGTTGGTATTTACAGAATCGAATCATTCCAGGGTCTCTTGGGTGGTGCGAACTGGATTTCGCAACCATCCACAGCATGGGAAAACAAACTGCTCGAGCCCAGGCTCTCGCCTTCCTCACCCCCGCTGTGGGCAGCGCAGGCGCGCCCTGCGCCCCGGTCCCGCAGCCGCGCTTGCGTGCGGCCGGTGCTGCGGGTGCTGGCGGCGCACAGCTCGCGGCTGCCGCGGTGGCGGCGGCGGCAGTGGGAAGGTGGGGGTGGTGGCACAGTGGGCAAATATTGATTAGAGCTCATGCTGGGAGCAGTGATTGGCTTGGCGCTCGGACAGCGCAGGATTGGGTGCATGTCTGGAAAATGAAGCATCTGCAAGCACACGAATGACGTTCCATGTATGAGCCCACGCTCCCTCGAATACGTGGCCCTGTCCTTGCCATTGCTCTGTTTGGCACTTGTCACAGAGTCTTGGTTGCCACTCTGCCTGAAGCCCCGTTTCCAGCCAGGGACATACTTGGGGATGCTTGTAAACGCTGAACCAAGTGTACATATATACTGCATATATGTGCCAATATATATATATATATATATATATATATAATATATATACACCAATAATATATATATATATATATGTATATATATATATATATACACATACTTATATACACACGCCCACACACACACACAGAGTACACACATATTGCCTCTTGCCCTTCTCCAACCACCCCCAAAAGCGGCGCTCTCGGAGCTTTTGCTCGAGGTCCGTGGCCTGCCGAGCCGCGGCGGTGAAGAAGAAGGGCGTCAAGGCAGCCCCAAGCAAAACCTGGCTGTGGCTCGAACAAGTGGCACAGGTTCAAGTGGCTCAAAGTGGCGGCGGGTTTACCAAAAAAAAGAAGGGTGTGGCTCAAAAAGTGGATGCGGGGCCACTTCTTTTACCAAAATTGCACCTTGGTAAATGGAAAACCAAGGACTAGAAGATGTGTGACCCTAGCTCTTGAATTTTGAGCCACACATAGCTGGGTAGCATAGGTGTCCTTTTTGATTGGAGAGTTGGATTGGAAACGGATGGGTTCCACTGGTTCAGATGGGTTTCATGCCCCATTTGCCAGGGCCATCAGTGACCTATGTCGGGTAGATGAAAATTAATATAGGAAATTTCAGCCATCAATGGGTGCAGATATCCGCCTTTTTAATTCTTTTTCCATATCTTTGGGTAGACCATTTTAATACTAATCGTTTTTGATTGTGACTCATCTGCCGGGTAGCTGCGAAATGTTGAGCCCTGCTCTCGGACACAGAGCAACAACTGGGCTTCAACAGCCCCATTCCGAGCAGCGGCGCCTCTCGTTGAAAACAAGGGGACACGGAAAAAAGGACGCCTGCCTCTAAAAGCCCTCCTGAAGCATTCCCTTGTCCGAGCGACCGAAGAAGGGTCTTGGGTCACCTGGTCACCTGCGCCTGAACTCTGATTCAGAGTGGGGGGATGGGGGGGGGGGGGACGGGGGGGAGGCGCCTTGTTCAGCTTCCCCTCAGTTTGTGGTTGGAGCCTGGTGGTTTCTCATTTGCCCTCTACCAAAGCCTGTCCCCAAATCACCAATCCAAACCACCAAGGGGTTATCTGAATCATGAGTTCACGGCTTTTCCACGGTCCTCAATCAGTCTCAAAAAAAATCCCCAAGCGAGGGACCTTTGCTATTCATTTGGGCTCCTTCTTCAACCACCCCCCAACCTAGGGGGGGAATTCGCGGCACGGCTTCCGTCCGATTCCCTTCCTTTAGAACCCCGAAAACGGCGCAGGTGGTGCACGGCAAGGAGATCCCCTGGAACCTCTTCTCGCCCAAGGCGCCCTACAAGGGCAAGGCGCGCGCAGCCAGCCGCATGCAGAGGGTCCCGATGCATCGGACAGGAAAATCCGCTGTCCGTTTTGCGCAAGAGCTTGGGAGTACTGCAGTATCTCAGTATCTTGCTTTTTTCTTTGTCTTTTGAGTTCTTTTTCTCTCATTTCCTTGTGGAACCGATGGCCCAAGTGCTTGGCAGGTGGTGAAGAACGTGGAGCAGCCGCACACGCTCACGGAGCAGACGGGGGATGCGAACTGGGAGACCTGCCATGTGACCTTCGACCACGGCGGCAAGGTGCCCTATCTCGAAGGAGCAGAACGCGCGAAACCGAGTCCCGGAAGACGGCTCAGGTCCTAATTAATGGCGTCAAACCAGCTACAGTGGAAGATTCTGCTGCAGCGGGTTTAGCGCAGCTTGCAGTGAGGCCTATAGGTGTGTCTCAAAAAGGGAATCGGACCCCGCAGAATGGCACGGATTCCTTTTGGTCCGTTAAACCAGCCAAGAAGACTAGCCTCCAAAAGGATACACCCAGGCACCTGTACAAACGTGGTAGATCCAACAGGCGATGGGTTTGGGGCGTAGCTCATGTATGGTGGAAAGCCCAGTTCCGTTGCTTGGGAATCAACCCACTAAAAGTAAAAAAAACAATCAGCAGGGGATCTGAGGACAACCCAGAAAAGGAATTTTGAACCATCATAGTAATTTCAAATTTCTTACTATTAAGAGATCCATGACTATGACTCTGACCAGGGCACACATGGGTCATGCTTTGAAGGGAACCCCAAAGGAAAATAACCAATTTTTGGGCATCTCTTTTTGAGACAAACCTAAATTGATTCGAGGGAAGATCACGACTTTGCTGGCAAGTTGGGAAGCGCGGGGCCTTTTGGATTTCTCGGAGAGGAATGGCTCGCAGCCTTTTGCTTTTGGCTGCAGGCAGTTGGATGCGTCGGATCTCCACGCGCCTCGCCAGGACAGTCCATCGGCGTGATCGCGCCAGGCAAGGCTTTCCCCGCGGATTTGTTGCTGAACCCAAGATTTCTTCGAACTGTCGCGTATTCAGTATTCATGGTTCCCTGGGAGAGTCCATTGTGTCTTCTGGGAGACCCAGCTTCACGTACCAAGTGACACTGGAGTTTGTTCGGGGGCCCTTTCAGGTTTGTCGATCACTATTCGCACTCCAGCAGCTCGTAGTCAGCCAATCGCGGTCTGCTATGCGGCGTTTGCAACCCTATAGGTCTGACTTGAGGTCTCTCTTTGGTTGGCATATTCCCTGAGCCAGGGAGAGTGTCGTGCCAACTGGCCGGTGTTTTTGGATCTTCTTCAAAACGATTTCTCTCCGTTTTGTACGTCTTTGAGGCTCGGCCCTTTCGGTGGTGGTTTTTGCCTTGGCGAACCACAAGTTTCTCCATCAACCCCTCTTGGGATGCTGGACTCGGGTCCCGCACCACCCCAGGTGGCGCCCATTTTGGGGTCCCCGGTCCCTAGGTCCGGGAACCCGCGCACCCAGACGCCGGGTGGGTGGGTCGGAGATGTGTCTCACGTAGGCCCCGACAAGAAGGGCGAGCAGCCGGCGAAGATCCGGCTCTACTCCATCGCCTCCTCGGCTGTGGGGGACAATGAGAGCTCCAAGACGGTGTCCCTGCCAGGGGGCTCAGGGGTTGGTCTAGGAAATGGGTTTGGATATTTTGGGTTTGTGGATAAAGAGTAAAAGATGAGTGGAAAGGAAAAACACAGGGGAAGAACACCGCTGATATCCACAAGAAGCGCATCCAAACCCGTTTTCTAGACTTGGGGCTGGCGGGAGTCATTTGTTCTGGCCACAAAGTGTTGCAAGAGTCGATTTTAGCAAGAATTGTGTGAGGGGGGTGTTGGGAGTTTTGAGGGCTTGGCAGATACAAAAGCCCAGAGAGAGGACAGGAGGGTGAGTTTTGGTGCTTGAAAGATAAAGACCTTGTGGAGAAGTTGAGATGCCTGTTGGTGCCTTCTGCAAAGGCATGGCATGCTGCTGTTCCAGTAGGCCAGACATCCCTTCCGGTGCCCTGTTCTGTCGCAGAGAAGTCGGTCTGATGCGAGTGGCCGGCCGGTCTGATGCGAGTGGCCGGCCGCGCGGGGTTCGTGGTTGCGTTTTGAGGCCAGCGCCCGGAGGGAGGCTTTTCCTGCCATGGCGCCCGATTTGGGTATGGGTCAAAATAACAATAATAACAACAAAAAAACACCAGGGTAACGCAGGTTTTAGTCTTTGGTTCCATTTACCAGGGCAACCCATTTTTGGTAGGCATTTTTGACCCATAGCCATTTCTCTCATTCCAAGCCCCGAGCCAGAGGTGTGTGAAGCGTGTGGTGGAGCTGGATGGCAGCTATGCCAACCGCGAGGTGGGCGAGGACAGCCATCCCTCCTTAGAAGAAGAGGAAGGATGTGGGGGATGACAGTTTGGCAGGATCTTCTCTGCTTGGTGACCAAAAAGGGATGGCGCAGTCAGTCCTGGGAGGACACGCCTGACAAAGCAGGCACTGGCTTCCCTGAGAACAAGGCGCGGCGGAAGGCTGCGTGTAGGCTCTCCACCCAGAATGAGAGCGAGAGAGAGAGAACTTGCTGGTGCGATAGGCAGGGAACGAGGGAGTCACCCCTATAAATTATCCCTCGTGGTTTCCTTTATAGGAATCCCCTGGTTCATTCCCTTCAAGAGGGAAAATGCTGGAGGGGGAGGGGAATCCTTTAAAGCTCCGGTCAAGCTGTGTGGTAGACTCCAACTTCAGGTCTACCGCGGGGTCTGCTCCAACCACATCTGCGACATGAGCCCAGGCCGGGGATTCTCTTGGGACCATGAACCGGACAACTCCTTCTTTACCCCTCTGGATGGGTGAAGAAAAAGTGCAGGCCGAACGCTTCCATACGCCATGTGGGCGTGGGTCAAAATGAACAAAGCAGGATATGGACCGCAGATTGAAGTCCATGTTTCCATTTACCATTGTTAGGGTTACCCTATTGTTGACCCACAGCCACGTTTCGTTTTTTGGGTTGCGGATCCTCGTGTTCGGAACCTTTTGGGCCGATTTTCTCTTGCTGCCTTTGGGACGACGCAGGCGACGATGTTCTCATCACCGGTCCCACCGGCGCTGAGATGCTGCTGTGCCTTGTCTTGAAGTCGGGACGTATCTTTCCACGCTAGAAGGGTCAAAGCGGTCAATGCTCGAAATCCGCACTTGAGACTCCCTCATACTGTCGAGAAAAGAGCATGTAGGATATCCTTTTCGCATGGGTAGCGACTCGTTGCTTGTTGAAGCGCGAGAGATCTGCAAGCTGCAACTCGAGCGATGCCTCTAAAACGGAGTCTGAGCCTGCCACATGGACGCGTCCGGCTTGCGTGAGTCCAAGGTGTCGGACTTCCCCTTCTTTTTGCAGATGCGCCAAGTGTGCCATGCGTTCCCTGAGCCTTCAGATGTGTCTTTATAGCGGTTTTTCGTTCGTCTTTGAACGGCGTTGCACATAACTCCGCGGTTTCCGGAGCAGGTTATCGGATGGCCCGTCCAAGGCCTGAAGATCCGGAGGCGAACATCATCATGCTGGCCACAGGCGTGGCGTGCTTCAAACGCTGGGGGGGGGGGGGGGGAGGGGGAGCTGCCGCATGAGGATCTCTTCGATGTGGCCATGACTGGGGTAGACTTAGGATACATTTTACCCTTTTACCAGTGTCTCAGATTGAAGCAAACAATGAAATATACAGCCTAGATCTGGGCCTAGCTCTAATGATGATGAGTTTGAACAGGGAACCACCTGAAAAGTCATTGGGCACGAATCCCCAGCTAAATGATGGCCACCAAAGGGCCCCTTATTAAAAATTCTGGACCGGAATCTGGAAGGGGATGGCAGGGTTCCTTAGATATATCTGGAGAGCTCACTGAATGGAGTTGCATTCAGTACATCTCAAATGCTTTTGGACAAAGCATTTGCCACTGCTGCCTGTTACATTTGGAGGGATTCTCAGAATGACCTTTGGGGGTGCCGTTTCTCTTTGAATCACTATTTCGAGGGTGAGTTTGAGGATGTTACTTTCAGAAAGACCCATCATGAGGCAAACGGGAACTCCTTGCTGGATGCTTTGCAAGCCAGAAGACAGCTTCGGGGTGTGCGATTTTGCTCCAATCAGGGCGTGAGTTGGGCAGTATGGGGCATTATGTCACTACTCACCCACCGACTGACTAGTGCATTAGCTAGTTAACCAACCAACCAGAAAAAACCACCCAGCCAGCCAGCCGGCCAGCCAGGAGCGACAAATGAAAGGCCCTAAAATGCCAGCTTCAACTGTTCAATTGGTCCAAATGGAGTGCGTTGCCACTATTGACATTCTGGCTGCGCAGAGTAAACAGATGTGGGCTACCGCAATCATGACTCCCCATTTAAATTTGGATACCCCCAGCTCCGAAACGGCTCCCTTCCACCAATAGTAATAACATTGTCGGTCACTCATGCATTCCCTGGCAAATCAGAGGCCCCGCTGTGTGCGCCCTCCCATATTTTTCGCATCACCCGCGAAAGTGCCAGGGGAATGGGTTGTTCAACGAATCGGAGCGCAGGTACCGGCATCGCGCCCATGCGCTCGTACCTCCGGCTGCTGTTTCATGATAAGGCAGGCGCAGAGGGCGCGCCTCGGCGAGATTTTGTGCGAGGGAAGGGGACGCGTTGCAACCATAGAAGGGGAGGGTTTTGAAAGACCCATGTCCTTTTTGGTTGATTTGCTTAAAACAATAGCGGGGGATTCCTGGTTTAGATGGGGTTTATTGCCCATTTACCAGGGCCATCTATTTTTCCAAAAGGCCGCCTATGTAAAGACCGGTATCCTTTTTGAACAAGACCTCTTGTCTTTCATGGTATTCAAGCTGATCCTCCCCTGTTCGGTTCGGTTTGGTTTTTCTTTAGGATTGTTTTGGCCGGTCTTGTGCTCATTGGATGGGTTCGCTCTGAAGTCTTCGTCTGAGAATGGTGTAAGGTGTCAATGCGATTGAGCCGGCATGAGGCGGCATGAGGCACTTTTTGCTTCGAGCCTTTGCTTTGTTATGCTGCTATGGGCTGGTCAGCAACTCCTGTTTGATACCACCAAAAAATCTAAGAGCTTACTAAACCTACAATAAGAACAATATTTTACGCGAGAACAAAGGGCACATTCCGATCCGTTTCTTAGAGGACAGAGAGCGAGTTTGTTTCTTCCAAAGAAGCCCACGACTAGGTTGTGTCAAAACAGAGGACTCCTTTTGACGGCAAAGACTCAGATGACAAGTGGCCGGTTCCCTAGGAGCGCACGACACGGAAACCAAGTTGAACTTGAGGAAGCTAGCAGGCAAGGGGAGTGAAAGGTGTGAGCACGACAGGGCCCTGGATTCCTGGATTCCTGGCGCGTGATGCAGTTTCCCCCCCGCTCCCTCGGCCCTAAGCCTTGGCACGGCTTTTTGAAGGGTGGGCTTGGTTTCAGGGGTTGCAGGGAGGGGTCAACACTGCGGGCGAGTTGCATGAAGCATGGCTCGTTTCCTTGAGCCACGGGCTCAAACCCCCGGGAGTTGAAGGTTAGTAAGGGGCAGTCCCAGCCAGAAATCGGGGGAAATCCCCTCGATTTTTTCCACCCAAAAGGACACTGGACTGGGGACACACACACAACCAGTCGGCTGAGGGCCTCAAGGCCAAGGTCTCCGGCCTTATTGGCAAGGAGGCCCGGGACCCCGGGGGGGGGGGGGGGGGCTGGCCTGGAGGCAACCGATCTGCGAGCGGATCGGGCGGGCGGCGGTTTTTTGGTTTCAACGAGGTACGGCCTCAGCGGTCTCGGCTCGTTGCGGGCTCGTTTGGACACCCTCAGCTAAGAGACTCTCTCGATTGTTTTTTTCAATGTGGTTTGGACATCACAAAGGCTCCCCGAGGAGGAAAGATTCTTGGAGCCTTTCCAGGAGTTTCTTGAGCTTTTTGGGGCGGTAGTGGCCCCCTTTTCCATCCTTAACTTCAAGGGGACGACATAAGCACAACTCACTAAGTTACTAGTTGAACAGAGGGGTGACACACCAATTTCTGATGTTGAGACGGAAATAGGGACAGACTCCGCTACTATTCGTTTGAGGAGGACATGGGGGGGCCACCCCCAAATTCCCCGCCAAAACCAAGGCCAGCTCCAATTTCCCCTGCGCTCAGAAGCAGGGGTTGTGGGATCAGGGGGTTTATCCAACCACTTCTGTGATATCTTCGGGAATCTCGAGTCCCCTTTATATGGGATTTTCTTTAAACAAGGGCATCTCCCCCTTTATATGGGGGGAACATGTCTTTGGGAAAGCCCTCTCTGTTGCAGATTCGTGGGATTCCATTTCCACCTCAGCCCCTCAGCTCCGAAGCCCCGGCTTTCGCTGAGGCCAAGCGGAAGTTCAAGGGACTGGCCTGGCTCTTCATGGGTGTGCCGTACTCCAAGTCCCTGCTCTACGATGACGCGCCCCGACCGCGGACGTGGACGTGTTTTTTTTTTTTTGGGGGGGGGAGACGTGGGTTCGGGGCGGGGCGGGGGGGGGGGGGGGGACGCTTCCTGGGCGGGGGAGGTGTGGCGCTGTTGGCTGAGAGGTTGAGAGGTTGGGCAGGCTTCCAGTTGGGGTCCTTGCATTAAAGGAGCAGCTGATGGGAGCTTGCCAGGTGTGAACAGTTCACTTTCTAGACACCTGCAGCCGAATCCATCCGGAGCTCCGGTCTTTGATTGCTTAGCTGCATCTTCATTTTCCAAGAGGACTCAGGCTAAGACTCAGGCTGGAGGGGCTGAGGATTGCTGTCTTTAGTCAACGGAAGGTGCAGCAAACAGAGCTGAGGAGCACAAGGTGTACAAGGAGAAGTACCCTGACAACTTCCGCTATGACTACGCGGTCAGCCGTGAGGAGAAGAATGCTGAGGGCCAGAAGATGTATCTTGGCCCAGCCTTTGATTCGGCCCGAGCGGTCCCCCCGCTTTGCGGCGACTTTGGAAATCAAAGCACGGGTCGGAGAGGATGATCCAAGCCCGAGTGGTCCGAGCAAATGTTTTCTTTCAAACATGCAGGGCGAATGCATGAACATGCGTGTGAAAGGCAAGTGGGGTCTGATGTGGAGAGTATTTGTCTGCCATTGGATGATTGGATGTTGGCATGCTGATGGCTTTGCCCAGTGCCTAAGGTACATCCAGACCAAGATGGCGGAGTACAGAGAGCCTCGGAGACACTGGGAGGGCTGGGGGTGTTGGAGTGGGTAGTGACATCGGGGGGGAGACCATGACAGATGGAATGGATTCAGCATAAAATCACGTGCTTGGAGTGGCTTCGTGCGGTTTTCATTTGCTTTCCCGCTCAAAGAATACCAGTGATACAAGGGAATCCTCTCTTTACACGGCGTTGGTCTCAACCCTTTTTGTTGTATCACAGATTCGTGGATTCCAGTTCACACAGCCCTGAAGAATACTCAAAGAGGCGCCTTAGCCCAGCTGTTTTTATCCCAAGTCTGCGCTAAGGACGAGCTATGGGAGATGATGCAGTCGGAGAAGACCCACGTCTACATGTGCGGCCTGAAAGGCGGGGAGCGTTTTTTTAGAACTCCGTGCGAATCCGTGTGCTTTGCTGCTTTTTGAGTGGGCAGAAGGTATGAGAGGACAAGGCTTGGACTCCCATTTTTTTGGGCAAAAGTGGGCAAAAGTGAGCTTTTTTTGCGTTTGGAGCTCTGAGTCTTTCTTTCCCTTGAGTCTTCGAAGCAGCTCCTCTTTTGTGCCGCGATAGCGGCCTTCTGGAAGCATTTGCGCCGTAGACGAGAGGGAAGAACTTTTGGACCATCTGTGACGTTTGTAGGGGTTTGTGCTTCGTCTCGGTACCCTTTTTCACCATGTAAAAAGGACACCAAAAGGACATTACACTTCTTTTTTTTGGGGGGGTGTCTTATTGTTTCAACACATACCCAATTATTGATTTTGAGGGCACACTGTTGTTTCATTCAGTCTTCTTGTAATTAAACATCAAAGCGCAATGGATTTTGGGGTTGCCCGAGCCACGTCCACAGTTGATTAAGTTGACAAGCGCGGCAGCCCTATCAAGGCAAAACCTCCCTAGGAGTAGGCTTATTTTCATGCGTTTTATGTTGCCAGGGGCAAGGAGGGCGTGCATGATGTGTATATCTCAAAACCACAAGAAACTCGTAGCAACTTGGCAGTTTCCTCTGTCAGTCTTGCATCTCTCCTTAGCTTTTTGCGTTTCAAGGACGGTCTGTGAAAAGGGCCGTAGTCCAATGATCAAACAACGGCTCCTACAATCCCATATTCAGGTTTGGTCTAGTTTGGTCCTCTAAGAGGTTGTTGGGGTAATGTTAACCCCGGACCCTGGTTGATTAATAGGGTGGTGTCCCCTTTTGGTGGGTATTCAGACCACTCTTGGAGGGAACACCCCTTTAATAATGGGACGGGTTTATTAATCCTGGGTCAAGATTACTTTTTGGTACATTTAGGCGTCATCCCCCTAAAACAAGGCCCCCATGGCACCCATAAGCCACCGAACCAAGCAAACTGCCCCCCCCCCCCACCGTCTTCTTGGCCTTGGCAAACTCGGCCCAGTCCTGACACAGGTCGAGAGAGATCATACTGTGAATGGATACGAAATCCTCCTGGAATAGTGTGCTTGCAGGTCCCAGGAGATGTGAGTTCGTTTCTCAGGGCTCCTTAAAAGATACATCATTTGAAACGTGGCTTCTTCCAACAAAATAAAGGGACACCACCATTTGCAAGGTAATGTTCAGGTGTTTTTCATGGAAGGATCCCTGTTTATTTTTCTGTAGGCATGGAGAGCGGCATGGCGGAGTGCTTCGGCCCCATCGCCGAGAAGAACGGCAAGGCCATGGAGGGGTCTGGGCATTGGCCGAGGGCCGAGGGGTGTCCTTTCATATGGCTGTCAAAACCGTTTTGGGATCCCATTTTTGGTTGGGATTGGTGAAGTCACCACCCATTTTAGGACCCATTTTAGTGGGGAAACAGGGATGTTCACTGGGTTACCGGATTTTGACACATGGCCATATGGGGTACCATTTTTGGGTAGGTGCACCACCCATTTTAGAACCAATTTTAGTGGGGATTAAATCGGATGTTTACTGGGGGAGCACCGGGCTTTTGACCCACGACCATGTCAATCAATTCAACGAGCCTGAGTGAAAAAATCGCATGGCTTCGGTGCTTCGACTAAAAGTGCCTTTCTCACTCTCTCCAAAACGGGACTCTGATCAACCTCAAGGCCTGTGATCTGCTTGGACTGGGGACCACCTCTGCAGCGGAGAAGGCTCTTAACTCACCAAAAGCTTTGCTGTGGCAAACCGCCTTACTGAATGGACTCTGCATGACATGCTGGGGCTTCCAAGCTTGTCAGAAGACATTTAAGGCTCAGAAACAAATCTTGGGGCGATCGGCATAGAGGGTTCAGGGGACCTAGCCGTCCGGCAGCGATATACTCTGACGCGTGAGCGGCTCGTCATGGTGGGCTAGGTTTCTGAAGGTGATATTGTATTGGTTTCTGAAACATCCGTTGCAAACAATCATGCGCTTTTCTGGCATGCCGCTAAAAAACGCTGCAATCAATCAACCTGTCGGTGAAGTACGCAATAGGAGGAGACAAATGGGTAGCAATGCTTAGCAGCTCCGCGCGGCCTTTGTGTAGCGCGCGCGTGGGTCACATTCATGAGCCCGTATCGGCATGTTGTGCCTTTGAACAGGCATTCCATGGGCCGCCATTTTGACAATCGTAAGCCCCAAATGCAGCTGCTGTGGATGGGCGAAATCCAATTCGCACCACCCAAGAAACCATGAGAAGCCATTATCGCTTGGTATTTACAGGGGAGTCGAATCATTCCAGGATTCTCTCTCGGCCTGTGTCAGGACTGGGCCGAGTTTGCCAAGGCCATGAAGAAGGTGGGGGGGGCTTCGGTGGCCCATGGGGGCCTTGTTTTAGGGGGATGACGCCTAGATGTACCAAAAAGTATTCTTGACCCAGGATTAATAAACCCGTCCCATTATTAAAGGGGTGTTCTCTCCAAAAGTGGTCTGCTTCACTCGCGGCAGGTCCTTTGCTGGGCACAGCGAGTTTTCTTGGCATGAATAGTAAAAACTCCAGGCAAGCAAATGGAGGGGCCAAATGAAGTTCTGCAGCACGTGCGACTTTCAGAGTCGATCAAGCAAGTTGTTGGCAGGCTGACCGCTACCATGTCGAGGTCTACTGAGTATGCTTCACGCATACCCCAATTTGGAGTTGTAATTGCTTTCCAGTACCTTATTGTTTTCCGAGATCCTCTGACCCCAGAGGGCCTGGTTTTCGAGCGACAGACCTGAATCCCGGGTCGCAGTTTCGAGTTTTCCTGGCTGCGTGATTGTCAGGCGTGATTTGGTGTCTGGTAATGCAGCTTGAACCCGGCTGCGTGTGGCACGTGGTGCTGAGACTCAAGGGAGTGTGCATTTGGGTAATCATGTTTCCCTCACGTCAGTGCTTTTCAGGGAGTCAGAACGTCAGAACTGCATATCTCTCCAGAGACTCGGCAGCTTGAACGTGTCCCGCGAACCCACGAGAGCCGAAAGAACCGGAATTCGCCAGGGGGGTGGGAGGGTCCATGTGTGCTGTTTGGAGAAGGTCTGACTTGGTGTCAGAGCTTCGGTTTGAGCAACTTCCCCATGAGAGAGAGAGAGAGAGAGAGAGTGACTGTCGATCCTGTCGCCGATGGCTGGCTGACAGGAGCAATGCTTACACTACTCATAGATATGAGGTTGCTTTAGGGGTGCTTTGGGGTTGCTTTAGGGTTGCTTTAGGGTTGCTTTAGGGTTGCTTTAGGGTTGGTTTAGGTTAGGCTTAGCGTTGGTTTGGGGTTGGTTTCGGGTTGGTTTAGGTTAGGCTTAGCGTTGGTTCAGGGCAAACTACTCGTAGATCTTCGGTTTCTGCGCATTTCAGACAAAGACAGGATTCGAATTGCTCCTAGAACCAGTCCATGGCTCGGGAGTGAACTCACACGCACTCGTCGTCACAGGTCCCAGTTTTCAGTTACGACTTGAGTGCGAGTTGGTTTTGTGGCGAAGGTAGAGCTCGAAGACGCCAGCTCATGTGGCTCTTGAGGCAAAAAGATTGAAATGCATCGCAGGAAGCAATGCGTGGATTTTTCTTTTGCGACTCACCGGAAAATGTGGACCGGGATCTTCTTCTTCGCTGCCAAACGTGTGAGGCTCAGCTGAGTCTCCTCCATAAGCATCGACGCTGAGTTTCCCTTCGTTTGGCTTCAAGTGATGGTGTTGCCCTTCCCACTTTCGGGCCGATGCAGCGGTTTCAACGCCTCGGCGAAGGGGGCGGGTCAGGCTAGGGGAATGCAGGGAATCCCAAAAGCTGGGGCATTTGGGCGTTTTCAGTGAGAGGGGTTCCTCTCGAAGAATCCCAAAGGCCTTTCGGGTTCCCAAAAAGCCGCGCGCCACCGAGTGGCTCGGAGCTGCCAGGCTTGCTTCTGGTCCTCAGGCCCCGTGCTCCCCCAGCTTGACGGCTAAGCCGTGGGGGTGTGTCGGTTTTTTCGTTTTTTTGGGGACCCCAACGAAATAATGTGTTTTGTGTTCCTCTTGGTGTCCCATTTTGAACCAGGCAAAAAGAGGTTCCAGAGAACCATCAGATCTTGGGGGCACAAGGGGTCGAGGGTCTCAAATAAGCCCTTCTTAAGAAAATGATTAAGGGCATATATGCCCCCCAGCAGACATGTGGAAGGATTGAGTAATACTGCAAGCAACCGTCATTGTTTTCTTTGTTGAAAAGGCAAGGAGGATCCTCGTCTTCCAAAGGGAGTTCATGCACCAAACCAAGACAGCGAGGGCAAAACAAGAGGGACGTTGGAAGCTGCCCTTCTTTCGCTTGCGAGTTTAGTTGTTGTTTGTTTCAGATAAAGCACGGTGTCGTGTTTGTTCGGCACAGGAAGTGTTTGGTGCTGTGCCTTTGCATCGCTTGGAAGCTGAACTGCCCCGGCGGGAGTACCCCTGTCATCTTTATGAGTCTGAGTTGTTGTACAGCTATGCATATTAAGCTCTATTCTCTTTCTCTTTTTCTTGCCTTCTCTCTCCTTCTCTCTCTTGCTTTCTCTCTCTTTCTCTCTCTTTCCTTCTCTCTCTTTCTCTCTCTCTAGCTCTTTCTCTTTCTCTTTCCTTCTCTCTCTCTTTCTCTCTCTCTCACTCTCTTGCTCTTTCTCTCTTTCTTTCTTTCTTTCTTTCTTTCTTTCTTTCTTTCTTTCTTTCTTTCTTTCTCTCTTTCTCTCTTTCTCTCTTTCTCTCTTTCTCTCTTTCTCTCTTTCTCTCTCTCTTTCTTTCTTTCTTTCTTTCTTTCTTTCTTTCTTTCTTTCTTTCTTTCTTTCTTTCTCTTTTTGCCTCTTTCTCTCTTTCACTCTTTCTCTCTTTCTCTCTTTCTCTCTTTCTCTCTTTCTCTCGTTCTCTCTTTCTCTCTTTCTCTCGCTCTCTCTCTCTCTCTTTCTCTATTTCTCTTTTCTCTCGTTGTCTCTTTCTCTCTTTCTCTCGTTCTCTCTTTCTCTCTTTCTCTCGCTCTCTCTCTCTCGTTCTCTCTTTCTCTAATTCGCTCTTTCTCTTTTTCTCTCTTTCTCTCGTTCTCTCTTTCTCTCTTTCTCTCTTTCTCTCTTTCGCTCTTTCTCTTTTTCTCTCTTTCTCTTTTTTCTCGCTTTCTCTTTTCTCTCTTTGCTCTCTTTTTCTCTCTTTCTCTTTTTCTTTCTTTCTCAGTCTTTCTCTAGCTCTCTCTCTCTCTCTCTTTCTTTCTTTCTCTTTCTCTCCTTTTCGATTTCTCTCTTTCTCTCTTTCTCTGTCTTTCTCTCTCCTTCTCTCTTTCTCTCTCTCTCTCTCTCTCTGTGTGTGTGTCTCTGAGTTGATAATTTCAAGCCATGCGTGTACTCAAAGTCACGCCGGCGCACACATACACACATATGCTTGTAGATATGTATATATGTATATGTATGTATGTAAACATATTTGTATGTATCAATGTATCAACGGACTGATTGAGGGAGTTTGCAATGAAACGACAAAACAGACTCCTACTTCTGTTCTTAGGTCCCTGCTTTGCATACGCACAAGATCTGCCCTGACATGCGCGACGCATGTATGCACCGGAGCAAAGTGTGGATGCATACGTTTCGGCGTGTTTCTGATCAGCGCTGCAGGCTCACAGATGCAGCCTGCGAGCTTCCAGTGCAGTTGCCACAGGTGCCAGTGTGCTTGCCGAAGCAATTGCTTGCCGATGGCTTGCAGGTCGGAGGCGCCCCCCCCCATTTACCAAGCCATCTTTGAAGAACGTGTTTTTACCCAAAGCGTGCTGGTGCGATAGGTAGGGAATGAGGGAATGAACCTGGGGATTCCCTTTAAGGAAGACAGATTTGGTATGGTTTTTGTCGGGGTCATTCCATTTCTCATCCCTCAAAAACCAAGGGGCACCCCCCCCTCAAAAACCAAGGGGAAAACCAATGAAACTCATCAACCAAGGGGTTTCACTTCAACTAAGTGTCTTTACCCCTAAGTGTCTTCGGCGAATCCTCCGATCGAGGGCTTCCTTCCGACGGCCTTGACGGTGGGGCCCCAGGACGAGCAGGGAGCTGCGGGCGGGGGCGGGGCGCGGTCCGGTGGCTCTCGGCAAAAAAAAATGGGAGCCGGTGCTGCCCGCCGTGTTTTTTTTGGTTCGGCGGCTTCAGAGGGAAACCCGAGAAGCGGAGTCGAGGCAATTTTGGTGGGGGTAGGGAAGCCAAAGCAACACGCCGGAGCGTTTTTTTTTGCAGGGGGTTCCCCCCAAAAAAAGACGCGTTACCCATGTCAACATTTCTTTTTTTGTAGCAACTCCAAAGAACAAAAACATCCAGCGGCCTTTTTTCTTGACGGTTGACGCCCGGAGCCAGGCGCATTGTTTTTTTTGGCTAAGAGAAAAACAAACACCACGCGGAAGCATATTTTTTTCGTCGCGCAGTGCCAACATGGGGCGGAAGAGCTGTAATATGTCGCGTGGTGGCCATCCCCCTGCCGCCAATTTGTCACAGGACGTGGTCACGGTTAGGCTCCCGTCAGAAAAGGTTTGTGAAAGAACTTGTCGACTCGTTGGAAGCAACTTTGCAGGCAGCTAAAAGAGGGCCTGTGGCACGCTTACTTTCTGTATGCCCACGCAACCTTGGCACACAACGCACCCTGCGTAGGCAGATTCAATTGGCAACTCCAATCGCATAGGCGGGCGTAGGCGCTTTCATGCCGATATGTACCTCGCATAAGCCCCACAATATATTTGCAAATGGCGTAGGCACCAGAGTAGGCGTATAATTCTCCCGGAGGCAAGCGGGTGTTTTTGCCCGAAGAAATAGTGTGACGTTTCGCAAACCCGCACGCCTGTCGCGCGGCTGTTTGCAGCCCATGTGTTGGAATCTGGCAGTGCGCGCTTTTTTGATTGCTGTGCTTGAATACACTTGCCGCAAACACACATTGCAAAGCGCAGTGCTTTGGAACGCCTTTATCCACGGCCCACAAGAAGCAAACCTCAAGTGGGCCTTTCTCACGGCCATCCAACATGTGAAGGCGCCTGGTTTCTCTCGACAACCACTGGATGAACATTGACCCGGTAAGGGGGATGACACAGACAAGCCAAGATGTGGCTGTGGGTCAAAACCAATGGTACCATTTTGGGGTAGGTGCACCTCCCATTTTAGTCTATTTGAGTGGGGATTGTGATGTTCACTGGGGATAACCGGGCTTTTGACCCATCGCCATTTCTCACTGAAGACTTGGCAAGTAGAACCCCCGGCAGAATGGGTCGCCAACCTGCTTCGCTGAACTTCCCCCGATTCGCCCCTGCTCTTTGCGAGCGACGAAACATGTGGCCGCGCGCAGCGCGCAGGACAAGCTGGTGCTGGCCTCAACGCATTGAGAAGCGTTTTTTCCGTTTTGGACTTCCCTTGGACGCCAAGTCTAAACGAGCAGCGCCCGGAATGCCATTGTAGCTGCTCCTGCCTGGTTGCACAAAGGTGAATTGGTCGCCCGGAATTCCTGGCCATTTTAGTATGCCTGGTTTCATAAAGGTCAGTTGTAAGGCCTATGTGAGCCTGGTCATTTTGTTTTTCGCTGTTCAAATGTCACCAGGGTTCTAACATGGCGCATGCCATCCCTTGAACAGGCTGAGACGGGGAGCTCCCTTCAAGGGAACCGAGCCACCGAGTTACCATTGTCTTTTTGTGTTGGTGCAAGGCTTGATTCTTGAGCCGCTTGCTTCCAGCTGTTCTGTGCCTGCCTTGAGAAACTAGGCCTGAGTTCTCAACGTTTTGGCGTGGACGAATGCCCGAAAAGTATATTCCTCCCCTAAGCGCTGCATTGCCGAGGTCGTCGGCGACCAAACTGGCCAGTGCCCCAGATGCAACCAGAGATGACGCTGCCACTGCAGAGTAGCAGGGTTTGGTGGGGGCGGGGGCTATCCAGACAAGATGGCCGCTTTCGGGGGTCTCCCTTCAGCCACGCCCACGCCTGAACTTCTTGCCCATGGCGCGATTTGGTGCGACTTGGTGCAATTTTGCTCCGCTCCTGGCAAGTGGACTCCTGAAGAATGAGAGATGAAGCAAGCAAGGCAGAAGAGAAGCATACGAATTACAGGATCAAGCGAACAGCCAACGAAGAGAACCAGAATTCAGGCGCGTCAAGACCAAAGGCCGTCTTTCCGGTGAGCCAAAGGCCGCCGCTTTCCGGGCATGGCAAGCGCTCTCGCGGCCGCGCTTGCGACGCTTGCGAAGGGATGCTCATGGCGACTGGTGGCGTCTGGCAGCAGGTGCTGCAGGAGTCGCTTGACCAAACGCCAGGGGCTTGTTGGAAGCTTTCTTCCACTTTCTGAAATGAATATCTGTTGTTTGCGCCTGTTGGTTCTCAAGGGAATCTATCACTACAGGATATTTTTTGTTGTTTTCCAGGTGGCTGAAGCAAATGGAAGCTTCGAAGGCCAGTTTTTGGGGGTTGAGAAAAAGTCTCGCTCACTTGCATGCAATGCATGAGGCAGATTCGGCTCGAACACGAATTCGCGTATCCAGTTCACTCATGGCTAGACGGCACGGATGTGATGACGGCGGGGAGTATTCCGTAAGAGAATCCGTTGTGATAGTGGTTGGATGGGACTTTCCGTGACAGAAAGTTGACATTGTTATGCACAATTCTCAAGGTTCTTCGAGAGACGCTCGGCGTCGACGATTGCCTGCAACAGCGACTCTGCTGCAAGAGAACAGACCAGTTACGCTTTTCTTGCCACTACGTAGCCTGGGTCAAGTGAGTGCGGACTCTTCTGGTGTCAGCTGTTCCAGTCTGGTTGGTTCCAATGAGCAGTCGAGCTTATCCCAGTTGCCCGGTGGTGCCCTTTTTTCCTTTTTTTTTGGTGAAGGGTTCCCATTTCAAGTCAACCATCCAAAAAAGGCTGGGCATCTGAGCTATTGCTGACATGGGGTTCCTCATGTCTCTCTTTCAGGAAGGCCGCCGCTGCTCAAAGAATCTAGAACCCAGCAGCCCCATTAGAGCTTTGCACTGCGCGCGATGCGCGTAATGCGTGGTGCACTTTTCTGAGACCACGCGCCAACAGGAACATGCGCTTTTTGTTTTCGTGGTGCATGATATCCCAGTGTCGGTTGCAGTGTGGGTTACAGTGGCGCTGGAAACTGACGCTGCATTGATGCAGTTCGGGTCATGGGAGGATCCATAGCATCTCGGGTAGCTTGCAAGTCGGGCCAACTGTCAGCTTGCTTCTTGGGGCTACCTTTGCCGGTTCACGACCGAGTCCCTCATTTTGGCCAAGCATGGAGCGATCCAACTGAGATTTTCTTTTCCGGTTTTTGTTTTCGTGATTGGAACGCAGCAAACAGATTGGTCGACATGAGCCACCACACAAGGCTTCGTTTAGTTTAACAAACACACCCAACCGCAAGCTGCCTCGACTCTCCAATTCTGGAAGGCCTATGGGAGGGGTAGGTGCAAGGGCAGTGGCACGCAGTTGAGCGCCCTAGAGTTCCTTGAAGCTTCCTTAGGCTTCCTTAGGGTTCCTAAGGGAGGGGATCCTTGGGGCCACTCCTTTGGGACGCCACAATCCAAGGGGCGATTCAGAGCCTCGAGCCGCCGCACTGGCGGGCCTCCAGCTGGTTGCTGGCGGCCGCGCGTGCGCCAGACGTGCTGAGTGCCCTGGTGGATGCCGTTTAGGCCTAGGCCGTGTTGGAGTCCCGGTTGAGGTTGAGGGTGGAAGTGCGTGCCCCCTTGTTCATTCCCCTTGGCTTCCGGGGTTTCCAACCCACTTTTTAAGGGGCTTTTTCCTTTTGGGGAGAGGAGTATGAAGACCAGAAGGCCTTTTAGGCTCATTTGTCCAAGGGGTATGTAAAAGGGGTATGTACAAGCACCCCTGGATTGAGGTCGAGGCCTGGGGTGAGCGCCATGAGGCTTCAATGGAAAGTCGTCAAGAGCGTCAAGAGCGGCAATCAGCAAGCAATGTATTCGAATCACGACTCCTGAACACTCCAGAGCGTATGTGCCACCCGAGAACACAGCAACAATGCCCCAAAAGGAGTTGGTGGCGCACTCCAGCATCTGGCTATGGGTCAATATTAAAGCCCACGATGTGGACCGCAGGTTTTGGTCCATGTTCGTACATTGACCAGGGCAACATATTTAGGATACCTTGCTGGTGTGGGAATGACCCCTATAGACCATCCAACTGGTGGTTTCCTTTAACGCGTTTATTTGGGGGTTGCCCACGATTTTTGGGGGGCTACCTGCCTTTATTTGGGGGTTGCCCATGTTTTTTTGGGGGTCCCCCACGATTTGTTTGGGGGTTGCCCATGATTTTTGGGGGTTTCCCGCGATTTTTTTGGGGGTTGTCCACGATTTTTGGGTTTCCGGCGTTCCCCGCGTTTATTTGGGGGTCGCCCGTGATTTTTTTGGGGGTTGTCCACGATTTTTGGGTTTCCGGCGTTCCCCGCGTTTATTTGGGGGTCGCCCGTGATTTTTTGGGGGTTCCTTGTGATTTTTCGACCACCGCTATATCTCTCCCGGGCCATTTCGAGGCTACGGCCTCGCCCTGGGCGGCTTCGGGACGCGTCAGTGGCGCCTGGGCACCTCGTGGCTGGCGCAGGCGCCGCTGAGGCGGCTGGCGCCCAACGCGGTGGTCTGGACCACGGCGCCTTGCGGAGAAATCCGGGCGGAGGGGGCGGGCGGATCTGCCGGGCTCCGAGGCGGAGCCCTTGGACTTGGAAATGGGGCGCCTTGGAGCCCTTGGACGACTTGGAGCCCTTGAACCCCTTGGATGACTTGGACCCCTTGGACCTGTTTCGACCCCTTGGACCCGTTGGACGACTTGGAGCCCTTGGACGCTTGGGACGACTTGCACCGCTTGGACTGCTTGTTCAGCGAAATTGTGTGTATTTTTTTTGCTCCATTTGTTTGGGTTCCCCGCCAGAAAAGGGCGCGGTCCTACAAAGGGTTTTATTTCTCGACTTTTCGGCCGATTCCTGTTGAGCTTGTTCCGCAGATGACCGGCTGTGGGCCTGGGACCAACTCTTTGTTTTGAGCATGTTCTTAGCATTCCCCATTTGGGGGGCGTAGGGGGCTTCCTTGATGCGCATGGCCAGGTTTCAGCGGATCAAAAGTCAGCTTGAGGCCGCCAGCAGCTGCCAGTGGTGGCGCATGGCGCTGCAGCTGCTGGGCATGGGAGGCGTGGCGAAATGAGGGAAATGAGCAACCGATGCCCATTTTCATCCCCTTGAAATTTCCCCTACAGAATGGGAGGGGTTCACCTCCATATATGTACATATTTATTTAATGATCAAAGGGGGATCCATTCTCCCATTTTCTGTTAGGTTTTGATTAAGAGCCGAGGTCTCAGTCCGGCGGTGGGGAACTTGTTCTTAGTTGAATTCAACGGGCAGCCAAAGGGATATCCCTCATTCACAGACCAACCTACATGGCGTTGCAACAGGACTCGTCATGAGAAGAAAGGAGGCGAACCGCCACTGCCAGCAAGCAAATATGTAGCCGAACCGGAACAACACCTTTGTCAGTTCCTGACGACTGATGTCCGCCGACAACACGCCGCCTGAGTTGTTTGACCCCTGATTGAAAAACACTTATCATTGAGCACACCATCCAGGCTGTGTGCCCAAAAATGTGAAAAAGAGGCCTGCGGGCCGACACGGTGAGCTTTTCCAGCTCCGTGGCCCGCGTGCAGGAGTGGCAGGCGCGGAGCAGTGGTGGCCATTTTGGCAGGTGGTTGTGCCTTCATTGTAAGTTCTATGTAAACTTTACAACCAATGGGTTTTGAGCGCTGCTCTGTCGTGTTTTGTGGCATTCGCATCTGATATTGCAACGAAACAAAGAGTCATGACAGATGCTTGTCCTTATTGGTGGGTTGGAGCTTTTCAGATATTGGCCATGCTTTGTTAGTTGCGAGCAGGCAGCATTTAGCAAGTGTCCAGTCGGCATTGAACAAGCGACAGGTCGACCAGGCCATCCTTTCGGGATGGTATCCAAAAGGCTCAGCATGGATTTCCAGCTAGTGCTCGCTTGTTGGATCTGGTTTGCCTCAAAGAGCTTTTGGGAGTTGCGGTGTCCCGATGCAGCAAATGAAACATCTCCAGCAAGTGAGAGTGGTTCCGGATGGTTGATGATTTGAGAGGGACGGGTTTGGTTTGCGCGGTTGCTACCTCTGTCATCAACGGCCAGCATGTGTACTGTTCCCACGAATTTAAGCCACCATTGTGCTGCTACATGGCCTTCCATAGGCTCACAGGAGCACGTTGGAGCCGAAGTGCCTGAAAAACGGAAGCAATGTCAGGTGCTCAGCAGACCGAGCCTCCCCCCCCCCCAACAAGACCATTCCTGCGAACATGTGCTACTCTTGTCATTTGTCCGGCTTCAATTCCCAGTTGCCCGGTGGCGCCCTTTTTTCCTGCTTTATGGGACGGCTTTTTTTATCAACTCAACCAACCAAAAAGGGTGTGGCGCAAAATTAACGAGCCAGGTTCGCAAGTTTTGGTCCTTGGTTCCACTTTGCCAGGGTGCGATTTTGGTGACATGCTTTTGAGCCACAGCCAACAAGAGGATGCCTTTTTTTTTCTTCTCCTGGACGCTGGGCATCTGAGAATTTGGGAAGGAACGAAAGCCGCAGGCGGCGCTGGCCCTGCTGATGGAGATGGCCCAGCGCGCGCTGCGGCGCAACGCCGCGAAGTTGCGAAGTTGCGGCCGGGGGAAGTGAGGACCCTCTCGGATGCGTAGAGGGGATGCGGTGGTTGTCAAAACCGTTTTGGGATCCCATTTTGGGGGTAGGTGAATTCACCACCCATTTTAGAACCTATTTTAGTGGGGAAAAAGGGATGTTCACTGGGGTACGGGATTTTGACCCATGGCCATATGGGGGTTTCTAGAATAGGATCCTTTTTTGGGGATAGAGGGCCCTTTTTGGGAAAAATGGGACATGGGGATATATGGGACAGGAGGATATGGGGGATATGGGGGATATGGGATATAGAGGACCCTTTTTGGCTTGGTTTCAAACAGAAGCCAGAAGGAAAACCGCCTGCCTGGATAGGTCTCAATTTTGAGCAACACCCATATTTGGTTCCTAAAGACTTGGAGGAAGCGGGTGCTTCCTGTTTTTGCGCCCTTCTGAATTGCAGATCACGACAGCCCACTCTTTTTTTTTTTTGAGCTTGTTTGAGCCATTCCTTGCCTGCCACCGGAGGCATGGGCTCCCCGCCCCAAAGCCCCGCGTTGCCGCACGCGTGCGCGCGCGCCAAGAGGTGGTGGCGCTGGGGGCAGCGCAGGCGGCGTGCGATTGGACCTGGGGCCTGCGGATGCTGGCGGAACAGGCGGGCCGGGGTTCGAGTCGGGGAGATGGGTGCGTCTGAACAAAGGGGGGCCGATTTTTTCAGGTGGGGGGGTGTACCATCCAAGAAGGGTGCCCCCCTATGTTGAGACGCACCCATTTGGTGACTCATGGCTTGGATTCGGCCAGTTTCGGACATGAGGTTTGCCTTGCTCGAGCTGTGATCAGTCGACAAAGTTTCTGGACAATTCCTGTTGCAGTCTTTGCACTTCGATGAAAATTACTAGCTCGTCCGCAATCGGACCCAACAAAACTTGGGTGCATGTTGCTTGGATGTTAGGACTTTCACTTTTTGCCAACCAATGGGTGTTCCGTATTAAACCACCAAAGTTATTCACTTTCCGCAGGGGTTTGCAGATTTCGCCGAGAAATAACCCAACGGTGCGAGGGCCAAAAGATCGTGGGGGGATTTTCGCCCGCGCGGCGCAGCTCTGCAGGCCCCTCGGCTCAGCGAGCGCCTCTGCGACGCTGGCGTCCTGAGCTGCGTCGAGGGGGGCCAGTGGTCCAAGGCAGGGGACCTTCCCTTCTGCGGGGGGGGGGGTGGGGGGTGGTGGTGGGGGGGGGGTGGTGGTGGGGGGGGGGTGGTGGGGGCGGGGTGCGCCGGTGGATCCACCGGGTGTGTTGACCGCCAGGAGGGATTTGTACATTTCCAGAGCCGGAGCCGGTGGGCGGAAGTTGCGGGAAGAAATAGCAGGTATAGTTAGCGTTCCTTTTTTTTTCCATCGTTTTTTTGTCGTTCGTTTTTGTCTTTCTTTTTCTCGTCTTTCCCTTTCTCTTTCTCTTCTTTGACTTTTTCTTCTCTCTCTCCTCTTTTTCTGTTCCCTCTCTCTTTTGATTTCCCTTGTTTCTCTTTCTCTTTCCTCCTTCGCTGCCCTGTCTTTCCCTTTCTCTTACTGGTTCTTTTTTTCTTCATCTTTCTTTCTCTTTCTACCGTTTCCCTGCCAACGGCAGTAAGTGTCGCGTCTGCCACACAATCTGTACCTGACCGCCTGCCACAAGATTTGTGCCTGAACTTTCAAAAGTGCTGCGCCCGCGCCTGCCACGCAAACTAATCTGGGGTAGACTTAGGATACATTTTACATGTTACCAGTGACTCCATGTGAAGCAAACAATGAATTATACATTCTAAGACTGGGCCTAACTCTAATCATGTAATGTTGTGAACAGTGCGTGCCAATGGGCCCGGATCCGAGAGCGCTCTGAGCGAGCGCTCCGAGAGCGCTCCGATAACTGCGTCTCCACAGGCTAACTTTCACCATCCCAACCCGCGACAGGTGCAGGCGTGCTTGTCACGTGAGCTTATTCGGCCCTTGCCTTCTGACTTCTGTCAGAGAGCTAGCTTTCAATTGTAGTTGCCGTACGGATTTTCCTTCTAAACTTCCTTGATTTTCTACTCCTGAAATGTTAGGAATTTGGGGTGGACATTTGCCGGTCTCTTCGTGTACTTTGAACTTTCTGGCAACATGTTGTGCAGGGCGAGGCCAAAGTATTCCAACGAGGGGAGGCATGGGCCAAATTCCAAAGCGGGGCTGAAGGCTTGCTCCCCCGTTTGCCCTCTCTTGCTTGCTAGGCAGGGAATGAGGGAATGAACCTCGGGATTCCCTTAAAGCACAGAGGATGGTTTATCTCGGGGTCATTCCATTTCTCATTCCCTGCCTATGGCACCAGCAAGCTTGTTCAGACGATTTGTTCTCGAGTACGGGAAAACATCGAGGGGCCACCGACTGACCGTCGTCCCTTCAAGGCGCTGGCGCTCTTTCTCGACACCGAGCAGCAGCAAACTTCGCCCAGGCCGGGCAAGTTTCGGTTCTGGGCGAGGGTTTTGCGCGACCGGTGCATAGGAACGTGTCAAAAAGCAGGGAGCAGCTTGCAGCGCCCGGTTTCATGTTTCTTTGCAGTGGGCAGTGGTGGGAAGCGAACTTATTTGCCGCGAGTTTGTCTGGGTGTCCACATGTTTTCGGGCATCGCTTGCAGTTGAGCTTCAAGATGGACCGAGCAGCCCGGACGGGTGGGACAGGTCGGCCACGTCGTTCCTGCACATGTTGGCGACGTTGCGGATTGAGGACCCCGAGGTCATTCATGGCATATGTGTGGAGGCGGGAGCATCGTGGTAAGATGTCGATGCAGGAATTCCGGGTGGTTGAGGCGCTCAATTCGTTCACAGAAGTCCTGCGGCGCACGAATTCCTACAGTCAAGCCAAACCGCCAAGCGGCGCACGAATTCCAGAACGGGCTTCTCGCTTTGCAGCGGAGACGTGTTGAGATGTTAGTGCCATGTAATGTGGGACATGTGAACCCCCCCCCCCAACAGTGGAACCAGTCTTCTTTAGAACGGGGTCTGGGAGGGACAGTACTTACTGCAGTGTTGCTAATTCTACTTTAGTATTGCCAAGGCCCCCTCTCAGATTCGCAGTACTTCCTTTAGTATTGCCAATTCCACTTTAGCATTGCCAAGGCCCCTCTGAGATTCCTTGTTACAATAGAGGGCCCCAAACCAGTCCAACGATCCTGAAATAGGAAAAACACTTTACACCATGCAGGGTACTGCCATTGAAGCGTGTCCCACATTCCCCCTCATCCAGGCCCGGTAGACTCTCCGACGTATTTGCCAGTGACGCCACATCCAAACCCACAGAGCCGATCAATCGGGAGCGGGGTGACCTTCTAGCCGGGCAGGCAGTGGCGGCTCCGCTCACCGAGGCGCGCTTGAGTTATTGCTTTGATACCTTTGGCGCCAAGAATATCGCCTCTGAAATTGTGTTTGATAAATGCGCAGCAACATGGCTCCCACCCCTGCTCTTTAGCTTGTGAACCTTTGAACTCATTCTTGGGGGTCTCGTTTGTACCTTCAATGAGATGGCTGTGCGGTGTGGCAAATGTTCCGGTATTGCGCGCATGCCGAGTTGACATGGGAAACGACAGACCTTGTATTCGTTTAGTTGTTTTTGTTGATGTTGATGGCAGCGAACCCTGAACTCGTACATATCTACGGAGGCAACAGCAGTGTTCCCACGAGCAGGCTATGTCAATGCAATCTTGGAAGCTCATTGCTGGCCGTTCCGATTCCTCACAGTTTGCTTTGCGCAGCGGTGGATGTTTCGCTAGTGTTTAATCAGCGGCCGTTTGAGGCTCCTCCTGAGTGCCCTCGCGCAAATTCCCGTGTCTTTTTGTTTTTTGCAGGCTATGCTGCTGGAGCCGCTGTGGTTTGCCTTGCAGGGTAGTTTTTGCATATGACAGAGTATGAACCAAAACCTGAACCCTAAACCCTAAAATGCAAACCTAAACCCTAACCCGCGTTGACCCGAAATCAAACCTAAACCTTAACCCTGAACCGTGCTGACCCTATACGAACAACGAAGCCTAAACCCCAAAATCTAAAGCTAAACAAACGTGTTGCTTTTCAATTGTGGACATGTGCCAACTTAGCTGAACAAATTCGGAAGGACTAGCAAAAATCCACCCTTCAAAGTAAGCTGCTGCGAACAGTGCAAGGAGTGAAGGCAGGCAGTATCGAAACAACCATAAGTCAACCACCAGAAAAAATGCAGTAGGCAAGATCCATCTCCGACCCTTAAGCCTGTTGACCCTAAACCAAGACCTGAACCGCAAACAGAAGCCCTACGCCAAAGCTGTAAACTGTGTTGACCCTAAACCCAAAAACGGTGCTGGCCCTAAACCGAAACCTTGGAGCCTTCAGCCGCGCTGACCAAAAGAACCAAAGCCTAAACCCTAGAAGGGGAAATCCCACGCAAGTCGCGCTGGACAGGAAAAGTAAACCACACTGGGCTGCCTACTCAGCCCCTGTGGTCTTTGAGGGGGTCAGGTGCCCAAGTTGCTTTGGGCGACCACCATGCTGGGCGCCTGGAACGCGGCCTTCTACCGCCGCTGTTCCGCGGAGGCTACGAAGAGATCAGGAGGGCTCCCCTTTATAAAAGCGTCTTTCTTTGGCGGACCCCCGAAAATGACGCGAACAGGCGCCCTTTTTGGCGGAGTTTGGTTGAATATGGCGCCAAAAAAGACTCATTTCCCCGAATCCATCTATGCCCAAAAAGGACTCCTCCCGGTTTCAACCTCACATGTTGAGTGGGCTTGGACGCACCGGACCCCACTCAACTCATCAGTGGAAGTACATACCCCCCTTGGTTTGGTAGGGTACCAACCCACTTCACCATGGGTGTAAACTTACTGCACTCCTTCTGGGGACACGAGTAAGCACAGCAAGCTTTGCCCAAGCAAGGAGATATTTGGGTGTTGTATCCGGATCTCTGGAGGAATTGGTCCCCAATATTGGGTGTATGGGTGAAAAAGCAAACCGCCAGGATATGGACCGCAGGTGTTACTTCTTGTTTCCATGCACCAGGGCAACCCCCCCGGTTGTAGTTTCATCGTGGGTGGGCGGGGCTGATTTGGGCTCCCTCCCCACCTCTTCCCCCCCCTCCCTCCCCTCCAGCTCCGGTGTCCATGCCAAGGTGGGCGTTTCCGCAAATGCGCCAATTCCGGGTGACCAGCTTTTGCTTGTGGTTTCCTCTGACGCTCCAAGGCACAAGGTCCGCCAATTTGACACGCCTTCCGCCGGTCCTTCGCCGACGCGCCGAGCCAGCCGCGAGGTGCTGCGGCGGCGGCGGGCGCTGAGCGGCGCCGCGCTGCTGCGCTGCGCCTGGGCCTTGGCCTCGGCGGAGGCTTGGGGCGGCGGCGGCGTCTGGCGGCGCCTGCAGGCGGCCGGCGGCAAGGGGCCAGCGGGGGGTTCGACGTGGGTGCCTTTTTCTTTGAGGGTGCCGCCTTGTTTTGGTGGTTTTGCAGGGAGACAAGAGGAAAGCAACCATTTTGGGAGGAGGTTCAACTTAGGTTTTTTTGAGTGTCTTCTAGTTGGTGAAAGGTGGTTGGGCTTCTGAATTTAACCCACCATAAGTGGGTGTGTCTTGGGTTCTGCTTTAGGTTTTTACTGTGGGGAAAGAGTTGACGACGCATATATGGTACCGGGTAGCAACGGAAAACCGCCATTTCGGGCGGTTCGCTGAGGTGTTTGACGGTGTGCATAGGCTTTGTATTTTGAAGGCTAGATTGCCTAAACATGCCTAAAACACAGATCATGTGTGTTTTGCATACCATACAAGTCTACGAGTTGAGATCGTTTGCTGGACAAGGTTGAGCGTTCGCCACCATTGAAATGGGATTTGCGTTTGAAACTTGAGGAGTGTTGTGATGGGGCGGTTTCCAACACAAACCTTCCGGAGAGTTTACCATGACGTTGGTGACACGGGCCATACACAGGTGTCCTGTGTACGTGAGTTCGTTGGAACATAAACGGACTCCACTTGTCTCAGTTCCACACTTCCACACTTATCCCTCAACCCACCCTAAGCATCAATCAGGGTCCAGGTCGTGAGGGCATCCAGGTTTGTCACTTCGGACGTGGGGATCAGATTCGCCGCAGGAGGAGGTCATGCTTCGCCTGCGCGAGCCTCTGGCCTGGCAGACGCAGCAGGACGGAGGTTTCGCGTGAGAGCGGTCCTTTGTAGACCCAACCAGAAATTCGCGTGCCCCCCCCCCCCCCAAAAAAAAAAGGCAAAAAGACAAGCTGTTGCTTTTTCAGGACTGCGCCCTGGTGGGTTGTGGGGGTTGTGGCTGAGGTGATGGTCGCTGCGGACCAAAAACGTCGGGGTGTCATGGTGGTTGTGTATCAGGGGTGTGGGATCACTCGCGGCTTATCCAACCACTTCTGTGATACAAGGGAATCTCACAATTTATATGGGGGTTACTCTTTGGGAAGCCCTGTTGTGTATTGATTGAGTTGGCCCTTGAAGCGGAGTCTGTGCTGGCAGAAAACCATTTCTGACCACTTCGGGCAAACACTAAGTAAACAAAGTAAACCATCCTTTTTCCTTTGGAGCCCAACTGCTTGCCAGTCGTACCGAGCAGGACAGCGCCGTGCCATACGAGGATTTTTTGGGAATACTGTGGAGCTGCAACATGGCCGGCGTGCTGATGGCGCCGTGCAGGCGCCGCGAAGGGTCACAGCCAGGTTGCAGAAGTTCAAAAACCAATCGAACCATTTTGGCGTAAATAACTTCACCACCCATTTTAGAACCTATTTTAGTGGTTGGATTGGGATGTTCACTGGGGGTACGATTTGGGTTTTGACCCATGGCCAAGTGAGTGTTTTCTAACTCAGCAAAGGGCTTTCTTGTTGCCGGTCTCTGCGCCAGACGCCTTGTCCCGTGCATGGGGTTCACGAGGCAAATGCTGGCACAGCGCCTGCGGGAGCGCGGCCGCGCCAGGGATGCGGCGAATGGCCGTCCCAGCCTCGGGCGCGCGCAAGGGGACCGTGCCCCGGCCTGGGTGGTTCTCGTGGGGGTGGGTGCCAGGGCAAGATGGGGGTGAAGAAATGGGTGTGTCTGTTTTTTAGGTCCAACCCGAAAAGCTTGGTTTCCTTTTTTTGGTTCAGGGAGGGGTACCATCCCAAAAAAGTCACACCAGGTCGGGCAAGATGGGTTTTGGGCTCCAATGGGGACGCACCTGATTTGACTCCCAGTTGAGCAACTGGGCATTGCCTCACTTGGGCTGTTGGTCGCACATCTGAACTTTGGCCTTTTGCCACAATATTGGTACAAACAAATTTGAAATGGGTGTGATTTCCCCCCCCACCCCCCCACCCCACCGCCCCACCCCCCCCTCCCCCCCCCGCCCCACCCCCCGCCCCCCCGCCCCACCCCCCCCCCCCCCCCCCCCCCCCCCCCCCCCCCCCCCCCCCACAACGTTGTTTTGGTTCCTTTTGGCTCCCTTTAAAACCAACAAACATGGGGCGCCATAGCAAAGAACGAGCCACCCGGACGGACCTCAAGGCCGATGTCCTTTATTTGGGAATCCTCTTACCTGGTTCATTCCTAAGACTTGGAATGGCCATTCCCGGCTGAGCACCAGCAAGTCTTAGTGAGTCTGTGCAACTTGGTACACAACAAAGTTGCAAGACCATGTAAAGGCGCAAAAAGGGCGGATATCCGCAAAAATGTGATCTAAAATGGGTGGTGAAGTCACCTACCCAAAATGGTACCAAAACAGTTTTGACAACCACAGACATTTATGGCTGGGACTTTTGATGGCGGCTCACCTGGCCCCTTATTCCATTTCTCAATCCCTGCATCTCTCGAACCAGCAAGAGAAGCTTCGCGGGCGTTTGAGGTGTTCTTCCAGTAGCCCCCAAAACACGTTGATTGCTATTGGATCTTTGGACCACCCAAAAGGGGCCGATGCCCCAGTCCCAACATGGGATTGCTAAAAGCGACCAGTAGGGACTATTCGGGGCCAATGGGGTCCTCTTCGCGAACCATTTCCAGGGGCTCCCCCTAAAGAGGGGCCTGTGGATGGGTACGAAATCCATTTCGCACCACCGAACTCAGAAAGCCTAGAATCCGATTCGACTGCCCCGTGAACACCAGCCCACGTTATGGTTTCGCATGGTTTCCAAATGGCGAGCAATGGATTTCGCAGATCCGCAGTAGGACGAAGCTGCCCGAGCGAGGTGCGGTGCTGCTGAAGCCTCCCGGTTGGGGCACCTGCGACGGGGAGTCCCCGCTGCAGGCGGCGCAGGTGGCTCAGGAGACGTTGGTTGGCCTGTGGGTGGCGTTTGGTGAGCCAAGGGTTTCCATTGTTTGGGCGATTTCATTTCAGGGCGTTTCCAGTTCAGTGCGTTTCCATTTCAGGGTGTTTCCAGTTCAGTGCGTTTCCATTTCAGGGTGTTTCCAGTTCAGTGCGTTTCCATTTCAGGGTGTTTCCAGTTCAGGGAGTTTTCATTTCAGGGGCGATCCCAGTTTAAAGCGTTTCCGGTTTAGGACACCACGGGCCTTCCGGAAGGCATGCCCCTCACCTGGAGGGCTGAGAGCGGGAGACCCCTGGAGGAGATGTTTGGCGACGTCCCCATTTTCGCAGACCGCCAGCATTGGCTGCTTGGCTGCAGGTCTTTAGATGAGCTGGGGATGAGAAATATGCGTGGGCAATATTCATGCGATACGGTTGGACATAAATCCATGCAAATGATCTCCAACCCGAAATCCTGTGAGAAAACACTCTCTGCCAACGGCTGCACCACGGAACCCGAACTCCTCTCGCTCGGTCCATCTTTTTCCAATTTCTAGCCACCTAAACGGGAACGGGAACGGCGGGTCCCGTTTCGAGCGAGGCACGGCTTCCTGCACCGCCTGGACGTGCCGTGCTCGGGTTTGCTCTTGTTGGCCACCAGCTACGAGGCCTTCTACGCGCCTCGGCTAGTGCCTCCCCTTCAAAGGCCCCGGACGGATTCCGCGGAAGGGTTCGCAGAAGGCGTTTTGGATCGCTCCGAAGCAAACTCGAATTGAGGGTTTTAGGTGGTTGAGTGGAAGTTTTCTCGAGTTTCTGTCCACGGAAAGTTGGTCACTTCTAGCAGGAGATCTGAGGGGATCGCCAATCGCTTGCTCGTGGGAAGCGGCGGCGGCCAACGGCTGAGGATTTGCAGCTGCAGTTGCATGTGGGCGACCTGGCGCGGGACTACGCGTGGGCCCTGGGCCAAAGGGTAAGAGGTTGGGAGGTTTCGTTCCGTCATTCGTTTGCGCCCGAACAGCAAGCCGCACATACCTAGAGACAACACACAAGTGTAAACGAACAACGGAAGTTCAAGTTTGCACCAGACTCTAACTTGCAAGTACTCAATACCAGGCAATTTTGGCGAGTTGCGCCCATATACTAGCAAGCTTGGTGCACCTCCCACTCACAAAACCTGATGGAATCTTGGGAAGACGACGCTTTCGGGTAGCAACTTTTCCACTTTCCCACTGGGGGACGTGAGCCGTGCCCGCATTCCCCATTCCGCCTCCGGTTTCAGGTGCTGCTGTGCCACGGTTGCCTGGCCACGCGGCGCCTGGGCGCGCCGCTGCTGGCGAGGGGCGGGGTGACGCTGGCGGGGCGGGGCCGCCGCAGCGTGAGCTGCGCCAAGGCGCTGGGCCACGGGACGGACGCGCGGCCCGGCAAGGAAAGGGGTTTGGTGTTTGGAGCGTTTCGGGGTTTGGGGGTTTGGGCGGGGGGGGGGGGGGGGGGGGGGGTTTTTTTTTTTGGCGGATAGTTTTGTTTCTTTTTTTGTTTTTTCCTAGATAGCTGAAAGCTAGAGGGGTTCTATCTTCTAATAAAGAGGAGGAAGTGATTTGCGAGATTGACGGCTGGGTGCTAGGGGGCGTGTAGTTGGTGGTGCAGATGTTGTTAGGGTGTGCTGTTTGGGGAGCTGTGGTGCGGGTGACAGTGCGGGCACAATTTTGCAAGATTGACCGGGTGCTTTTGGGCATGCAGTTTGGGGTGCTGGTGCAGGTGCTGTTTTCGGGGAGTGCTGGTGACGGTGCGGGCGCGCATTTCAACCAGATGGGCGGCAGGGTGCAGGCTGCGGGGTGCTGTTTGGGGCTGCAGCTTGGTGCGGCTTGGGGTGATGCGTTTTGGTGCAGCTTGGTGTGGCTCGTTTTTGCGGGTGATCCCGGTGCTGGCTTTTTGGGTGCGGTTAGAGGGGGTGCTGCGGGGCCGCTGGGCTACGGATCCACAAGAAAATTCCCACCAGGGTTCCAGGGGTCCAGGAGGGTTCCAGGCGAGGTTCTGCGAGGTTCTGCGAGGGTGCGAGCACCAGAGCACCGCATGCTGTGGGGCATATCACCTGAGCCTTATTTTTTAGAGGGGGGGTATCTCATGAAGGTTGGGGGAGGGAGGTGGGGTCGCCGTTTTGCCAGTTTGGGAATCATTCGTGGAGACCGACCGGGAAGAAGGGGAGAGGCGGAACGACTCACTGGACACGTGTGGGGAGGCAGGTTAATACTTTGATGCATTTTCCCAAGGGATGTTAGGACTAACTTTTTGCCAACTGTTCTCCATACCACTAAAAGTTAAAAGCTTTTAGCAGGGGTTTGCAGATTTCGCAACCGAGAACACTAAGTGTACGACACCCGGGGACTGGCCTTGTTCGCCATAGAAAGGAGGGGGGGGTCATCCACTGACAGCAACCCGCTGCTTTCGGAAAAAGCACACACCCAGCGGCGTCATCTTGGGAGAGCGACTCCAGGCGCCCTCATTTCACCATCAAAGTCCTTCCCAAGTGGTTCAAGCAGTCCGCAGTCGAAACAGGTGTCTGATCCTGGTACCTTCCCCTCACAGTTCCAATCATACCTGCTCCCACATTTTCTCTGGCCCAAAAGGTTTCAAAGCCAAGAGGAGGGTCCTCTACAGATTTGGTCGTGTCGTTTTTGGAGTTGGCACCCCTTTTTTGGTGAATAGGGAAACCAACAGAAGAAACCATGGGTATGGTTCAAAATTAAACCACCAGGGACTGCAGGTTTCAGTCCTTGTTTGCATTTGCCAGGGTTCCATTTTGGCTACCTATTTTGCATAGCGTGAGAGGTCCTTTTTTTTTTGGGGGGGGGGGGGAAATCATGAGAGGTCCTTTGGGCGGATTGTGACCGATCCCAGGTGAAAACGAGCGATTGATCCCACTTCCCAGTTCTGGAATTTATGAGGGCCTTGTGGCACATTTCACGGCTCAAAAGGCTCCAATGCCACGCCGAGACATGGGTATGGGTCAAGACTAAACCACAAGGGAACCGCAGGTTTTAGTCCATGTTGCCATTTGCCAGGGTTCGCATTGGGTGTTACCCTATTTTTGACTCACAGCCACTTCTCTCATTTCCTGCCTATCGCACCGATCGCAAGTTCTGGCGTGTTTTCGGGGTTTTGGAGCCTCCGAGTTGTGAAGCCTCGGAGGCTGGGGCGCTTCCTGAGCCTGGCGGCGGTCAAGCGCCCGGGCTCTGATCCGATCTTTGTCGGAGCCGTTCCGGGGGCCGGGGTGGGTGTGATGGGCAGACCGCAACTTGGGGGTTGTGGGGGTTTCGAGTTGGTTTGGCGGTTGGGTTTCCATTCGACCCACTAGAGTAGGTTTGGTGGTTGGGTTTTTTGTTGCTTCTAGAGTAGGTTTAGTGGTTGGGTTTCCATTCGACCCACTAAAGGTTAGTCACTTGCAGGGGATCTGAGCACAGCTCAACCAAAAGAGTTCCTTTGCTTGCCAAGTCGCCACTAGACCCACCGGGGTCAGGGATGGGACCGGGGTATTTAGGACCAGGGTTGAAGGGCTTGGGACACCATCCACCTTTTGATAAAACACCGTCCCCATATTTTTCCGGTTTTCGCCATGGGAAGGCCTTCCAATTGGAACAGCCTGTGGCTGCGGAATGTGAGGGCAGTTTTGGCGAGACAAGAAGGGCTAAAGCAGAGGACCCATTTTGTAAGGGCCAGCGATGAAGCCAAGGCACTCTCCGAGGCTTTTCTTCTTTCGGCAGGGTGACCATGTGTATCAGTATGCACACACACACACACACCTCGCCTCCACGTGATGTGTTTCATTTCGGTTTCCCAAAGCAACAGAGGGGGCCAATTTTTTTTTGACGCAGTTCGATGCCAAGGTCTAGGGCCTTTGTGATGCGTGGGCGACCCTTTTTCGACACCACCCATTAATGTTGCCCCCCTATGAATCACCCCCAGTTTATTCATAGGGGTTGGGCCCTCCCCCAAAAGTGGTCTGAATCCCCACCAAAGCCAGGGACACCCCCCAGGATAATAAACAGGGCTTTATTACATTTCCCTCCCACCAACTAACATGGAAGTGCAAAAATGCCCTTTCCAAAGGAAAGGAGTCTTTCTACAGGGGTCTGTGCACTTTGTTAGCTGGTGGGAGGGGAAGACCAACTGAGGATTTGGACGGGGCGCCAGCACCAGATCCGGTGCCATTTGGCGCACGTGGGGCATCCCACGGTGCACGCGCCTCGGTCGAGCGGTCAAGCCCGTGGACCGAAGGTCAGAAGGTGTCTGGAGGAATGGGTCTGGTTTGGTGGCGTGTCTGCTCTTTTTGAGGCTGCCGTTTTTTTTTTGTTGTGAAGGGAAACCAAAAGGAAAGCCAGAATAGGTCGGTCAGGTTGGGGCGTGTCTGCTCTTTTTGAGGCTGCCGTTTTTTTTTGTTGTTGTGAAGGGAAACCAAAAGGAAAGCCAGAATAGGTCGGTCAGGTTGGGGCGTGTCTGCTCTTTTGAGGCTGCCGTTTTTTTTTTTGGTTGTGAAGGGAAACCAAAAGGAAAGCCAGAATAGGTCGGTCAGGTTTGGTGGCGTGTCTGCTCTTTTGAGGGTGCCGTTTTCTTTTTTTGTTGTGAAGGGAAACCAAAAGGAAAGCCAGAATAGGTCGGTCTGGTTTGGTGGCGTGTCTGCTCTTTTGAGGGTGCCGTTTTTTTTTTTTTTTGTAGTGAAGGGAAACCAAAAGCAAAGCCAGAATAGGTCGGTCTGGTTTGGTGGCGTGTCTGCTCTTTTGAGGGTGCCGTTTTTTTTTTTGTAGTGAAGGGAAACCAAAAGCAAAGCCAGAATAGGTCGGTCAGGTTGGGGCGTGTCTGCTCTTTTGAGGGTGCCGTTTTCTTTTGTTGTGAAGGGAGACCAAAAGGAAAGCCAGAATAGGTCGGTCTGGTTTGGTGGCGTGTCTGCTTTTTTGAGGCTGCCGTTGTTTTTTTTGTTGTGATGGGCCGATCTTAAGGCAGTCAAAAAAATCATCCGAATTTCCGTTTTTTTCCCATGTGTTGTGCAACAAGTAATTATCATGTGTGGGAAATGTATGTTGTTGCTTGAGGGCTCCCACCCCTTATTCTTTTATCTTCGTTGTTGCCGGCGGCGGGGTGGCAACTGCCACTGCCACCCGGGGCGGCAGTTCCGCTGCCACCCCCTGCTGCCCACGGCGCTGCTGCCGCTTGGCCACAGGCCTGGGTGAAGGGGGTCTGGCCCGCACGCTCAGTGCGGTTCCTGCTATGTTGGTGCAAACAGTTCCCCTCAAATCAAGTCAGAGTTTTTCTTAAGGATTACTTTACTTATGTAGTTCTGGGTCAGGAACCAGCGGACCCAAATCAACCCCCCCAAGCCTCACTGACCGAGTGTCCCAAACTGCCTGCCAAACCCGGACTTTGTTCCTTCGAAAGAAACAGCCTAAGTCTTTCAACTTTTGAAGTGGTTTCCCCCACAAAAACACTTACCAAATTAATGGGCGCTTGAACACCCAATGCTTTAGGTGGGTGACGCGGCCAAGTGGCATATGGCTAAAAAGGTAAGCTCTGCAGAAATGACGCGAATTTTCGTCGCTTTGGCTGTGAAAGGATCTCGCGCGGAAGGGCACCACCCCATGGCCCTGTTCATCTGAAACACAAGCCGGGCTGAAACGTTCAGTGGCCAGGCGTTGCCTAGCGCCATGCCTACTTGACGCAAGGTCAAGCCAGCGCAGTTCAGTTTTTCTGGGCTCCATCCTTGGCATTTGGCTTTCTCCTGCAGGCCAAGGTTCTTTGACCCACTCAACAAAATCCAAGAAGCATGTTCGTTCCGGGCCAGTCCTGAAAGGACAGAAATCTTCTGCGGCTCGTGAGCCAGTATCCTTTGCGGTTGCCACCCCTGCCTCTTGTGATAGTCGGGCACCTTGGCAAGCCGTCCCGCTCACGCGCACACACGCAGACACACACATGATGCGCGCGCGCCCCTGCGCAAAATATTCGTGAACTTTGGTCTCCATGGGCTAGGAGGGTTCACACACACACAGCCGCCCCGTAGGGCTATGTGTAGTGGACTGTACAACAAACTGTACAAGCGACTACGCGGCTAGGCTGTACAGACAACGAACTGTACAAAGAAACTGTACACTGTACAATATGTTTCTGTACAACGTTTGAATCCTAAACTGTACAAACTAGTGTACACCTAAGATACATAACAGCTAAATTACACAACAGCCAACCTAGCTATGTACAGGTATGCGTATACGGTGGGTTAACTATGTACAGGAATGTACAGATATGTACAGGTATGCGCATACACACACGCACACGCGCACGCGCACGCACACGCGCACGCGCACGCGCACGCGCACGCGCACACACGCACGCATACGCGCACACACACGCACACACGCACACACGCACACATGTACCCGCGCGCACACACACACACAGGCGCACGCACGCACGCTCCAACCACAGACAAACACAGACACAACGACACACGCTCCAATCACAGACGAACACAGGACACAACGACACACACACACACCACACGCACGCCCAAACACGCCGCCACATGCGCGCACACATGTGCACGCATGCGCACCAGAGACCAAAACATCAAAAAGCGGTGACAAACCAACAAAGTTTAAAGATAATGAACAAAGAAGCAAACAAACAACCTGGTTTGACTTGTTTATCCAGGCCACTTGTTGAGCATGGGCTTTCCACGGAAAGCCCGGCTCGCGCCGCAATCGATAACCCTTAGTAGAGTGAGGGTCATTTTGGCAAACCAGCACTGACTCACGACTGGGCGAAGAAATCTGGCCGAGAAGCCAGCAGTTCGCCGATGGAATGTGACCATTGGCACGCAAGTGTCGCAGGCCATCTTCCAGGGCGCTGCGGCCGCTGTTCGACGAAGGCCACTCGATCCTCGGCGGCCTCGGCTGAAAGCGATGTGGGTCTGTCTTTTTTGAGGGACCTTCATTTGGGGCGGTTTCACAGGGAAACCCAAATAAAAGGCGGACCGCCCATATTTGGGGCGCCCTTTTTTGTCAGAAGTGTGGGTCAAACCGTCAAGCCACTGCTGCCAGAACACTGCTGATTGTCCAAGACGGTCTCAAGGCTAACACGGGGCACATTGTCCAGAGGCCATTTGAAATGACCTTGCTTGCTTGTAAACAAGGTCATGGGTTTGAAGCAAATCCAAATGTGTGCAGTTAAGGAGCAAGTCATCAAATCTTTTTTGAGGCCGACCACCCAAAGCCGCCTTCTATTCTGAGGCAATCCGTGGTGCACAGCATTGATCACCTTGCCAAAGAACATGCCTGAAGTAAAAAAACAGTTCACAAACTAAACCCCAAACTTCAGTTTTTGTTTGCTGGTGGTTTGCGGCATCCCTGCTAAAAATAGCAGCTTAGGGGGGCTGTCAAGAGCCAAATGGAGAATACCACTGACTGAGTCGTCTTTTCTCACCCACCCTGAAATGCCAGAAAACTACCCCCAAAAAAACCTGGCTCCTGAACCAAACGAAACAGAGAATGGAACTAAGACTTGCAGGTCTGTTAAAAATTCTCACCCTGTTTAGTTTGGTTCAGAAGCCAGCGAGTAGGCCTGTCCCATCGTTAACGGGGTTCTGCCACGCAGCCTTCCAGCGCACGCAGTAAGTGCCGTTGACAGCGAGCCTTGGCTGAACCGCCAAACTTGCAATTTCAACTTCAAGGAGAAACAAAAAACTTTTGCGAGGTAACCGGGGTCAAGGGGCTTCCGACGTAAGGCGGCAAAGAACTTTGCATTCTTCCGTCCGCATAGCAGCGGTACATTTTCTAGCAAGTAAGAATCCGGCAAAAGCTGGGCGATGCGGGAAACAACCTCAGATAGGCGACGCCCGACATGGTTGCTTTCCGGTTTTTCCCTCTCAACCCCGCAAACTGGACACCTTCAAAAATTCCCAGCTCAGCTGCTTTCTTGGTGACGCGAGCGCGACAGTCCAAACGGCCCTTACGCCGCCCGATGGCCGAAAACGGTTGGCAGGGTGTGCCTGCAGCGTATATGTGGATTCGGCGACCAAATCCTGAGACGCGCTGCTAGCCAGCAATGAGGGCATTGGGTGTTTCGGAAGAAATTTCCATGTAGTGTCAGGGATCTGCCCAGGCACGAGCGCTCTTTAGCGCGTCCTTGGAAAGGTGGAGGGGCTTTAGGACCCTTCGCGCCCGTTCTCGCAATCGCCGATCAGATTCAGAAGCATAGTATAAGATTGCTGGAACTCCCGCCAGCCTGAGATTGCACAAAGAAGGCAATGTTGAGCAATAGATAGGACTTCTATAAGCTTCTAAGCCAAGCCACTCGCAACTGGCGCCAAGACCCCCTAGGCCACAGCAATCTTCGGCTATGTTTATAGCGCTGCTCAATGCCATATATGAGCCAAAACTACGAGCTACAAGTGCCCTAACAGGAAAGCATGTTGAGCTGGCCTGCAAGGCAGAAGAGGTGGTCCATTCCCAAAGAACCGAAACAGAGCTTATGAAGGGCGCCTTGAAAGTACTTTAGAAGTGTTCAACGTCTACTTTCCAGTCCAAGGGCAACTCACCGCTTAGGCATTGTTTTTGCACCGCGTGCGCCTGACACTGAAGTTGTGAAGAAGCCGCTACAAAACTGCCCTCTGGCAATTCCACCCAGCAGGGGCTATGACGAAGCCGCTACAAAACCGCCCCCCGGCCATTTAGTCCATCAGGGCTTCTAGGCCTTTCAGCGTAGCGTTGCCGGAGCTCGCCTGGCGAAACGATACACCGAAAGACTGAACCACGAAAGCCGATGATTAATTTGTCCTGTTTGGACGTTGCGCCTTGGGACGTCCCTTGGCTTTTGCTTTGCTCTTCCCCTTCGCTTTTGGTTTCGCCTTTGGCTTGCCTGCTGCCTTGCTGCTCTTGCCGCCCTTTTTCTTGGACTTTGGCTGCGGCTGCTTTTTCTTTGTCTTTTTGTCTTCTTTCTCCTCCGAAGCCTCCTCCTCAGCTTCCTCCTCTTCTTCGGTCTCTTGGTCGTCACAGGTTTCCTCGCCGTCTTCCTCTTCAGCCTCTTCCTCGCATTCCTCCTCTTCCTGTTCTTCTTCCCCGGCCTCTGACTTTTGCGTTCGCTTGCGCTTTTTCGTATTGTCCTGTTGGAGGGTTCAAGCGCACGCCAGCTGAGGTGCGCGCCAATGCCTTCTTTGTCGCCGAGCGGACCAGGGTCGCCAGGCTGGCCTCATA